CTAGGGGACACAGACACACTAGGGGACACATGATGACACATACACTAGGGGACACTGAGACACTAGGACACAGACACAGGGAGACCTGGGAACACTGAGACACTTGGGGACACTGGAAAACATGGGGACACTGAGACACTTGGGGACACAGATACTAGGGGACACAGACACTAGGGGACACATGGGAACACAGACACACTAGGACACATGGGGACACAGACACTGTGAGACCTGGGGACACAGACACTTGGGGACACTGGAAAACATGGGGACACTAGGGGACACATGGGGATGCTGTGAGACATAGGGACATTGGGAGACATTGGGACACTGAGACACTATGTCCCCCAGCCAGTGTCCCCAAGTCTCCCAGTGTCTGTGTCCCATGTCTCTCAGTGTGCCTAGTGTCCCCATGTCTATGTCCACAACTGTCCCCATGTCTCCCCAAGTGTCTGTCTCCCAACCAGTGTCCCCTAGTCTCCCAGTGTCCCCTAGTCTCCCAGTGTCCCCTAGTCTCCCAGTGTCTGTGTCCCTAGTGTCTTAGTGTTCCCAAATGTTTCAGTGTCTCCATGTCTCCCAGTGTCTGTGTTCTTAGTGTCTCAGTGTGCCTGGTGTCCCCATGTCTCCCAGTGTCCCTATATGTCCCAGTGTCCACATGTCTATGTCCACAACTGTCCCCATGTCTCCCAGTGTCCCCAAGTGTCTGTCTCCCAGCCAGTGTCCCCTAGTCTCCCAGTGTCCACTCCAGTGTCCCTAGTCTCCCAGTGTCTGTGTTCCCATGTCTGTGTCCCTAGTGTCTTAGTGTCCCCAAATGTTTCAGTGTCCCCATGTCTCCCAGTGTCTGTGTCCCTAGTGTCTCAGTGTCCCCATTTCTCCCAGTTTCCCTAAATGTCTCAGTGTCCCCATGTCTCTGTGTCCCAGGGTCTCTCTGTGTCCCCATGTCTCTCAGTGTCCCCAGTATCCTAGTGACATGAGGACACACTGAGACATTGGGACACTGGGAGAAATGGGGACACAGACACTGGGAGACTAGGGGACTGGGTGACATGGGGACACTGACACTGTGATACATAGGGACACTGAGACACTGGGTGACTTGCGAGACTGAGGCACTGGGAGACAAGGAGACACTGGGAGCAATCCATCTATACAGCAGAATCAAACTGTGAGTAGTTTGTTGGTGATTTTACAGAATTTTCTCTGATGTCACTCCTTGTGATTTACATGCATAACTAATTAATTATACAAATGATTAAGGCTGGTATTTTTTTCCAAGAAAGGTGGCAACCTTAACTACTCTTCACATACTCTTGCTTAAAGGAGCACTATAGTGTCAGGAACACAATCATGTATTTCTTACCCTATTATGTTAAAACCACCACCCTGGCACCTTCTTGCCTCCCTAAATATAGTAAAATATTACTTGTATTCAATTCTGTAGCTGCTGGCTCAGAAGTGGTGGTCTGAGCAAATTACAATACTTCCCCATAGGATTGGCTGAGACTGTCAACTAGGCAGATCAGGGGCAGAGCCAGCACAAGTCCAACATAGCCCTGGCCAATCAGCATCTCCTCATAAAGATAAATTGAATCAATGCATCTCTGTGAGGAAAGTTCAGTGTCTGCATGCAGAGGGTGGAGACACTGAATGGCAGTGCTGCACACTTTGCAGTACTGCCCCAGGAAGCACCTCTAGCAGCCATCTAAGGAGCGGCCAGTGGAGTTATTTTCTCTGAAAAGACAGTGTTTACTGCAAAAAGCCTGAATGGAATTATTCTACTTACCAGAACAAATACAATAAGCTGTAGTTGTTCTGGTGACTATAGTGTCCCTTTAAGTTTGGAAGCTTAAGAGGGATGTATGGGAACAAAACCTGTGTGCACTGGCTGACATTAAAGTTAGTTTAGGTAATGCAGACGTTGGTCTCTCTAACACTGTGGCATGTCCCCTTTCTTCTACACTCACTACAGACACATTTTCTCTGTCTCAGACTATACCAGGAACTTCTGCCTGCTAGTAAGAAGGTAAGGAGACAAGTGCTAGGGGACAGTCCTTAGAAAGAATGGAGTGAGCGCATCATACGCATTTATGTCAAGCTCAAGGTGCTGCCTGCATAGTATGCCCTTAGTTGGACAGCCTGCAGGATTGGCAGGCAGCCTGACATGCATTCATGCCAGGCTGACCTTCCAATTCTTTGGACAAACATGCCCCCTTTTGGGCATGTTCACCCCTTTTGGCAGGTCTTGTCACGTGATTCGGGCCAGTGGCACACCCTTTTACCCCGCCCATTGACTTCCTGCTTCACTGGACATTGCTGTTAGGGGTTATGGATTTACTTGAAAGATGAAAGCATAATTTAGAGAGAAATTAGCATAGAGTATGTGATTTCTTATAGCTGCATCCTATGAGATTCCCTCCAGCACCATCTCCATCAGATACATGACGCTTGGGAGGTATGATTGTTTTAGTGTTTTTGGTCAATAAGATTTGGTCAATAAGATTCCGTAATTAGGCCCATCATAATTGTCAGCACCAGGCCCACTGTGCTCTTAATCCGGCCCTGCTTAAACTAAGCAGGTCCCTCGTACGCCTAAAACTGCCGATCCCCGTTCAAAATAATACAAGCATTTCATGCACACGAATTCATATAATAAACATACTTTCTGTTCCGTTATTTAACTGTTTGTACTAACCTGTCAGTAGGAGTTATTAAATCCATTTAAAACTACAACCATTTACCACCTAAACTGTGTTTTCCGGTTAACTATGTTTAAAATATTAAAATCCCAGCCACTGTATCTTAGTAATCGGTTCTTTCCTACACCTAAGTGGTTAGTTGTAGCGGATGGCACTGGGCTGTCCTGCAAATGTCTTGTGAATAACTGCATTCGTGTGATCTGCTAGTTTTATATGTGTTTAAAAGAATTGTATTCCTCTGATTGTTCGGTAGAATCATTCGAATAAACTAAGGGAATGAAACTACCGAACAATCAGACCTCCCCTGTGTTAAGTGTGTCCTCAATTACCCGTTGCAACCTTGTTGCGAACGGGTAATTGACAAGTTAAGTAGCCGTCCTTTGTTCTCGGGGGTGGCCGCCATTCGACAAACGAACACGTGGCGGCGGCCATTTTAAAACTCCCGAACAGCGGTGTTTTGCCGTCGAGTGTCTGGAACTCAAATCGGACACTCGACTAGGCGAACACCGCTGAGACCTCCACAAGCCCGGTCCGTTCGGTTCCTAACTACCGAACAGCCCCTCGTTCGGTAGATAGAAAGAACCGAACGAGGGGATTCAGGCGAACCCTCCCTAGCCTCTATAGCTAGAGGCTTTCGTGCAGTTTGTTCCCTTATCCAGGACCGACCGCAGGGCCCATTCACATGGAACCGCATTCGGCTATTTCAGTCAGTGCGGTCGGTCATTTTATTCCCTCCATACATTTCCCGAACCCCTGGTCTGATCTGGGTGATTTTTGGATATGTTGTTCACCCAGATCAGGGGTATCCGGGGATGTAGGATTTAAAGGGGTACCCCTATGTTTAGGGGTACATCCAGAAACGGGGGGAATTGCTAGACTGGATAAGGGGATTATGATGCTGGCTGAGGGGAGGAGATGGGTGGGAGGTTACCAGGACAGGATTGGCTACTGTAATAATTACTGTAAATCCCTCCCTTGCATGGGAGCATGCTTTATAAGGACAGTGTGGATTAAAGGCTTGTCAGTTCTGCTCCTGAAACTGTGTGTCGTCCAGTTATTGGGATTGCTGTGGGGATATTGCTGTATTTTACCTGCTGGAAGCCTTGCCTGTGGATTTACTATTTACTTGTTCCTGAGCCTCACTTGGATCATAAGCGGAGGTAACCTGGGGAATATTGCATCTCCGCTACATTAGTAAACTATGTTTAACGTTAATCAATTAAAATAAATTCCTCCTGACACCAAACTAAAAAGGCAGAACTCCACGCCAACCCTGCTCAAACACTACATACATATATTAATTATTAACACGATCTCCTAGGGTAATACTGGTAAAACCCCTCAATTTTTATTTTTATTTACTACGTTTTCTCCTTAACGTTACGCAGTCATTAATCCTGCCTCTGTTACATTTCTTTGGCTCCACAGATTGCCTCGGTTTCTTGTATTTCTGCTTAAAGTTAGCAAATTCAAGGTCTTGTATTTACAAACCCAGGTATAGTATTTACTCACCATGGTTTCAACCATGTCTATGCCTCAATACTACAAACTTGTCACAGTGTAAATTGGTTATTTATAGTATACTGTCACAGCATTCGCTAATTATTAAATATTTACGGCCATACCACCCTGAACACGCCCGATCTCGTCTGATCTCGGAAACTAAGCAGGGTCGGGCCTGGTTAGTACTTGGATGGGAGACCGCCTGGGAATACCACGTGTTGTAGGCTAAAAAAATGGGACCCCTTCTATTTAACATGTTTATAAATGATCTTGAAGACCGCATTGAAAGTCATGTTTCAGTGTTTGCAGATGACACCAAACTTTGTAAAACAATACAATGTGAGCAAGATATTACTTTGCTGCAGAGGGACTTAGATAGACTGGGGGACTGGGCACTCAAATGGCAGATGAAATTTAATGTTGAAAAATGCAAAGGTATGCACTTCGGCATAAAGAATACACATGCAACGTATACCCTTAATGGAAGCGAATTAGGGATAACAACACACGAAAAGGACTTGGGAATTGTTATAGACAACAAACTATGCAACAATGTGCAATGTCAATCAGCAGTGGCCAAGGCCAGTAAGGTATTGTCATGCATGAAAAAGGGCATTCATTCTCGGACAAGAATATAATTTTGCCTCTTTATAAATCACTGGTAAGACCCCATATTGAATATGCTGTGCAATTTTGGGCACTTGTTCTAAAGAAGGATATTATGGCACTAGAAAAAGTGCAGAGGCGGGCTACAAAACTAATAAAAGGAATGGAACATATTGGCTATGAAGAAAGGTTAACAAATTTAAACCTATTTAGTTTAGAAAAACGTCGCCTGAGAGGGGATATAACATTATACAAATATATTCGGGGCCAATACAAACCATTGTGTGGAAATCTATTCACAAACCGGACTTTACATAGGACACGAGGCCATGCGTTTAGACTGGAAGAAAGAAGATTTCGCCTAAGGCAAAGGAAAGGTTTTTTTACTGTAAGAACAATCAGGATGTGGAATTCTCTGCCTGAGGAAGTGGTTTTATCAGAGTCCATACAGATGTTCAAACGGCTACTAGATGTATACTTGCAAGAACAGAATATTCAAGGATATAATCTTTCAATGTAGGTAATAACTGCTTGATCCAAGGATAAATGTGACTGCCATTCTGGGGTCAAGAAGGAATTTTTTTCCTAGCTTGTTGCAAAATTGTGCTTCAAACTGGGTTTTTTTTGCCTTCTTTTGGATCAACAGCAAAAAACAAATGTGAGGTAGGCTGAACTTGATGGACGCAAGTCTCTTTTCAGCTATGTAATGGGTTTAATCCATAGCTCGAGGAATTATTCTAGGCCTCCATCGGTTTCTACACAGAAAAAACTGTTACGCTCATCCAAGTACCTGTATAACAAATCAAGGTATATTTCTCTACTCATTACAGGACCTTTTCATACAAGACCTAACGCGGTCTCGATTCATTACGACTAACTCACGGTCCTACGCCCTTGGTGTGTTAAATTCTCTACATTTTTCTACCTAGGCATACGGTCATACTGCCATCAGGCAAGAAACTACCCAACCTACCTAACCCGGTACTCAGCCACACTACCAGGTACTTATGTCCTTACTCGTTACGGCATTCACTACCCCAAGGCCTCAATCAGCCTCTCTCTATAACGTAAACTCGTCCCAGTCTTAGACTAACCATTCAGATCCCTCACTTCAGGAACTCATGTTGCGCTCCTAACAGCCAACCCTTACTACAAATCATAAGCCACCATGTTACGCATAAATACATCAATGTAAAAAACTAGATGAATGGATGTTAATGTAGACTCTTTCTTAATTTCTTCTTGTCTTCAGTTGATTGATATATATACGTCTTTTGTATATATATTCTTGGGCCAAATGCTCGCCACAATAATATATGTCTATATTATTGAAAAGTAGTAATACGCAATCTGACTTACGGTTTCTTCAGGTTTATTCTTAGTTACGGATACATAATAAAACATAATAAAGGATGTTACAGGATAGTGGACATTCAACAGCAGATGGTAATTGCTGGACTTCTGCATCCTTACATCTTTACATCTAGAGAGAGAGAGCCAAGCCAGCCAAGAGAGAGTGACCTTGTGTCCCTCTGTTACTATATAGAAGTGCTAATACTAACGTCAGCATATAACTCTAGCCATATAAGGACAAAACCCCCACATCCACATTCCAGAGCTCTCGGACAAAGAAAGCCTTGTGACTTATTGATACCATCTGTTACTTATGTCAATCCACACATCCATATATATAATCAATAGAAACATAGAATATGCAATATTCTACATTCCCTCTGTTTATGGTTTGTTTTAAAACCATAACACAATGTCACTAACCTGTCCATTCATACATCACTTGTATCACATTCATTGAGCATAGAACAAGATGAAGTCACAAATTTCTATTATATGAGAGTTCTTAGAAGGTCGAGTTTCTATCCCTCATACTGCTTACTTTACTTCAAAACTCCCTCTGTTTCAGCTATGAATTGATATCCATATCCATGTTACATCATAACTACTTGAACATAATATATACATATATCACAATAATAAATGAATAAAATAAAATATTTACAAATGTTGATCCAATAAACAATAAAGCAATCAGAAAGATCTACCTGCTCAGGTACAATCATGTCTTTGTAGACAACAAAATCAAGATCGTAACTTTCTAAATAATAATAACTGTGTTTCACTATCATATTCCTACAGACACATATAGCATAGTATTTTCATTCTTAATACCTGATATTACTTGAGTACTAATACATGTATTACTATAATATACGTCCAATTAGATTTCCACGAATCATATGGTTTCTAGCAACCTTAAAATCTTTAGGTCATTTGTATTCATGAATTACATTCCTATACCATTAATACCACCTAGTGATGATTGTATCAGTACTTTACAATCATAGTATTTAATTTGTATATTCAGTAGGCTCTCACTACCTGAAATATATCAACACTACTTATAAGTCTCATTCAAAGGATGTGTTATCAACCATGTTCTATAATAATTCTTCAAATAATGTTCATGGTGTTGACAATACTTATTGTTCTAGAAATTCTCCACCCAGAAATCTTTCTATCATAGATTTCTTTTTGTTCACATAATTATAATTTTGACTAAAATTCCACCTTGTAGTAACAAACTTTAAATTCAATAGAAACATAGTTTACTCTAAAAGAACTTGGAAAGAATAATATAAATTCATTAGCATCACTCTCTTCATTAGCATTGTGATGACTTATTAATGTAATACATCTTAAAAGCAGGATTGTCCTAATGTTCTGACCAATCCATAATCCTTAGTACACTTCAACTGACTAAAATAAAATAAACAAAAATAAACTTGGTCATACTGCCCAGAAACTCTTATTCCTAGTCTGTGTCTAACAAACTCAGGGTAATCATAAAACTTAACAACGTATTCATTGGATATCGCCATATCCAGAAACCTATTCTCCCTAGTCCATACCTTTATAGACTTAGGTCAAATATAATTGTGTACTATACTCTTTCCATTCAATTCAATTCCTCTTGGATCTCTGAACTCTTATATCCAAGGCCTTCTTAATGTATATAATTACTTAATATAAATCAATATAAATTATCCTTCCTTAGTTTTCTTCCTTTTGTTACCATTGTTTGTTTTACTTCACCTCGATTATAAACAAATTACTCATTATAGTTAATCTATGAAATACTATTGAACTCAATCTTTGTGATATTAAGTAACCATGATCCTTATTTTATCGACTTCATATTTTATCTACCTCTGATACTTCTCATTCTATGTATAGGTAATAATGTAATAGTTCTCTTCATAATACCATCCATTAATAATTTTACTCCATGTGTTATATAGTTATAAGTAGTCTCTCTTGGTATTAATACTCATAACTGTTAAATAACTTTTCATTGTCTGTTTTCTTCATTAATATTTAGGAATATATATGTATGTTAGTGTCAATCTTTTATTTCTTTGTAAGTCTGTTAATCTTCTGTATCGAATGAACTCTGTAGAAGCTTCCATCACAGTTTGCAGATTAGATGAAAAGTCTCTTTCCAACAGTCGATGTCCAGTTGTCTGAAGGAATGCTTTCCTGATTTATTGCCACATGGATCTGTCACGCTTTACCAGATCAGTTATTTCTGTCTATTTCGTTGCTTCATCCACACAGCTGCGCAGTTCTTTGCTTGGACGCTTGCCAATGTCTGCCACGTGCTTGCTTCTAGAATTCACGTTGTATCTTGTGCTTTTTGTCTAAGTTGTAGAAAATAGTCTTGTACAGTCTTTGATTTGAAAACTTTCTTTTTCTTACAAACACAGTCTAGATTCTTTTTTTTCTCTTCAAGTTTGTTTTCCCAGTTCCAAAATAGCTTTGTAACTCGATTCTTCTCTCTCCCCCCTTGAAGTGGGAACAAAACTTTGAATAGAAGACTGGCTGGCTAGCCAATGTAAAAAACTAGATGAATGGATGTTAATGTAGACTCTTTCTTAATTTCTTCTTGTCTTCAGTTGATTGATATATATACGTCTTTTGTATATATATTCTTGGGCCAAATGCTCGCCACAATAATATATGTCTATATTATTGAAAAGTAGTAATACGCAATCTGACTTACGGTTTCTTCAGGTTTATTCTTAGTTACGGATACATAAAACATAATATAGGATATTACAGGATAGTAGACATTCAACAGCAGATGGTAATTGCTGGACTTCTGATGGGAGAGTTACATCGTTGTACAGAGCCAAGCCAAGAGTGAGACTGACCTCGTGTCCCTCTGTTACTATCTCGAAGTGCTAATACTAACGTCAGCATATAACTCTAGCCATATAAGGACAAAACCCCCCACATCCACATTCCAGAGCTCTCGGACAAAGAAAGCCTTGTGACTTATTGATACCATCTGTTACTTATGTCAATCCACACATCCATATATATAATCAATAGAAACATAGAATATGCAATATTCTACAATCAACATCTGTCTTAATCCTTAGGCTTCTTCTATGAGGACAGCAGCAGCCAAGACTTGCTACATAAAAACACTTGAAGGTTCCAGTTCTCGATTATAAGCCCTTCAAGGTTAGTATCCACACATTACACCAGAATTACCATTCAACCTTAAGTATACAAGTGAACTGGCTTACAGGGTCTAGGCTACCGCCCTAGCTCACCCTAGTAAAAAATCCGGTCCCGCAAGGCCATCTCCCACCTCAACACGGAGGTACGGCCCCACGCCCAAATCATAGTTATACGCCTCGCCCTATAGTCAGGGCCTCACCTGTCACGGACACACATTTTGAATTTCTTTACAGTCACAGAGAGGCCAACACCCCGCCACCACGTCTTTGGCCACGATTTCCCTAAGCCAAATCATAGGTAGAGCCTCTCACTGCCACTTGGCATTAGCAGGGCATCACCAATCACCAATTCACAGTTAAGTTTTTCGCTTCAGCACTAGCATTACAGTCCAGTTCATCTAAAAGACCCCCCTCATATCCCTCCCGGTTCCCCTACTCCCCTTCTAATATCTCATTCACTAAATCATTTTTAGAATGTCTCAAGAACCAGCCCCCATCAAAGAGTTGCCCGAAGAGATCCCGTTTACGCCCATCAGACCAGAGTCTCCATGCAAATCACTCACCCCCTCAACTCCCACGTCCTTGAGAGCATGGACTATCCCTAAAATTACGGCCGAACTTAGGCTCAGGGGAATCCCCTTTCCAGCTACGGCTAGAAAGGCGGAACTCTACAGACTGCTCACCTACCAAGCCCCTGAGCCTAGGCCAGACACTGTCTCTCAAGGACAGCCACCAAGCGCTGGCATGGCCACCCAGGATACCCTAGCAGCAATCTTGGCCAACTTGCAGACTTTGAATAACAGGCTATCAAAGGTGGAGACTAAGACTAAGGTGCTTAAGACTAGAGACCCCAGACTCAATAAAAAACTATCCATACCTCAGTTCGTGATTGCCTTCGGGATATACCGTGATGTCATCTGCACGGTGTATCCCCACATAAGAGAAGAGCTAGACCTCTACCTCCACAAGGTGGTGGATTTAGACATCAAGTACGTGGGCTCCTCTTTTTATCTATCATAAGTCGGTATCAACGAAGGCGGCGACCCATCTGAAACAGTTCAATGTCAGAATTAACTGGTGTCAGATGGAAACAGAACTATTCTGTCGCCACTTCGTTGGTCTCAGGCCCCCGTCTTGCGCCGTATGTAACTCTACATCTCATACGACAGACTAATGTCCTTCCGAAGCCGATCCTACCACCTCCACTCCCACCCCTCATCCCACTTTCACCTCTCACAACAAATCAGCGGGTGGTCTACGTGATAAGCTGGGTAGGCCCATCTCCTTTCTAGGTAAAGCTCAGGTGTGCAATAATTTCAACGCAGGCTCCTGCAGTTTCAGCGCCTGTAGATTGTTGCACATCATACCAAGACCATGTGCCCGGCCAGGTTGTCCCCTAACAAATGACTAACCGACATCAATGTCGACAACCTGGTTTCTTACCTAAGGACACACCCTAGCAGGCATTTGGTGGAATATCTGACCACTGGGTTCACATGGGTATTGTAGCCATCCCCGCGGGCACACTGGAATGTCCCAATCTATTGTCAGCATGCCAAGATCCAGTTTCCACAGACACTCTCCTTTCCTCTGAAATTTCCAACGGTTTCATGATCGGCCCCTTCACCTCCTCACCGTTTTCCTCCTGGCGCACTAACCCCATTGGTGTCGCAGTACAGAAATATTCTAATAAAAAACATCTAATTATTGATTTATCGGCACCGCACTCCTCTTTTGTTCCCAGCACTCATACCCGCAGACGAATTCTCACTTCAGTATGTAACAATTGACGACGCCATACAATCCATTATCTCATCTAGAAGTCGCCCCTGGCTCAGCAAAACGGACATCACAAATGCATTTAAATTACTACCCATGCACCCCTCACTCTGGCACTTAAATGGCGAGAAAAGTACTACTTCTCCACACGACTCACTTTCGGTTCTCGAAGCAGCCCCAAACTGTTCGATATCTTCGTTGAGACGCTATACTGGCTGCTTCTGAACATCCTCAGGTGTCACTCTGTTATCCATTACTTAGACGACTTCTTACTGATAGAGCCAGGGGCACAAACACCCACCGCTATCAGCAGTACTACAGCACTTTTTTCCACACTTGGTGTACCATTATCTCCATCAAAAACAACCGGCCCCACAACTAAATTAAACTTTTTGGGGATAGAGCTAGACTCTGTTACCCTCCGAGCTAGCCTTCCCCACGACAAACTGATCCGCTTGAGAGGGGAGATAGACATGTTCCTGTGGAATGATGTTTGCACCAGAAGGGAACTTCAGTCCCTTCTGGAATCCCTTAACTTCACCATGCGCATCATCCCGCAGGGAAGGTCTTTTATATCCAGGCTTCTTTGCCTGCTCCACGGGGTACAGGACTCTTGCCCAGTTTCATTGGACAACCCCACGCCAAGGCTGACTTAGCTATGTGGGGGAAGTTTTTGGCAGATTGCAACGGTATATCCATGTTTGTATGCCAGTGTGTATGTATTCCAGTGTATATGTATGCCAGTGTGTATGTATGCCAGTGTGTATGTATGTATGTATGCCGGTGTGTATGTATGTATGTATATATGTATGTATGCCAGTGTGTATGTGTGTATGTATATATGTATGTATGCCAGTGTGTATGTTTGTGTGTGTGTGTGTGTGTGTGTGTATGAATGTATGTATGCCAGTATGTGTGTGTATGTATGTGTATGTATGAATGCCTGTATGTGTATGTATGAACGCCTGTATGTATGTATGTTTGTCAGTATGTATGTCTGTATGTATATGTGTGTGTGTGTGTGTGTGTGTGTCAGTATCTCCCTATGCATGTGTGTATGTCTGTTTCAGTATTTGTATCTGTTAGTATGTGTGTATCTTTCTGTGTGTGTATTCCTGTGGGTAGGATTTGGAGGCGGGCCCCGTGGGCGGGCTTGAAGGGGGGCCCAGACCTTGAACTCTGTTATACACTGAGACACATTACTGGGAGTATTATTGTGTGAGCTCTGTTATACACTCAGACACATTACTGGGAGTATTATTGTTGTGAAGCTCTGTTATACACTGAGACACATTACTGGGAGTATTATTGCTGTGGAGCTCTGTTATACACTGAGACACATTACTGGGAGTATTATTGCTGTGGAGCTCTGTTATACACTCAGACACATTACTGGGAGTATTATTGCTGTGGAGCTCTGTTATACACTCAGACACATTACTGGGAGTATTATTGCTGTGGAGCTCTGTTATACCCTCAGACACATTACTGGGAGTGTTATTGCTGTGGAGCTCTGTTATACACTCAGACACATTACTGGGAGTATTATTGCTGTGGAGCTCTGTTATACACTCAGACACATTACTGGGAGTGTTATTGCTGTGGGGCTCTGTTACACACTCAGACACATTACTGGGAGTATTATTGCTGTGGAGCTCTGTTACACACTCAGACACATTACTGGGGAATTATTATTATTGCTGTGGAGCTCCTGTTACACACTCAGGCTGATACCTGGGGTATTATTGCTGTGGACTCTGTTACACACACAGGCGCATTACTGGGAATATTATTGCTGTGGAGCTCTGTTATACACTCAGACACATTACTGGGAGTATTATTGCTGTGGAGCTCTGTTATACACTCAGACACATTACTGGGAGTATTATTTCTGTGGAGCTCTGTTATACACCCAGACACATTACTGGGAGTATTATTGCTGTGGAGCTCTGTTATACACAGTCACATTACTGGGAGTATTATTGCTGTGTGGAGCTCTGTTATACACTCAGACACATTACTGGGAGTATTATTGCTGTGGAGCTCTGTTATACACTCAGACACATTACTGGAGTATTATTGCTGTGGGGCTCTGTTATACACTCAGACACATTACTGGGAGTATTATTGCTGTGGGGCTCTGTTATACACTCAGACACATTACTGGGAGTATTATTGCTGTGGGGCTCTGTTACACACTCAGTCACATTACTGGGAGTATTATTGCTGTGGAGCTCTGTTATACACTCAGACACATTACTGTGAGTATTATTACTGTGGAGCTCTGTTATACACTCAGTCACATTACTGGGATTATTATTACTGTGGAGCTCTGTTATACACTCAGTCACATTACTGGGAGTATTATTGCTGTGGAGCTCTGTTATACACTCAGACACATTACTGGGAGTATTATTGCTGTGGAGCTCTGTTATGCACTCAGACACATTACTGGGAGTATTATTGCTGTGGGGCTCTGTTATGCACTCAGACACATTACTGGGAGTATTATTGCTGTGGAGCTCTGTTATACACTCAGACACATTACTGGGAGTATTATTGCTGTGGAGCTCTGTTATACACTCAGACACATTACTGGGAGTATTATTGCTGTGGAGCTCTGTTATACACTCAGACACATTACTGGGAGTATTATTGCTTTGGGGCTCTGCTATACACTCAGACACATTACTGGGAGTATTATTGCTGTGGAGCTCTGTTATACACTCAGACACATTACTGGGAGTATTATTGCTGTGGAGCTCTGTTATACACTCAGACACATTACTGGGAGTATTATTGCTGTGGAGCTCTGTTATACACTCAGACACATTACTAGGAGTATTATTGCTGTGGGCTCTGTTATACACTCAGACACATTACTGGGAGTATTATTGCTGTGGAGCTCTGTTATACACTCAGACACATTACTGGGAGTATTATTGCTGTGGAGCTCTGTTATACACTCAGACATTACTGGGAGTATTATTGCTGTGGAGCTCTGTTATACACTCAGACACATTACTGGGAGTATTATTGCTGTGGGGTTCTGTTATACACTCAGACACATTACTGGGAGTATTATTGCTGTGGGGTTCTGTTACACACTCAGACACATTACTGGGAGTATTATTGCTGTGGAGCTCTGTTATACACTCAGACACATTACTGGGAGTATTATTGCTGTGGAGCTCTGTTATACACACAGACACATTACTGGGAGTATTATTGCCAGGGAGCTCTGCTATACACTCAGACAGACCAATGTGTAGTTCCTAGAAAAGAGGGACAGATGGATTTGAACTCAAAATAGGGACTGTCCCTAGTAAACAGGGACACTTGGGAGGTATGACTATAGGTGTCAAAGGACTACAGACAGCACACACAGCTGCTTATCCTAAAAGCATAGCTAAAGGCAGAAGGTTGATTTCTGTTTGGACAATAAAGTTTTTGAAGAAAAAAAAGACACCCAAAAGCCCAATAATCACATGACTTGTAACCAAACATGGCTCCGAATGGTGGGCGTGGCTTGAGTCCCCAGCTGCCAGTGCAGGAAGTGACCTTCTCCAGGAGTTACACTCACAGCACACTCACTCACCTACCTGACTGAGTGGGCACTCAGCTGGGCTCCCATGCAGTGCCACACTCAGTGCACTACACCATACACATACATTAAATCATGGTAAGTGATCAGTCTGCATGTAAACCAGCAGGGATAGGGTTAATGGATGGGGTGTATCATACACAGATTATTAAACCATGTGATCCAGCAGGGATAGGGTTAATGGATGGTGTTATCATACACAGATTATTAAACCATGTGATCCAGCAGGGATAGGGTTAATGGATGGGGTTATCATACACAGATTATTAAACCATGTGATCCAGCAGGGAAAGGGTTAATGGATGGGGGGGGGTATCATACACAGATTATTAAACCATGTGATCCAGCAGGGAAAGGGTTAATGGATGGGGGTATCATACACAGATTATTAAACCATGTGATCCAGCAGGGGGTTAATGGATGGGGTATCATAACAGATTATAAACCATGTGATCCAGCAGATGTGATCCAGCAGGGATAGGGTTAATGGATGGGGGGATGGCATCATACACAGATTATTAAGCACATACATGTGATCCAGCAGGGGGTTATATGGGTTATATGGATGGGGGGGGGCATCATGGCAGATACATACACAGATTATTAAACCATGTGATCCAGCAGGGAAAGGGTTAATGGATGGGGGTATCATACACAGATTATTAAACCATGTGATCAGCAGGGAAAGGGTTAATGGATGGGGGGGCATCATACACAGATTATTAAACCATGTGATCCAGCAGGGATAGGGTTAATGGATGGGGGTATCATACACAGATTATTAAACCATGTGATCCAGCAGGGATAGGGTTAATGGATGGGGGGTATCATACACAGATTATTAAACCATGTGATCCAGCAGGGATAGGGTTAATGGATGGGGGTATCATACACAGATTATTAAACCATGTGATCCAGCAGGGATAGGGTTAATGGATGGGGGCATCATACACAGATTAAACCATGTGATCCAGCAGGATAGGGTTAATGGATGGGGGTATCATACACAGATTATTAAACCATGTGATCCTGCAGGGATAGGGTTAATGGATGGGGGGGTATCATACACAGATTATTAAACCATGTGATCCAGCAGGGATAGGGTTAATGGATGGGGGTATCATACACAGATTATTAAACCATGTGATCCAGCAGGGAAAGGGTTAATGGATGGGGGGGTATCATACACAGATTCTTAAACCATGTGATCCAGCAGGGAAAGGGTTAATGGATGGGGGTATCATACACAGATTATTAAACCATGTGATCCAGCAGGGAAAGGGTTAATGGATGGGGGTATCATACACAGATTATTAAACCATGTGATCCAGCAGGGAAAGGGTTAATGGATGGGGGTATCATACACAGATTATTAAACCATGTGATCCAGCAAGGATAGGGTTAATGGATGGGGGGTATCATACACAGATTATTAAACCATGTGATCCAGCAAGGATAGGGTTAATGGATGGGGGGTATCATACACAGATTATTAAACCATGTGATCCAGCAGGGATAGGGTTAATGGATGGGGGTATCATACACAGATTATTAAATGATGTGATCCAGCAGGGATAGGGTTAATGGAGGGGGGTATCATAAACAGATTATTAAACCATGTGATCCAGTAGGGGAAGGGTTAATGGATGGGGGGGTTATCATGCACAGATTATTAAACCATGTGATCCAGCAGGGATAGGGTTAATGGAGGGGGGGGCATCATAAACAGATTATTAAACCATGTGATCCAGCAGGGATAGGGTTAATGAATGGGGGTTATCATACACAGATTATTAAACCATGTGATCCAGCAGGGATAGGGTTAATGGAGGGGGTATCATACACAGATTATTAAACCATGTGATCCAGCAGGGATAGGGTTAATGGATGGGGGGGTATCATACACAGATTATTAAACCATGTGCTCCAGCAGGGAAAGGGTTAATGGATGGGGGGCATCATACACAGATTATTAAACCATGTGATCCAGCAAGGATGGGGGGGGTATCATACACAGATTATTAAACCATGTGATCCAGCAGGGATATGGTTAATGGATGGGGGTATCATACACAGATTAACCATGTGTTCCAGCAGGGAAAGTGTTAATGGGTGTGCGCATTCTAACAGTCCATATGAAAGCATTTCTCAGACACATTACTGGGAGTGTTGTGTTGCTTTCTTATGGATGTTCTGCACGCTGGATGCAAATTTTGCATCAAGCGTCGCAGAAGCGCCCCTAGCGGCGGTCAGGAAGACAGCCACTAGAGGCTGGATTAACCCTGCAATGTAAACATAGCAGTTTTTCTGAAACTGCTATGTTTACATGTGAAGGGTTAAAACCTTGGGGACCTGGCACCCAGACTACTTCATTGAGCTGAAGTGGTCTGGGTGACTATAGTGTCTCTTTAATAATGGTTGGACCCTGGACAAGCATTTGCTTGAGGCCCCCTGGATCCTGCCTCCCCACTCCCTGGAATGCAATCACGCCCTCCACTGCAACGCAATGGTGGAACTAAAGAGAGAGGTCCCTGGTGCAAGACTTCTTTTGGGGCCCCGCCATTGCAAGGGTGGCCAAAAGATAGATCCCCATCTGTCATGCAACTCCAACAATGCTTTGACAGCTGGGGCTCTACCATTTCCCCATGCTTGCAAGGTTGTTTTTAGCACTAAGCATTGTTTGTGTGTTCAACCCCTTAAGGACCAAACTTCTGGAATAAAAGGGAATCATGACATGTCACACGTCATGTGTCCTTAAGGGGTTAAATTTAAGTATGTTTTTGTATGGAGTCTGTGTGAATGTAGAATGTGGTGTTGGCGTTTGAATGCAAGTATCCATGTAGTATTTGTTTTTGAATGCAGGGATGTGTTTATATTTAATTTTGGTGTTTAACACCGAGGTGTGTTTGTATGTAGTGTTAAAATTTCAATACAGGGGTGTGTTTATGTGTAGTGTTGGTGTTTGAATGCTGAGATGTATAAACATACACTGATACAAATGCAGATATACAGACACACACTGACATACATACACACAGATACACAACTTGACACTCATGCAGTTACACAAACACAAGAATACACACATTGACACACATTCAGATACACACAATGACAACATACAGATACACATCGTGACTCACATGCAGATATACAGATACAGTTAGGGGGGCTAGTGAGACAGGGTTAGAAGGGCTTGTGAGACAGGGGTAGGGAGACGGTTTGGGGGGGTTAGAGAGACAGGGTTAGGGAGTTAGAGAGACAGGGTTAGTGTGACAGAGTAATGGGAAACCACACAATTAAAATATATTTTGCTTTGCCCCCTCCTGCTTACCTTCTGTCCAGGCAGGGGAGGCAATAATTAATTTCATAGTGGCCCAGTGTGCTGCTAGTGAACTCCTTGGTGGTCCAGTGTGCTGCTGGGGCTGCCGCGCAGTTCCGGCGCACTGAGATGTCAGAGCGTAGGTTGGGAACCCAGCGCCTGTGCTGTGACACAGTGCTGCCTCGTTTGCCCCATGTTAAAGACGGCTCTGCTTGCATTGGGTGCTCTGTGTGCCCATGAGGGTGCCTTTAATGAATGCTGCTCTGCCAAGGAATAGCTTTCATTGGGTGCCTGCACCAAGTACTGTCTGTGCCAATGAGGGTGCCCTGTAGTGCGTGCTGTCTATACCAGTTAGGGTGCTCTGCAAATGGGTGCTGTCTGTACCAGTGAGGGTACTCTGCAATGGGGTAAAGGTGCCCTGCAAATGGGTGCTGTCTTACCAGTGAGGGCGCTCTGCAATGGGTGTGCACCATAATAGCTATGCAAAAAAAAACCCCGCTATAATACATATGAAACGGTAAATAATAAAATACGCTAAAATACACTTTTACCATTGACCGCTATTTTTAAATACATAAATCAGTTAATTCTTGTATGGATATTAATTTAAATAAAATGTGTGTAATTCTGATACAGTCAAAATATTGTCCAGGCTACACTGCTAACCAAAAGTAGTGATTAGAGGTTTATTTACTAAGCATGGATTTGAGGTGTTTAATTTCCAAATATAAACATGTCATGTGTGGGGGCAGCTGCACAGCTTCCAAATGGTGTGCATTTCATGCATTCTGTAATATCTATTATTTCGGTTTGGGAACAAGAAACTGTCCACATCCATTTCCTGGCAAATTTACCAGTACACTGAATAGAGCAGGTATATGCCTATCTCAAGCTGACTGTCCTACATATTTTGTGTAACAGTTGTTTTAAGGATGGTAATCAGGTAACTTTAAACACAGCAAAAGTACCTTGTCATGGAAAGTTATGTTATAGCTGTAAAGGAGCAGTGTCGGCACCATATCCCCCACATGCCATTATACTAGTTATGGTGCCATCAGGCTGCAGGTGCCATCCTCCCATTAGCAATTTCATCTATATTCTAACATTCATTGGCTGAGCCAGACCCACTTAGCCAATAAATGACGCTAAACTCTGGGTTTAATTTATATTGCTGTTGTGAAAGTGAACTTCCAAGACCTGGGCTGCGGGTTCCTCTGGTTAACCATTCAAACAGAATGACTAAGAACCTGATGTAGGGCGTCTGCAGTCTAATGGCACCATAACCATTGACATGCACTGGTTATGGTGCCTTGATTGCTCCTTTAACCCCTTAAGGACCAAACTTCTAGAATAAAAGGGAATCATGACATGTCACACATGTCATGTGTCCTTAAGAGGTTAAAACAATGCCAGTTTTCTAAACAGGAATCAGAAATTAACAATTGGATTGTTAGCTCATCTGCACTTCCTGTATGGTATTTTTCTGCAAAGGTTACGTATTTGCCTTTTTATCGTGCATTTAGTGTATCCTTTTATTAGAATGTACTCCTACCCATATTGATTGTCACTCAGCTAAACAGTGGGACATAATTCATTATGTGTTTATATCATGGAAAATAAAAAGGGATGATCTACTAATCCCCCAAAATTACATTGTTGATGATGCCTTTAATAGAAAGGAATGTACTATCTTGGTTTAGAAATTGCTATACACGACTCTCACACTGTGATTTTTCTTACATTTTCAGGCTGGCACAATGATAGTCGCTGGCTTAACCATAGCAGCTGCTGGATTTGCAGGTTTGTACAGTAGGACCACCAGAGGGATTCTTTTTTTAGGTTTTATTTTTCAGAATGATCTGAATAGAGTAATGTAAAAAGCTTAGCAATCTGAGGACTTAATACTAAAACTGTATTTGGAATGTCAGCCTTGCAGTTATTCTGAGTTGTGATGGTGCTTAGAATGACCCTTTAGTCCTCTACAAAACCATTTTTATTTTTTTTATTTTGTTAAAAAGGTTTACCCTCTCTTTCACCTCTTGTATCTGTCAACATTATTTCTACCCGTCTTACTTGTAATCACTGTTGAAAATGTTTTGCTATATTATAGCCAATAGTAATGATACTCTGTAACCTTGCCAATTGTTGTAACCAGTGTTTTGTGTTTTTTTTCTCTGTTAGGACGGTATGCCTTTCAAGCCATGAAACACCTAGAACCTCAGGTGAAGCAAGCTCTTCAGACCCTGCCTAAGTCGGTAAGACACTTCCAAAATCTTCTAAATAGAGAAATAAGGGATGATCCATTGAAATATTGCTGTTCTTTTGGGCTTTATTTTAAATAATTGTTACAAGATTGATAAATGTTGGTGTGTTTTCTGAATGTTTACTTCAACAGTCTTTTTGTTGGCAGTTGCATTTTATTTATTAATAATCACACTTTTTATGTCAACAGTGTGTTGTTTTATTTTTCCTTCTACTTCGCAAGTTCATTTTTGGAGTAGGAAGTGTTTTCAGTGTAGAAATTGATGTGAGTTTCCATACACAGTGCTTATTTTTCATCTGTCATACTCCCTACACCCTCCACTGATCTAGTGCTAGAAACGTTTGTGAATTGCACAGTGAGGCTCACTAAACATAGACATGTTTCAGATATGATAACTGGATTTTCAGGATTTAGGACAAAATATAGAAGGGTTTGGAGGGAAAAAAGATGCCTATTTTCCTGGTATATAGTGCCAGTACCAGTGGGGGTTTGTATCCTCCTGATGGACAAGCCGACTGTAAATAAAAAATTTAAATAGTCCCTCCTACTTCCCCTTTAAAACCCCGGACTTACCCCAGGACTTTCAGTATTCTTTCATGTCCCATTCGGGATTGGACACGATGACTGTTCCTTGAGTCTGGTGGGGAGCACAGGTTGCTGTCACAGGATATAACACACTTTTGGGAACTAAAAGTCCATTCACTGAGTGCTCCTTTTATACCCTATGTCTTTAAATTATAGCCACACCTTCAAAACGTTCGAATTCAAAATCATTGGCATAAAAAGGGGCAGAGCTATAGCTGCCGGCGTCTGAACTGCTGGAGACATGAGAGGGACCATGGGCAACAAAAGGTAACGTGACACTAGTGAGGCGTCAAGTGTGGAAGAAGGTTTTCCTGCTGAACATTTGAAAAGGTTCATTAAAGAGGTATCGGCAGTGTTATCTGAGGATGAAGCTACAAAAAAGATTAGGGGTTTCCTGATATTCCCTGAAGTTATTAGAATTTGTACATTGAGAATGGAAGAATCCTGAGAAAAGGTAATTCATTTCCATTTTAAGGAGCTTATCAGACTTCAAGAAGGTTTAAGTTGGGGAGAGCTACCATAGGTAGATACACAAGTGCCGCAACTGTCCAAAAAGACCACACTACCCATCAGTGAAGTATCTGGCCTTAAAAATCCAATGGACAGAAGAGCGGACACGTCCTGCAGACTAATCTTCCAAACAGCAGGGTTTCAAAGTAAAGCTGCAATTGCGGAAGTATCTGTCATGAGAGCACAAAAAGTTTGGCTTCAAGAAATTGAGAGTTGTCTGATGGAAGGATCGGAAAAATAAATTCCTCACCTTTTACAAAATATAAGGTTGGCTAATGATTTTATGCTGGATTTATCTGAGGAAGGCCTTAAATTGTCGGCATGTTTAATGGGACTTGTTTCAGTAGCCAGAAGGGCTTTATGGTTGCGTTTATGATCCTCTGATACAGCATTAAAGGTTTCTTTATGTGAACTACCACTAGAAAGTGCAAAATTGTTTGGTTCCTGCAAGAAATGATTAAGCAAATGTCCGACACGAAAAAGGCTTTACCTCCGGAAAATAGATATATGCCAAATTTTGAAAGATTCCAATACCAGCCTAGAAGATCTGGGAAGTTTGATAGGAATCAAATTTTTTTTTTTTTGAAAACCAACAAGAGACAACAAGTTTCAAGACCGAAACCCTAACAAACAAGACAAAAAGAAGAGGTTCTGATGCCAAAGTAGGTGGACGACTACAACTTTTTACAAGGCATGGGAAGAATCGACATAAACCCATGGATTTTGGGGGTCATAAGAGAGGGCTACAAAATCAAGGTCTCAGAAACTCTGAAACCTTGTCTTCTCCTGTCATCTTACCCATCTCAAAAGAAAAAGGAAGCTCTTTGGTCAGAAGCTATGGCACTGTTAAAAAAGGGTGTGATAGAAAGAATGCCAAGACGTCAGGAACGAAAATGGGTATATTCCAGATTCTTCTTGGTCCCAAAGCCAGATCAGTCAGTCAGGCCTATTCTGGACCTAAAGAATATCAGCAAGTATATTTCGTACCATAAATTCCAGATGGACACAATTCACTTTGTCACCCATTTATTGAACAAAGGAAATTTTATGGCAACTTTAGACCTAAAGGATGCCTATCTTGACGTTCCCATGGCGTTACAATCAGGACGTATCTAAGGTTTGCAGTTCACTCCGGTTCCAGTTTCCATCATTTCCAATTCAAGGCCATTCCCTTCAGGCTCGCAAAATATCCTTACGCCATTAACTGCAAGATTAAGGGAAATGGGTGTTTCTTTAATCCCATACCTGGACGACTGGCTTATCATAGCCGACTCAAGAAGTCATCTGGAAAGGGATCTTCAAACAACGATGTGCATGCTCAAAAATCATGGTTGGATTATCAATTTTAAAAAATCACAGCTTTTGCCAACCCCAAAAAATCCATTTCTGGGTTTCATCATAGATGCCAATAAGTTTTCTCTTGTGAAAAGACAAAAGATAGAGGAAGAAATTGTGTTTCTTTAAGAAGAACATGTTTACACCATAATGCAAGCAATGAGTGTTCTGGTTACTTTGACATCCACAATTCCAGCCGTCAGATCGGCAATACGTCCACTTCAATGGGAAATCTTAGCTCACTGGACAAAAAGGGACGAAGACCTAGATGCAAAACTCAGCCTTATGACAGAAACCCGAGAACAGCTATTTTGGTGGAAACAGTCAACATTTCTGTCAATAAGTTTTCCTTTCCAGCAAAAAGAGTGCGTGATTATCACATGGACGCATCAAATCTAGGATGGGGAGAGCACATCTACTTTCACATTTCCATCACGGGCTGTGGAATCCAGCAGAAGGAAAACATTCTTCCAATTACAAAGAGCTCAAAGCAGTCTGTATGCTCTAGTAAAATTCAAACATTGGATTCTGATCAAGGCAGTAAAGATACAGTAGGACAACAGCACGATGGTAGCATATATCAACCGTCAAGGAGATACAAGAATCAGAGGCCTGCACGTTCTTGTAGGGAGATTATGATGTGGTCACAGAGGCACCTGGAATCTATTTAGGCTGTTCACATAAAAGGCGAGCAAAATGTGGTAGCAAGCGACCTCAGCAGGAACAAATGGTCACAAACAAATTGGTCTCTGCACCCTCAAGATTTGGTCTTCCGGTAATAGATCTAATGGAAAGGAAAAGGAAAAGTCCTGAAGTTTGCTTCACTGTTCAGACAGGACAACCCTCATGTTCTGGACAGCATGTTGATCCCCATGCTTTTCAGTCTGGCATATATTTTTCCTCCTATCCTATCCCAATGATCCCGAGAACTTTACAGAAGATCAAAGCAGAAGAAGCTCGAGTGATTGCTGTCTTCCCATACCAGCCAAATCGGAGCTGGTTCTCGGCATTGCGACTTATGGCACTGGACTAATGGCAGCTTCCTTTCTCAGATTACTCTTGGAAAATGTAGTTCTTCTGGAAAAAACTATTTGCATGTTCAGATTGACAGCCTGGCTTTTGCAAGGTTAATTCTGAAGAACCAGGGTATTCCAGATAACCTGTTTCATACAATTCTAAACTCCACCAGAGCTTCTATGTCTAGTATCTATTTGAGGATTTGGAACAAATGTCTCCATTGGTGCGTTCGGCATAATTGCTTTCATTGCCATCCCTGTGTCAAGACGCCTCTTCAGTTTCTGCAAGAAGGCTTTGAAAACGGTCTCAGTGTCTCTACTTTAAAGGTTCACACTGCGACCCTCAGCCATTTTTTGCTCCAAGAGCTTGCAACATGTCTGCTGATTAGGCATTTCTTCAAGTCCATTCTTCTACAAAGACCACCTTGTAAATTTCAATTCCCTTCCTGGGATTTATCTCTAGTGCTACAGTCTTTATTTGAAGCTCCATTTGAACCACTTGAAGGTGTATCATTAAGAATTCTGTCTCTTAAGACTATTTTCCTGGTAGCAATTACCTAGGCTAGGAGAATTGGGGAGATTGAAGCCCTCTCCTCTTCATTGGAATTCACGATTTTCCATCAGGACAAGGTTGTACTGCATACTAAGTCTTCTTTTTTACCGAGAGTTCTTTCAAGAAAAACTCTGAATAAACATCTGGTGCTTCCATCATTCTGTAGTTCGGGAAGTTAGGATCAAGAACAGAAGTGGCATAACCTGGATGTTCGCAGAGCACTTTTGATTTACTTATCCCGTTCAGAAGATTTTAGTTCCTCCTGTTTATTAATTTTCAGGGAAAATAGAAGGGTATGGGAGCATCTAAACCCACTCTGGCAAGGTGGTTAACAAACACCATCAAGTTGGCTTATGAATTGCACAATGTTCAATTACCTTCCTCCTTTAGAATGCACTCAACCAGAGCCATGTCCACTTCATGGGATGAAAAATCCAACACTTTTCCTGAAGACATCTGCAAAGCAGCAACTTGGTCCTCTTTTCATGCCTTCATCAAGCACTATTGATTAGACATCTTCTCATCCTCTGAGGCTGCTTTTGGGCGCAAGGTGCTTCAAGCTGTAGTTCGCTGAGACCCACCCTTTGAATGTTCAAGGGATCTTGTTATGGTACTGCCACTATATGCCAGGAAAGACAGAATTTTTACTTACCGTAAATTGTTTTCCTTAATATAGTGGCAGTACGATTCCCCTCCCTCTTTTGATAATACATTTTATATTGAGCATGATATGGCCTATGGTGTCTTTTCTTTTCATTTACTGACGGTCCTGGGGTAAGTCCGGGGTGTTTAAAGGCAAAGTAGGAGGGACTATTTACATTTTTATTTACTTATTTACAGTCGGATTGTCAATCAGGAGGATACAAACCCCCACTGGTACTGCCACTATATTAAGAAAAAAATAATTTTCGTGAGTAAAATTTGTTTTTTCCAGGTGCGTTTGTTTAGCTTTTCCATTCATCGTAGGTTGATGTTTAGTGAATAAACCCATTTGTCTTATTCTTTATTTTATGTTATGAGTAATTATATGCCGGATTAGAGAGTAACATATGTTTGTTTTATTTATTTTTAATGCATTGGAATGATTTGTTTTGTTTTTTTAATTATGTTTTCCCACCACTAACTGTATATTTTATTTTTGACAAAAGGCTTTTGCTGGTTATTACAAAGGAGGATTTGAACCCAAAATGAACAAAAGGGAAGCGGCATTGGTCTTAGGAGTTAGGTAAGCCAAATTTAGAGTAAATCGTACTTTCTGTTGTAGAAAGGTGCTTATATCATCAAGAAAATCTATTTTGTTGGGATGCCTGTTATTAACTAATGGTGACATATGCAAACAAAGTATTGTTGGGAAAACATTCAGCAACAAAAAAATGGCCTATATTTATTCATCTCTGCACCATTTCTTTCTATATCCTGGCTTGCCGTATAGGTTCATTTGCATGAAATGCCTGTCTGTGCCTTTCTTAGAAGGTAGTTGTGATTCCAGATTGAGTTAACTTGTTTTTGTTCTCCATAAACATATTATATGCTGGATTCATAGAAACATAGGTAGCACATCCCAATCGAGTCTATTAGCCTTTAGAAATTCCATTATTCTACGTATCTACCGCTCTTATGTAAATAATCTCATCCCAGACATAAGTTGATTAAAGTATTGTATAGAAAATGCATTCAAAATAATGTAAAACATTATTAGCTCAAAGACTGAAAGATAAACAAGTACAATCATGTATCGCACACCTAATAAACAAGACAGACCAAAAATTATTACTCTCCAAACAGATCTGCACAGAATTTGCTAATTACTATAGCCAACTCTATAACCTCAAAGACAATCCTGACACTAAATGCCCAACGACCACGGGTCTAAGGGACTACCTATCTGAAATCCCCCTACTGACAGTAGGGCCCCTGGCCCAGACGGCTACACTAACACATACTACATGACCTTTAAACACCTCTTAGTCCCCCACCTCACCAAGACATTTAACCATACAACACAAAAAGGGACCTTCCCCTCAGAATTCTTAGCTGCAAGAGTAATTACGCTCCTAAAACCAGGTAAGGCACCCACACACTGTCAGAACTTTCGCCCGATATCACTTTTAAACTCTGACACCAAATTACATGCCAAAATCTTTGCTACGTGACTTAAATCAATCTTACCATTGATAGTCTCAGACCACCATGTGGGCTTTGTGCAGGGACGACAGGGACTGGACAATACAAGAAAAGTGGTAGACCTTCTACAAACTGTACACACAGACTAAACGCAAGGTCTGTTAATTTCACTAGACGCAGAAAAAGCATTCACTATAACGAACGGAACGAGACAGGGATGCACCCTGTCTCCGCTCCTTTATGTACTAACCCTGGAACCTCTAGCATAAGCTATAAGACATAACCTGAACGTACATGGCATACGGATAGGGGATAAAGAATAAAAACTTGACTTATTCGCTGATGATGTCTTACTGACTCTATCCCAACCAGCCATTTCCCTTCCAAACCTTCAAAAAGAACTACAAAGATACAGCTTACAATCATACTATAAGTTAAACATCACAAAAACCCAAACAATGGGAATAGGCATTGACAATAGCACCATAGGGAGACTTACAAAGATATTTAATTTCGACTCCTACCTTCCACCAAACTGATAGCCATATAGGACACAAATAGACGTGAAGTATGCTCCTCTACAAAATGTTCCCCAGTGACCCCGCTGAAAACCATACATGTACTCAATCCCACTTTCAATTTTAAACAATGGGCTGAACACAACGTAACCCATTTACACCAAGTGTCTGACCAAGGCCTCACTAGGAGCTTTCAAGACCTAGAGACTAAGTATAAGATCCCACACACGGCCCACTTTTCATACATCCAAATGAGCCACATGCTCAGAATCGAGAAGACCCAAAGAGAACAAGCAGACATCACACCCAGTTTGAAACCATGTGCCTGTACATGCTAAAACAGGGGGAAAAAACACTATTGTTTTGATACTCCACACTCATAGCAGAACCTCAAGACCCAGTATGGTCCTTTCAAAAAGAATGGAACAAAGATATAGGGAGAGAGTTAACACCCCAAACATGGAATAAGGCCTTTTCAGCATTTAGAGGCGCATCATCTTGTGCCTCCCACTTAGACATCTCTAGGAAACTACTGTACAGATGATACCTGACTCCAGATAAAATAGCTGAAATGTATCAAACACCAGAAAATAAATGTTGGAGATGCCAAAAGGTCCCAGGTAACACATTGCACATATGGTGGACATGCCCACTGCCAGCACCATACTGGTCAACAGTAGATGACTTGATCAAATTTAGCACTGGAAAAAGGATCATACCAACTATAGAAAGCTATCTTCTATTCATAATGCCATCAGGCCTCCCGAATCCGCAAGCTGGCTTTTCTCGCACTGGTAGCAGCAGTTACGCTACTGGCGAGAAACTGGAGATCGGCAACGATACCCTCCAAATCGGAATTGATCCACCTGGTTTCCACCAATGTAGACTATGAACAATTAGCATCACCTCATGGGCAAACAGGATACACACAAAGAGAGGTCACTAATATATGGCAAAAATACAAAGAGGGCAACCCGCTACAACCACCAAAGTAGTAGATAGTATCTGGGTTCAATTTGGTGCACGGTAGGCAGGAGGTACCAAACAATGGGCACGAGCACAACAAAAAGGGCATATAAAAAGTAAAGGAAGGCACACACGGGCAGATTGCAATGAGTGTTTTGTTTCACCTTTGTAAAAAGGTTACACCCAGGGATAGAAGGGATGATCTAGCAGGGTATGTATAAAGCACCTCCAAGTTAGGTAGGTCACCCTCACAAGCCGCGCCAACAGACAAATGACAAGGTTCCCGGCGATAGCTGGTTAATACAGAACGAGAGTAGGCAATATTAACTGTCATAAAAGAGGTAATGTTTGACAGCTGTATCAGTGAGACCGTATCCCTTACCCCCTTTCTCTTCTGTACCCCATTGTATATGTTTTATATTGGGAAGAACAATAAAGATATAAATTTAAAAAAGAAATAGTATAAAAGACACATGTTTTGAAAGAGCCACATATTGTACTGTTTTTGCAGACAGGCAGACTCTTCCCAAACCAACTGGAGATTGTCCAGTCAGTCTCATACTGGTCTGTCGCAACTAATCTTTTCCCGTACATCCCGATCCAGCAGAAATTTTTGGGAAACACAACTTACCTGCCGCCCACAGTTATTATTTTTCCTATCCACCCAACCAGCTGTATTTTGTTGTTGGTTTTTCTATTTATTTTTATATTTTGTATTGCTATATACTGATACTGCAAGCCACTTTCAGAAATTTGAGCAATAAGTACAGTGCAGTAACGCCGGGTGCTCATGGTGCTTAGCCAGACTATTTAGCTGTTGGATTTATTTTTTTATATTATTTTACGCACATTCCTGCTATTGATCATGTAATATTTAGCTGTCAGATTGTATTGACTACTCCATAGCAGGTATCTTTTTCCCATCAGGCCCTTCCTGCTCTTGGGTGTGATTAAGAATTGATTATTCAGTAAACTGTTTATCCTCTCTATTGACTAACAACATTTTGCCATAAAAGGGAAGCTGTGTTTTATTTATATACTAAACATGCATGCTAATGATTTTGACTTGTTTTTGTTTACTTGTTAATGCTTTCAGTATCTGGTAAACCTACATATTATTACTTAAAGGGCCACTCCACTGCCTAAACACAAAATAAATCACAATTTAGTAGATGTTCCCCCAAATGAAAACTTATGTGCATTAAATTCTGAATTTTTTAATTGGGGGGTATATCTAAAAACGACTTACAAAATCTACATTTCTCTTGTCTGCAGCCTTTACAAGCCCTCCCCTTCTAACCCCGCCCAGACATTCGGTGGCTGTCCAATTACAGACTTCCCAATGCAGCTCAATGAGAAGTCTTTGCAAGGCAGGTGCTCTGGGCAATTGCTGCCTCTTGAGTTTAGCTTCACTGAGCTAAACAAACCAGGAAGTAACAGGACTTGATGTCTGATTGAAAGCTAAGGGGGTGTAACCATTTTAATTTATAAAATAGTGGCAATTTTGAAAAAGAGGACACACTCTTCATACATTAAGCTTTTCGACAAGCTAAAGTTTTTTAGGAGTATGGAGTGTGCCTTTAACAGAACATATGTTTTGCATGCCATTGGCAATGAAAGAGTCACAACTCCTGATATTCCTTAAAGGGACACTAAAGGCACCCAGACCACTTCAGCTCGTTGAAGTGGTCTGGGTGCATATTCCCAGGTCCTTTAACCCTGCAAAGGTAATATTTGCAGCTTTTTAAAAACTGCAATACTTATCTTTGTAGTGTATCTCCACCTCTAGTGGCTGTCTTCCACTATGCATTAGGACATCCAGCGTCACTGGAATCCCCATAGGAAGGCATTAAATAATGTATAATGTCTTTAACCCTTTCTGCCCAGCTATATTTCCTGGCACTATAATTTCCCTGTAATAAAACCCCAATGAAGATTTAGGTCTCACATTGCTAGATGTAAAGAACCATTTTGTGGAGATTGGGAGATGGTGTGCAAGAATGGGTAATGGGGAGGATGAGGCATCCTAATTTTGGTGTCTCAAGCTAAGGGAGTGCAGTTTGGGTGCCGTGAATTCCTCCTGTTTGAATCAAGTCAACTAAAAGTGTTTTGATAAATAACAAGTCACCGTAGGTTCCATATCCAGTCGTGTGATGTATTCTGCTGGACTCACAGTAAGTAGGGGTGGAATCTCTGGTATATAAATAGCGTGTATCCAGGACTACCTAAGGCAACAGGGATCGTGGCTATTTTACCAGTAGGCCACAAATGAAAGAAGAATTCCCACTCACTCCCCGTGCTTGATGTAGCACCAGGACTTAGTGAGGGCAGATGGGAAATAATTCCTTGTGCCTCTTAGAAAGATTTCTGGCTCTCCCATATTGAATGTAAAGTATAAGCAGTATGTTCGCAGGCCTTAATAGCCGTGCCAGTCCATTACTTCACCTTGTTATAAATATATTTGGCACACAGACTGACGTGGGTAAAGCAGGATGTTTAAAAAAAAGGTCTATGCTTGCTGGTGGATTCCAATAGTTCTACCAGGCTGATTCTCATCAGTTGTTGGTAATGTTAAGCAAGTAAGGGATGTTAATCCTTTTTTTTTCATGGCATTGGACGGATATGATAAAAGATACGATTGTCTGGGGAGGGAGGAACGGCTATAAAGAAAATAAAGGGTAATAAAGCATCCAAGGGAAGATGGCTAAAATTGGACAGGGGGATGAGGTCTCACTATTAGAAGCCATGTCAAGGGCCCAATAAAACACATGAAGCAGCCATGACCCCAATTAGAAGAGCCAGATTTGCTGTTTCTCCGACTCATGATTTTGTGAGTTCAAAACAATCTAATAATAGAGCGCTATATTTGGACGAGAGTGTGAATAAGATGGATTCGATTAAAACACATTTAAATTACTGCACGCTAACGGCAAAGTCAAACATTGGGCTGTGATACAATATTTTAATAATTCCTTTTCAGGGAAGTTAAAATTATTGTAAGCTAAATTATATAAACAGTAAAAGTGCAATCAATTACATTAACCTCTTCTCTCCCAACATTTATTCATGTAAACAGATACATTTAGGCCATGGTCCTCCACTTAATCCCCTTTTCTCCATAGCTGATTTTCACCTTGCAGAGGAACTGCCAGATCTCCATTCTTATCGAAAAAGACTGTAAATTTCATCCCATTCCTCTCCCACCCTCTACAAGCTTTGTAGGTCAAACTTCACAGCTCCATTCTAACAGTCCTCAGGGAGCACCACATTGATTCCTCCAAGTTTTCAGCCTGTAATAGGTGGACTTTCTGTTCAGATAAAAAGGTTATTTTTACATTCTGGTGGCATTATTCTGAGAATAATTATGTGAAATAAAAAGGCCACTTCCTCAAGCTTTATTCCGATTACACATCACAAAATTACTACTTCACACATTGTTCTAATCTTAAATTGATACAGTTTTTATTTTGATTAATTCATTTGGTCTTTACCTAAATCTCAAGTAGATAAATTTTTATATGTTTAGATGGTGTCTCTTGCCTTTCATTATGAATGCAATGTTTTGAAATATTGCCATCAAAACATTTATTGCAGTAGTAGAAGGAAAGAAATGATTATGCAGCTTTTTTTGTTTTTAAAGTATTTAATGCAATTGGTGGTTATTCCAGCCTTTTGTCCGATGAACATACTATACATTGCATCTTTACTACAAACGATCAGTGCTGTTATGTGTTACCATTTACATAGCACCTACATTCCTCAGCACTGTGTAAAGGACAGCTGAAACATACAATAATGACAAGACAAGCTTGGTCTACAAGAATAAGAGGTGATGATCGACCTGGTCATAAATGGTAAAGAATCTGTGTCTTGTGAAGGAGTTGGCAATTTTTACATCTTTCATTGTACTCAAAGTGAGCTGTCTGGCAGCACAGAAAGGCTAATTCGGGCCGGTATGTTGTGTCTGGAATATTATCTGATCCATGTTTATTTTCCCTTTTTCTCCATCTTTCTGTCCACGCAGCCCGACAGCCAATAAGACGAAGATTAGAGAAGCTCATAGAAGGATTATGTTGTTAAACCATCCAGATAAAGGTAAATGTTTCTACCAGCATCTCTCTCTTGTAATATACCCTGGGTCTATTTTAACATATAAAAAAATAATTGTGAAATAAATCTCCATTATATGTTCTGGTGTGTATATAAAAAGGGTATGGGACTTTACTGTTTTGTAATGCGTTGCTGCATGTTTGAGAAACCAGGTAATGCCAGCTGCGCATATAGAAACAATAACAAAAATCAAACGATTTGAAATGTGTTTGTTTTTTGATAGACTGTTTGGTTTATCAGCCAATCAGAAGACCCCAAGAAGTGAAATTCTGGTCGGTCAGTCATCATCAGTAAATGCACACATGGGAATAAACTCTGTCTCTTTCTTTCTCCCCAGTAAATGATATTAAAGCACATTCTTTGTCAAATAATACAATGGAAATAAATTTTAAAAAAATTAAATAAACTTCTCTCCTCTACACTTCCTTGTTCTGTGTAACTCCGGTAGTGCCATACACATGCACAGAACTGATGGAGTTAATTTACATTTTATGTATAGACAAGCAAGCCATAGAAGATAAAAAAGTTTGTGCATTGATCCACTTTAATGGGCACTGTCCAAGATAATGCAACATTGCATCAACGCACTCGTCATGCTCACACTTGTATATCCATGCTGTGGAATCTGCTTTCAGAAGTCGGTATTTTCCTTAATCTGATTTTCTTACAATAACCATAATGCAGGCCAACCAGTGCAGCAACTTGTGAATTCCTACTGAGATCAGGTTAGAAAGTGCCAGGCTGTTTTGCAGTCCTCAGTACCAGCAAAGGGATTATCAGGCGACCGGATGAGAGCTGTATTTTCAGAATGCAGTGTTTTCCTGTCGAATAGCGGCAGTACAACTGGCTATTTGCTCTATACTGGACCGTTAACTGAAAAGGAAATAACAAATTACTTATTCCCCACCTATTCATAATAGATGATGATGGATAAAATACATAAGTCATTCTTGCCTGTTGGACTGATTGGTAACTGGAAGAATGATGCAGCTGGTTGGGGCAGACATGAGTTTCTGACAGACCGCTGTACAGACCATGTCGCCTCCTACTCCCTAGAAATTTTAGAAGCCAGTCTCCCCTCCTTTTTCTTGGGAACACACCTCACAAAGATGGAACCTCCCTACCTCACAGGAAGAGAAAATGGCCAAACCTGGGCTTCTTTCATTGTGATGATCCTAGCATTGCCAATGATATATCCAATAAACAATGCATTTGTAATCTTACTACATAGACCTGTTTCTTTATTACGATTACAGCCTTGTATAATGAGACACACATACTGACGCCTTTCATCTCTGCAGGTGGATCCCCATACTTGGCAGCCAAGATTAATGAAGCCAAAGACTTACTGGAAGCTCAGTCAAGAAAATAAAGTTATTGATCATCATTACCTCAAACTAATACTGGTTTAAAGGAATGGGAGGGACAATAAAACAATGTGAAATCACTATCCCTTGTGCTCCAGCATTTTATTTTATCTTTGGCTCAGGAACACAGAATAATCACTGTGTAAGGTGACAGCTGCTACGTCTTGTTATAGAACACACTCACGTCTCCACAATCAATCACCCGTTTCAGTTAAATCAATATAAGGATTCCGTACAAGACAAGGCTATTTATTTCATTTTTAGTACGTTAAAACTGACCTGTTATTGACAAGGTCTGTTTCCGGTAAGTATTATAAGGTAACCTACACATTGTGCTAAAGGAAAGACAACCAGATTTATTGATTCCTTGATACAGTTGTTTGAAGATGCCGTCCTCGTCTGGACTCTGAGATGCAAACTCGCCCCCCATTCCTCCTCCAATGAGCCTTATTCTGGGATTGATCATCAAGCTTTGTTTAATGTGCACGTTAATACAGGCATCATACTGGCCGTATCCCTCGTATTTCACATAGAGGTAAAGCTGTGTTATATAAAATGTGTATATATATTAAGTTTGAATTTTTCTTATTCACTAAAGGGAATTTCAAGTTTACTCTGAATTTGAAAGTTACTTTAGATTTTCATTTTAATAAATAACCCTGATATTGTTGCCAATAAAGAAATTCTGTATCTTTTTAAAATTCAAATAAAAATAAAAATAAAATATGTAATATAGCCTCTGTGTAATTACATATATATAAATGCATGGTTTTTTTTTCCGTGTATCTCCTGACTTACTGTTGTGTAGAGTGACATTTAAGTCCTTTTTGGTTGGTTCACCGATTAAACAGCCGTGTAGGTAATCGAGAGCTAGTACAATATTCTTAAATTCTAACGGAGAGCTCCAGGCATCTCAAAAATGAGCTCCAAGTTTTTCATCAGTTAATTTGTCAGAGAATTCGTCGAGTGAAGCTCTCAGTGCTATAAAAACTTGATAATGTAGAATGAGAAATTTTGCAACATAAAGATAGAAAAGGATGCACTGGCACTCGTCGAATATATACTCACAGAATTATTCACTAGAGTGAGAATTCAAAGTGAATTTCAAACCAAAGGCCGAATTAGCGAAACTGGAAGCATAGCTAACCTGGAGTATTTTTCAACTGTGGCTGTTTTTATGTAGTGCTATCCTGTTTTGTATCACAATATCTTACTAGCAGAATTAGTGCACCCTCTCTGGTCGTCATAATTAATAGCGTTAGACCCTGGAGCTCGGGCATCCTTTCATCAAGAAAGGAAAATATCCAACAGTTCAGTATCCAGGCAACAACAGCAGCTGTAAAAGTTATTTTATGAGATTAACAGTTTGTTTTTTTTTTTAAACGCATTGAAAAAGGGATAACCTGTGGTGAGGACACCGTGTTCTTAACTTGTTTTGTTGATGAGAACTTCCTCTTTAGCTGTATAGAGAAGATCAGAAGGGCCGCAGGCGCCTGAACAACCCAGGTAAGTTTCACACTATCCTGTCTTCATGCCGGTGGAATGGTAACAAGGAATTCCTGACACCATAAAAACTACAGTGGGCTAGAGTGGTTATGGTACTTGGAGTGTGTCATTAAAAATGGCTGCCCCAAAAGGTAATGATCAACCAAAGATGTAGAAAATTAAGTCTAGTGAATTTGAATACAAATTGCAAAATATATGCCAGAATATCAAAATTGGTGAGTTTTATTTTTGTTGACCTATTGCACTGTGTTGTACTTTTTAGTTTCAATTTACTACAATTCTGAATTTATGAAATAAACCTGACAATTTGCCTTGAATTAATTTAAATTCAGATGCAATGTATGCTGCTGCGTTACAAATAACCATTTTATTGTGTTTTTAGAGAGATTGTATTTACACTCGCCTACACTTAAAGAGTTACGTGATTTGAAATAGTCATAGTAACTGGAGTCTGTATGTGCAGTGATTTGCTTTGGAACTCTGCACATACAGAGTTTATCCCCTATGCTGCTGGAGGCGTAATGGGCAGAAGTGGTCTGGGTGCCTACAGTGTCCCTCTAACACTTACTGAGTGGTCTCCCACTGCCCGGCCCATCACTGCTAAGGCAGAAATGACACTTTCTTCTGCACATCAATTCACACCATCACTAAAGCGGTACGGTCAGCTGACACTCTCAGCCAACCACAATTGGTCATTATTGCTCAGGCTAATGCTTCCTTGTCCCTCACCCACCACCATATTAATACAGTAATTATATAGATATGGATTCTTATTTTATTCGTAGACTGCATCAGAGTTTTGCTGGAATTCCAACTCAATCAGAAAATGTTAAAGAAGCATATTAGGGACTTACAGTTTTAATCAAAATGATTCAATTCCCATTGAAAATCTGTTATTTTTTGTCAAAATGTACAGACTTTTAGCTGTTTGCTATGAAAAACATCAATCAGAATAGTTGAACACAAAAATGCTTCAAGTTGTTTCCCCAAATTGAACTGGAAATGCAACTTATATTGACTTCTCCAGTCTTAAAATTATTCAACCACCTGAAAAGAATCCCTCACAACAGCACAAATATGCAAAACAAGTGTTGATTCAAGCACACCTGATGCAGCTAATCAAGGGCTTCATTAGTTGCACCAGATGTGCTTGAGCTGGAACACTTAAATACCTGAATTTGCTAGGGTTTGTTGAGTGTCATGGTTGACTGCATGTTAGAAATATGGCCATGTCAAAATAATGGTCCACAAAGTTAAGAGAAGAGATCATCTCCCTTTACAAATAAGGAACAGGATATAAAAAGAGAGTAAGGATAGCACTGAATATTCCTAGAGACACTGTTAGAAGCATAGTTTGTAAGTTCAAAGTTGAAATAACAGTGGTTACACTACCTGGACAGAGCAGAAAGGAAGAAGCTAGCAATGGCTGCAAACAGAGTTTTGAGAAGGCAGGTTGTGAAAAACCATCAAGTGACTGCAAAAGACCTGAAGCAAGACTTGGTGGCAATAGGTACTAAAGTTTCAGTGAGCACTGTAAGGCGCGTACTAAACATTCTGAAGCCAGAACTGTAAGACGTACAACACTTCTGACACTAAAGAACAAGAAGAAGAAGAAAGAAGACATGCACTGAAAAGAACACTCTGCCTACAGTTAATTATTATTATTCATATAGCGCCAACAAATTCCGTAGCACTTTAAAATGGGTGGACTAACAAACTTGTAACTGTAACCAGTCAAGTTGGGAGGGATTGGGGTATAGTGACACAAAAGGTAAAGATAGTATTAGAGAAGTAGAATGGTATTCACTGAAGACTTAGTGTGTTTTTTTTTGTTTGTTTTTTATTAATGACAGTTGCAGGAATTGAATCAGTTGGGAGCCATTAACAGTTTAGTTGATACGCTTTCGTGAAGAAATTCGTTTTTAATGATTTTTTGAAGGAGTGGAGACTGGGTGATAGTCTAACAGAGAAAGGAGTTCCACAGGAACGGTGCAGCCCTAGAGAAGTTTTGAAGGCAAGCATCAGAGGTGGGAGTACAAACCGATAGATGGAAGTCTTTGGCAGAGCGTAGGGGCCTAAATGGGACATGCTTGTGTATTAGGGAGGATATATAGGTGAGAGCCGCATTATGTAGATGTTTGAAAGCAAGAATCAGAATTTTAGATTGAGCCCCATATCTTATAGGAAGCCAATGCAGGCACTGACGTGGGAGGTGCGGGTGAAAAGGAAGAAGAGCCTCCCCTCTGCATTCATTACAAAATTAACGGGGCAAGTTGGGAACACGTAGGACCACTGAGAAGCGGATTACAGTAGTCAAGACAAGAGAGGATGGTGGCATGGACCAGCACCTTAGTCGCCTCTGGTGTTAAATAGGGGCGGATGCGTTCAGATTTGACGATCGACTGGTCATGAGGTGTGAAGGAGAGCTCGGAGGCAAAGAGAACACCCAGGCAGCGAGCCTGCGAGGCAGAGGTGATGGTGGTGCCGTTGACTTAGAGGGAGATAGAAATGGGAGTAGTAACACTTGAGGGAGAGAAGACCAGAAGTCCTGTTTTGGACAGATTCAGTTTAAGGAAATGGGCAGCCATCCAGTTAGAAATTGTAGAGAGGCAGTCTAAGGCACGAGTCAAGACATCAGGAGAGGACAGGTAGATTTGCCAAATCAAAAAAGTGTCATTTTAATTTACATCAGTGCCCCTTCCTCTAGGCGATGCTTTGTCAGTATTATGGTAACTGTGGTTCTAGAACATCTTTGGACCATTTGGTAAACATGATGGGAGTTACTGCAATCCAGTTGCTGTATCTTTGCCCCCAAAAAGTCTCATGCACTTCCCTGATTAGATTATTTACTACTACCTGAGCAGTGAAGTAATTTTTCACACCCTGACTGTGGCCTGTAAGGAGCCCTTGACTATTCCCTTCAGGAAAGATGACATCACACTTCCAGATGGCTGGAAAATATCAAGTGTGAATGTGGCCTGATTGTTCTAGAACGCGAAGAAGTATAAATTAATTACATTGTTTTTCATTGTTTGAATAGTTGGCATTCCTGTACCCAAAATGCAATTAATGGAGGGTAAGGTCTGTTTGTACACGTGGCACTGCTTATAATTAAATGGTTAGGGGAATGAAAGGGTTACAGAAGTTACAAACAGTTAAACTAGTTTTAGTCAATGCCACAGAGAGCTAAATGTAAGGAGCCAGGTTCAGCCAGCTGTCTGTCCTGGGGACAACGTGTGAAATCCAGATGTTCACAGGAAGCACTCAGGGAGGCAGTAAAATGACCACCCCCAGCCAGCCAGTCACCACAGGGGGTGTTAATCTGAACATGAAATTAAACAACTGCAACTAAAAAATAATATTCTATATTCACTCATCAATTTATAGAGAAATAATATCAATTAGCTTCGACATTTTATTTCCTCTATATTACTGCGTTTTAATTATTATATTGATATTGTTATTTGCATCTTATTTCTGTCTAAAATCTATTTTAAATATGTTTATTTTTTTTCATTATTCGATATTACTCTATTTTTCTTTACATGTGCCTATTTATATTATTTTGCCTTATTTTATTGTGTGTCTGTCTAGCAACTGCAAGCCATGTTTCTATATGCACAAATTAGGGAGTGATTCAAACGAACCGGTGTGATCTCGTGTTTTACTGGATGGGCATGGCATGAAAAGGGCTGCCCCACATTATTTAGCCCACGTTAAACTGAAAGTATGTATCGGGGGATGGGGGCTTTCGTGCACTCCGAGATCCGTGCTGTACGTGACTAACATTGCATTGGGTTAAATACAAAGATCCAGTCATAAGTAGGGACTGTCTTTGAGAACCAGGGTTAGTTGGCCAGTATACCTGACCTTGCCATTATTGCAAAGAGTGTGTACAGTGGGCAATGCCCTGATTAATGTGCTCACTCTGTTACACATGGTCTGCCAACTAAAGCAAATCATGTTTAACTAGATTTGGTGTCTAATTTATCTTTACTTATGAAACATGCAATATATAACATCCCCTATCACAATACAAAAGCAGCAGCATTTTATATGAGGCTCATTGATCTTAATACACAATGTTTGTTTTTATACCCCTTCCTTCTGGGTTTAATACAATGTTCCAGCTCTGCAGGAGTTAACATAGTGGAAGCTTCCCAGCCCAGCACATGAGTGAGGCTGCCCTCGGTCATACCACTGTACCCCAAAAAACAGGGGTGTTATTATAACTATTTATTTTATTTCTATTCCCTCTTTTCCTCTGCTAATATGCCAAACAATAATTCTTCCCCAAAAACGTCAGAGTGCACTATCAGCCAATACTCCTGCCTGTCCAGGGGTGGAATTTAGGGTGGTGAATATTTGGGTTTCCCTGGGGTAGATGGAGACGCCCTGAGCCGAGGCTGCAGAGCTCAGTCTGCCTGAAGTGTGGGAGGTAAGCGGATGTGTGTGCATTAGCCGTATAGAATGTTACTAATGTATCTCTTTGGAATCTTTGCAACATTGTATCATTGTGGGCGATCCACAAGCAATAACAAGGGGGTTTGTTTACAAATAACCATTAATAACATGGGTGATTCACTCCTGTAGCTGTCAATCAGTCAATCCTGTAAGAGAGTCTATATTTGATCTGTTTTGGCTTTTCAAAAAGTTCTCTTTTAACCCTGTGTGTTCCAATGGGTTTAGGAACATAATGCTGCTCTCCCATCTTTCATTTATCAAATGGGGTATGTTTTAAACTCTATTTTTTTTAAATGAAAAAATGGCAGTTTGCTCACCCCTGATATAAAATGGATCAGTTCTCACTAGAAGGTTGCTTGAAGTTTGGAATATCATATGAATCAATCAAGTCGTGTGGTTATTTTTGAGTGACTGTTATAAAATACAGTCAAATAGACACACACGTACACACTATTGTTGATGTACTAATATGTACCTCTGCAATTGAGAATCAATATTCAGAAATCTGTATAAGCTGTACAATTTGAAGGGAAGGAGGTTTAAAAAAAAAACCATAACTGTACTTTTTGTAGTTTAAATGTGGTGGTGATGGTGTGAACATGTCAAATAATACAGAAAACCAGGTTATTCATTAAATATCAATTTTGCCATGGTAGAATCAGAAAATAATCAGATTGGCCCTAAAAAACTCAACAAGTACGTTGAAATTTCCCAAACAATTCCAAGGTTGTTGCAAGGAATTAAATGCTTGTGATGAGGGAAAGGGGGTATTTTTGCATGTTTACCCTTCTGGTGGAAGAGGTACCCTGAAAGGAAATAATATATTCATGCCCTATTAAAGAGACACTATATACACCAAAACAATTTTAGTTTAATGAAGCTGTTTTGGTATATAGATCATGCCTCTGCAGTGGCATTGCTTAATTCTCTTTCATTCAGGAGTTAAACCACTTAGTTTTTTTAGCCCTAGTCACATCCCCCTGCATGTAACTTACACAGCCTTCTTAAATACTTCCTCAAAAAAGTGAGATCTAATGTTTACACTTCCTTTATTGCACAGTCTGTTTAATTTAGAATCTCCTGCACTGTTATTAGCCAACCAGACCCTGTGGGAGCCTCCTGTGTATTATAAAAGTAACATTTATAGAGAAGAATATAAAAACTTCTAAAGCAAGTTAATATATGATTTGAAAATGAAAAAAAAATTTCATGCAGGCTGTGAGAGTCGCATCTAGGGGAGGTGTGGCTAGGGCTGCATACACAAAAACAAAAGTGATTTAACTCCTAAATGGCAGATAATTAAGCAGTGAGACTGCGGAGGCATGATCTATACACCAAAACGGCTTCATTAAGATAAAGTTGTATTGGTTACTATAGTGTCCCTATAAATCACACAATGGTAGAAGGAGTGGGTTTACTCTGTTACATATATCATCACCATGGTTAATGGGAGGTCTTTGAGAGACCTGATTTAAAAAATATATATACATTTATTTACATTAACTTTTCACATTTTGCCTGCTGTCAACGCTCTCTATTAATAATAACAAAGTATTGCATCATGTCTTCTTACATTCTGTACCAATGCCAGTTTGTGTAAAAACAACATTCAAAACGAAATTACTGAATAAATCTTACAATGGCAACCGTATAACACAATCTGAAACAAGACGACAGCTGTATATTGTTTCCTATTGCAAATTAATTTGTTGTAAATATACAGTAAAGGTCAACAGTATTCAATCAAATCATTTAGCATTTAAAAAAATAACTCAATTTTACTGGGTGGTTTTGGAAGATGGATTGATGGCGCTTATTTCCACATTAATAGTCATTGAACCATCCGAAAAGATCAGGGTCATAGACTGTGTGTATCCAGAAAGCAGTAACGCCTTAGGCTACAGGATCACTTAACTGAATATTTCTGTTTGTGATAATCAGGTCATGTAATTTGTTAGCCCTATCCCATTCATTGCAAGAGGACGGCAAGACAGAGGGAGGGCTAGCAATGGCTTGTGTTAAAGGGAAAATTACATTTTCTGGAAATTACACCACGGAACTAAACAATGACAATCACCTATAACTAGCTTTATCCTCTGGGTGTTTTATATTTGATTTATGTTATTTATGGTAAAGGTGCACTTTAATATTAAAGGAAAACTATGGGCTAGGAATACAAAATTATATTCCAAGCACTATAGGGCTTCCCTCGCTCCCACCCCACAGCACAGAAAGGGTTAAAATCCCTTAATTCAGTTACCTGAGTCTAGCATCAATGTCCCTCAATTGCTGGATAAGGCTCCTCTTCCCCCGATATCGGGGTCCTAATGCTCATACGAGGCAAACGCCACGCTCACATTAGGACAACCCCATAGGAAAGCATTGAATCAATGTTTTCCAATGGGCTTTTAGCTGATGCTGAATGTATGGCAGCCATACATTCATGTATGGCAGCCACTAGAGGGGGAGTTTACTCTGCAATGTAATTATTGCAGTTTATTAATAACTGCCATAATTACCATTGCAGGGTTAAGGGGACTGGAACACTGCACCCAGACCACTTCAATGAATTGGTCTGTGTGCCTATAGTGCCCCTTTAATAATATTTATCTACATTAGAATATTCCTTGTACGATCTAGATTATAGGCTCTCCCTGATGAATAAACTCACAATCCTGGTTTCACTATAGTCGACACTCCTCTTTCTTGTGAGATCATACAGACAGATGATTTCTGCCAAATATTTCTCTGTAGAGAGTGGGCATTTGTGGTAATCACCGTAGTGCTCTATTAGAATTCTACTCCTAAAGACGCATTACATTGCTTCTCCGTGGGAAAATGAAACTGAAGTCATTAGCAAGTCCTTCTAGAGGGTAAAAGCACACAGACTAATAAATATAGAATTTTGCTTGCAATAGTCGGTCTTCATGGACCGCGTCCAGACACCAAAACTACTACATTAAAGGGGGCACTTTCCCTTTTTAATATTATGTTTACTTACCTGTATATCTAACATTTACGCTGCAGCCACTTGCTGAAAATATTCATCCTGCTGATTTTGGGCAAATCAAATGTTTCTCCATAGAGAAGCATTGAGAGCCCAAATGAGCATGTGCAGTAATTGCACCAGTGGGATTCTGCTCAGAGAGAAGTATGTTTTTTTGCTTCTCAGATGTTAAAATGTATATTTACACAGCATTCTGTCAAACAAGAGGATTCCTTCGAGTCACAGCTTTATCCTGAATTTTACTGTATGTGTTTCATTTGCATCTCTTGCCATACCTGACAATCTTACTTCACTATGTATATTATTTTATTATAAGAAATAAAGGCATGTTATATTCTCTATTTACTATCCGTGTGGATTGAAGCATTTTTCTTCGAGTGAAATCCAGATCTCATTTCCTAATCTTACTTCCATCCTGGATACATTGCATGTTTCATTAGTGGCAGAAAATCAATTGTTAAACGGTCGTATTGTGTGACATGATGGGTCTGTCCTTAACTTTTTGTATTCTTAAACTACACTTTCTTTGCAGGGAATGCACAGTTTGATCGGGTCCCAATGCGATTCTTATGTGTCTTCACCTGAATTTGCTTCAAATTTGGCATTTTTCCAACGTTTTGGCCCACTCTGCGGCTTTTATCAAGCTTTATAGATGCTAGCTACAGTGCAGGCCGAACCATTGCCATGCTTGTTCACGTCCAATAAAGCTGCTTAATTTAACAATTACAGTGCCTGGACCATCCTTTCTTTCTTGACTATGTGACAATAGGAGCACCCTGTTTCTATTTACAAGAGTGCGGCTTCCTCTTTGTGTGTGTTCACCTGGATGCGATTGTCCGTTATTTGTTGATTTTTCATATCACTTTCGGAAATTGCTGTGAAACTTGCTGGAGCCATAAACCTAATGAAAATCCATACTTTAATATTGTAATGATGTCACTTTATACACAACGTTATGAGTTTGTTGGCTATTAGACTCCATTCATTTTCTATTCATCCAATTCCTGTGTTTCTGAATCGCTTCTCCTTCTCAGCCATCACTGTAGAGCAAATCTTGACATCTTTGTATGTTGCTTTTTAAATAAGTGCTTTTCTCTATACATCTCATTTCCTCCCAGAAGTTTTCAATCCCACGCTTCTGCAATTTATTTTCTCTGCAAACACAAACCCTTCAACATCTTTCACTTTATTACACAGAGTATGATTCTCCGTTTACCTTCTAATCCTCTCACTATGCTCTCAATTGTTCACAAAGTACAGGGTGTTTTCTGTGTTTGGAACTTATGATCCAAAAGTCAGATTGTCACCTGCAGTCGTTTTGTCTCGTCTCCATCATCTCTTTAACAGGGTATGTTTCGAGAATGTTCCCATAACTTTGCTCTAGAAGGACTATGGCTGTTTGGTTGTGAGATTACAGTCAGGGTTCTTGGATCCATTTGTATGTTTGTGTTTGATATATTGTATTCTTTTTAACCTGTCATTTGACCTGTACTATAGCATACTCTGGATGCAAACTCTATATTCTAAATATAAACTAAATACTACTACTGTATTTAACTTTGAGGTCCATTGCTGTGTTCTGCATCTGAGATATATTTGATGAGTTTTGACCTCCTCTCTGTGCATGTTTTCTCATTCAGAGACTGCACACAGCACCACACTTGCGTAGGCATTCTTTTCTTTAAAGGGATACTATAAGTGCCATCGCTCCCTCTGCCTCCCCCTTCCCAACTTCCTGGGAAGTAAATGTGATTTGGCATTAGGGTTCCACAATTATAACGGTCCCTCCAGATTTGGGATTATTGCCAAGCATTCCAGCAACTTTAGGCTGGTGAAGAATTTGAGAAGCCACCTATTGTTGTACATTTGGTTTTAAGAAAAGAAAAACGTCTCCCAGAATTTTTTTTTTCCCTATCCCATGATGGCTAGCCAACCAGCATGTAGACCAGGGGTTCCCCAAAAGGTAGCTCCCCAGATGTTGTAGAACTACAACTCCCATGATGCTTTGCATGCCTTTGGAATACTTTTAGAATGACAAAGCATCATGGAAGCTGTTATTTTAAAACATCTGGGGATCTACCTATAGGATCTACATATGTCTCCTGACATTTTAGCCTCGTTTACTGAATGTAAAGATTGTCTTGTAGGTATCGCAGTCATTTTCACAATTTAGCACAAACTAGTGAAAATCAATTCCAGCTAGTAAGTGGCTGCCAGATTGTATTATTTATAGGTAAAGCTATTTGTATCTAATATGCCTATGCACTTTCTTTTGCTATAATACTTCTCCATAAACTGGGCGAATTGATTGGTTTAAAAAAAAAAATATTGCCATAATTTCCTTATTCATTTTCTGCACGTTTTGCATTTATTTAAAGTTTAAATTTAAATCATCCTAATTACCGGTAATGTCTCAGAGTAAAGTAATGACATCATTCAAATTCTACGGGTTTCTGCTCTGATGTGGAATTATAGGCCTAATGGAAGAATTGATGCAGCTCCTGTGAACGGGTCACATTGGAAGAGTGAGAGATTGGGAGTCGTGGGTGGCAGGAGAATGAATGGAGTCGAATGTTCCCGTGTTTATTCTTTCATTGAGTTCCTACTAAATGATACCTGAACCTCCATGGCACAGATCGTTCTTGCTGTACTCCCTCCAATGCCACAGTGGTGACAGAATACTGGAGTATCCTGTTATTTAATGACAAACAAATTAATTCTAAAAAATAGGGAATCACCAGGGAATTGAATTTTGTGTCAAGCTGAACGTAAAAACAAAGTTGAGTTGTAGCATTTCTACAATTTTAACTTGAAATTTTCAGTTCTCATGTTTAGTGAATAACGCTTTATCGGCCAACACAGAGGACATCAGTGAAGATGTATAAAAGGGAAATCTGTGTCACACAAGGAGCCAATCTCCCTTTTTTGATGTGCACAGCACATTTTATTGGGGTGTACAGCATGAGTTTTATTCTTAATAGTCAATGAGCTAACTTAATTTTTTTTCTACTTGCTGTATCAATTATGACCAGTAGGGGCTTCTCCAATATCTTATATTTACTGCATACTTCAATGCTTCTTCATCTTCTTCAGTCCTTATTATTATTGGTATTTATATAGCGCCAACTATTTCCGCAGCGCTTTACAATATTATGAATGGGGAGGGGAGATTTGCAATAAATGTGACAATTACACAATGACACAGGAACAATAGGTAGATGACAATAAATGGCAGGGGCCTATACTAAGTTATTGAATCTATAATAAGTCTGCTTGACTTGGTGACTGCTTACTCTATAGCAGAGGTGGGGAACCTTCGGCCCTCCAGATGTTGAGGACTACATCTCCCTTGATGCTTTGCTAGCATTATGGCTGCAATAGCATTATGGGAGATGTAGTCCAAAACATGTGGAGGGCCGAAGGTTCCCCACCCCTGCTCTATAGGGTAATGTAAAGCAGAGACTAAAATGTTGTACCTTTTAGTTAATATATGTAGCACATCTAGTATACATTGGACTGCAACTACTAATAGGGTTAGCCATCTGTGTGGTTTTGTTCTCCGTATTCATTATAGTATCGGAGGTTGTCAGTGCCTGCCAATCCAATGCATCATGCTCGTCTTGCTTCCAAATGACATTAATTATTTTGTGTTATTGCTAGTCCAAATGGCAAAACTGTTGCAATAATGATGCCAAGGCTCAGCGGGAGAATTGTAATTGGTGTTTTATTTAACGCACAGGTCCTCAAAGTCAGTTCTCCAGAGCAATTAACGGGTAATATATTTGCTTCTTCTTTCATAACTTGGAAATGTTAAATCCGGTTGTGTCTACTGCTGGGAATCGCCCGGGGAGCTACCGACTTTAAAATCAGGCCTTGCGGAACATTTTTGGAACCTGAATAGGGATTTTGAAAATTAAGTATGTGATATAATTTGTTCCTGTTGATTCATTGCAGCTCTTATTTATGAGATGTCTTGAAGGCAATCAGTCATAACAAATACAAACCATTATATTTTGAAAGACCTGTATGTTTTAGAAATAGATCTTACTAGCTAAGCAGATTGTTTTAAATTTGTTTCACTCCCAGGTATGTGTCCTGCACAGGGTACAGAATTTCCTTTTTATAAAGGGTTTCCCTGCTTGTCATTTGGTAAACTACACGTGCAGCTTCTTACATTATTCTGCTACTTTGGAGGAGACAGCTGTTGATATGAGGAATCTTTTAATATGTTCTTAACTGCAGCTGTATCTCGACTGTTCTCCACATTTTTGTGGAGAACAGAATCCCTTTCAAAAATAGAACATCTACACAAAAGTTAGTGCCATTAAATTATTTTGTATTCTGCAAAAATAGTGATTGTTGTACTTTAAATCGATTTTCAACTCTATATGCCGAAGTAGATAATGTGCACAGTTATTGGTATGTGATAATAGTGAATGCTCTAAAAACACCTGAGTATAATCCCCAAACACCACTCCAATAAAATCATAAATTATACAGACAGTAGGTGGAGCGTTCGCAACATATCTCTGTAGAGAAACAAGAAATACAAAAATAGTACAATGTAACTTGTTCAAATCCTATATACAGCCAGTATCAATAGTAACACTCACAAGCATGGAGCCAGATTGAAACATGTGGCTCACATGAAAAACGCAGTGGGACTCTTATCAGGATGTCCTCGGCCTTCTGTAGTTGGTATAAACAGCAAATGATGAAGCTGATCCTCTCCAAAGAAAAAAGGTCCTTTTATTTCTTGTAAAAAAAATATCAAATGTAAAATATAGGATACTATAAAATTGGGTATACTTTTCCAATAATAAAGTTTGTGGCTTATGCCTCTAGAAGTCTTCTGATAATCCGAGACGCGTTTCGCCATGTGACAAGGGCTTCCTCAGTCGGTATAGTGTCTACAAGCTCATTAGCGTCTCGCCAGTGACCCTATTCTGTATCCGGTCTTCTGTATTTGGAACGCATTGTGCGTTCCACCCCGTGCCGCTGGAACTTCCTGGTCACACCTCTCACACGTCACTGGAACGCATGACATGTGTTAGTGCATTCCTTCATCGGAACGGTGGAACGGTATCTATTCCACCTCGTTAATACAAAGTGAAATTAGCACGGATATAGGAACGCTATTACCTCATTACAGATAGTGCATTAATTTGTTAAAATACAGCCTAAAGAGAAAAAGCAGTATAAGTATATATCAATCGAAGGGATATATTGTTGTATTAAAAGGTTTTATAAGTGTTTAAAATATTGCATAATAGCATGAATAGAAGCATTGTTCCAACTGTAATGTATAAACAAATGTAGTGAAGAGAAATACATGCGTTTAAAAAAAAAAAAAAAAATTTATTTAAGAATACATAACTAAAAAAAGTGATAGGGTTCAAAGTTATTTAAACCATATGGGACAAGAGTAATACAATTTGAAATACATTTCATTTATTCCCTATCTTTTTGTTGTAGTCCCCTCCTCTCCAGTCTTTTCTTACTAGTTTTAAAGTGCAAAAGAAAAGGCCCTTCGGGCTTTGGCTATAGAACATCCTAAAGTGTTTGGAGACATTCTGAGACTTCTATATGCCGAAAGCTATTTTAACTCCACAGAGCTGAAGTGGATGATGAGAACTTTGATATTCGTATGTGTGAATTCATTTCTAAATGTGAGAGTATGATTTAAACATTGGTGGGACAAGTGACATTCAGTCTTAAAATCGAACTGGTGACTTTATTTTTGTATCTTTCCATTATTACTTTTTTTTTCTGTCCTTCCTTAGATATGCAGACTGATCTCCGAAAAAGGAAAAAAGTCACAGAAGAGAACAATGCTTCATCTAAAGAAACCATGGGTGAGAAGAAAAACAAGAAAGAAAATATGTCTCTATTTTGGTATAAGTGCTTAAAAATGGCTGGACTTGTGCTATTTTTAGTTGTTATTCTGTTAGTAGCCAAGGTTTACCGTGACAACGAGGTGGTGAAACGGCAGGAGGCAGCTCTGAGGTCTCTTGGCAATGAGGGTCTCTTTCTTTTCTCTTCATTGGACACTGATAAAGACATGTTCATCAGCCCAGAAGAGTTTAAGCCAATAGCTGAGAAACTAACTGGAGTTTCTCCTACATCCGACTACGAGGAAGAGGAGATTCTGGATCCAAATGGAGAGACCTTGACAGTGACCGCTCATTTCCAACCCCTACTTATGGAAACTATGACAAAGAGTAAAGATGGATTCTTAGGAATCACACACAGTGCTCTGTCGGGATTAAGAAATTGGACCACTGCAGCATTACCTAGCAATGTGTTATTTGCCAGGAACTTTAAAGCCTTCCTTCCGCCAAAAAATAAATTTGATTTGGGAAATCCTTGGTGGATCATCCCAAGTGAGTTAAACATCTTCACAGGTTACCTCCCTAATAATAGAGTGTATCCCCCAGCTCCTAAAGGAAAAGAAATTATTATACATAAACTTCTTTCCATGTTTCATCCACGTCCATTTATAAAAACCAGATTTGCTCCACAAGGTTCAGTGGCATGCATTCGAGCAATCAGTGAGTTCTACTATGACATTGTTTTCCGGATACATGCAGAATTTCAACTCAACGAACCTCCAAATTTTCCTTTCTGGTTCTCTCCAGCTCAGTTTACTGGTAATATTATAATCTCAAAAGATGCTTCTCACGTGAGATATTTCAAGATGTTTGTTCCTAATAACCGGAGTTTGAATGTTGACATGGAATGGTTGTATGGAGTCAGTGAGAGTAGCAACATGGAAGTAGACATTGGGTATCTGCCTTTGATGGAGCTGGAATCTATGAGTCCTTCAATCCCATCTGTGATATTTGATGAAAATGGAGAAGTTATCGATAGCAGGAATTCCGAAGGAGAACCAATAGAGTTTGTTTTTGAAGATATAATCTGGCAGTCTGAAATAAACTGGCAAGAGGCTGCCAAAAAACTAGAAGTAAGCATGTATCCATTTAAAAAGGTGTCATACCACCCTTTTACAGAAGCTTTTGATAGAGCGTCAGCAGAGAAAAAACTTGTGCACTCTATTTTACTATGGGGTGCTTTGGACGATCAGTCCTGCTGAGGTTCAGGGCGAACTCTCCGAGAGACCGTCTTGGAGAGTTTGCCCGTTCTTGCCTTGCTCAACGAGAGCTTTATAAGCAGTTGGTCACTGGTAAAAGAGTTGGAGGAGCTTCAAAACAACAAAGACAATGGTTTATATGCAACATTTGCTTCTCTTCACTTGGAGAAGTATAACTTTCCAGTAGAGATGATGATCTGTCTTCCTAACGGAACAGTCATTCATCATATTAATGCCAACCATTTCCTGGACATCACATCCATGAGGCCTGAAGAAATAGAAAGTAGCATGTTTAGTTTTTCTAATGGTTTGGAGGACTTATCCACTTCAACCTATGTTAAATTTCTCAAAGAAGGGATAGAAAAAGCAAAAACAGTTTTGGAAGTCTAGTTTGTTGGTTTTTGTTTTCAATTTTTCACTAGTAACCACTAATTTTCTACATTAGTTGAAACCTAATTGTCCTTTGTGCATATAGTGAAGACTAAACCTTAAAAACCATATGATATCCATGTACCACGTGTCACACTCTTATGCAGAATAGTCTTGAAGGTATAACACCTATCTAAGGAAGGAATCGCTTTGTCAACTTTCCCAAAACAAGGTAAATAGTAAAGGTTGACAGGCTATTCTGGCATGAGCACAGGTGTAATTGGCAGAATAAGATCCTGTATTGCCTGTGCTCATATTGACAGGTCATGAAATAGTCACTACTGGTGTTGAGTCCCAATTTTGGAACTTTGAAAACAAACCAGAAGCCTTTGAGAAAACAGGGTTATTCAATAAAGTGCAGCTGAACTGAAACCAAAGGTGAGATTTTTTTTTTTGCGTTCAGTTCTATTTTCACATTAAATTTGAAATTCAAATCTTTGAATTCATGTTGAATTCTCACTTGAATGAATAGCCCTGAATTATTCAAGCCAAATGAGAGGACAGTGACTGGACAATGCTATTGAAACACTCCAGTTTTGATTCAGTGGGATAAAACCTCAACCATCATTGGTCTTTTTGATGATCTGCAGGGTACATTTTGAGAGGTCAATGCTAGCTTTTGGGTTTGATCTTCAGAACACTATAAACATGAATTCTTAAGTTTGCACCTGTGGAATCAACCACTCCTACACATGTAGACAGATGAAACAAACCAATGTTTTTACGGGGGAAAACACTTTGTTTATTCAATACATTTGTGTTACAGATAGAGGTATATTAAACACACACACACACTCAATCTCGCTGTCTGTCTCTGTCTTTCCTTATTCACACATTATATTAAAAGTATTTTAGTCAAATAACATCACGTGAACCTTCTATTACTCTTGCAGAAATCTGTGTTCTTTCTGTTTGAGACACCGTGATTAATGGCAAACTTAGCCTGCTGCATATACTGTTTATTTCGTTTTGTAGCACCAACTATGTATTCATGTAAATATTTCGTGGTTGCCGTAGAAACCAGAGGAATCAGGCTGATTGTTCCACATTTAGGACCTTGCTGGTATGCTCAGTATGTAAGTCCAACACCATGGTGAAGGCAACAAAACATTTCTCATTTATCAAATGATAAATTAACACTTTTTGCATTACCTCCCAACTTTGTGCGGTGTTGTATCAGGATGGATGGGTGTAACCAGTAACGCAACTTGCGCAAATTACAGCATTGCTCAGACTTCTAAATGTGGAACCATCACCACGGACCAAGGAAGCCTTCCTGCTGATTCCCTTCCCTTACTTTCCCCTAGTGTGTTTGTAGAATATTCAGTATTTAATCTACGTCTGTTAGGTCAGCACACACGTTTTTATATGCAAGCAAAATTCTCTTTTATATATATTTTTGTATTCTTTATAAAAGGTAGAGATTTATTAACTATTTTCTGGATGAGCTGCTCTTCTTGATGGGCTAATCTCAAATTAACTTTTAACAGGTTAGACCGGAGTTCTCTTGACAGTTATTTAGGAAATAAAAATAAATCTCTTGTTTGTTCACTTTATTTTTTAATTGTGCTTCATTATACCTCAAGTATTGTTCCACAATCTGCCTTTAGAGTATTATTCGTACAGTCAATGCAATACTAGATGCTAAACGTGGACCCTGTTATCTTTCAATTAGCTCATTTCTAGAATACGTTAACGTGACACAACCATGTCGACATCAGTCTCCTAAATAACTACACATTTTTAATCCTTTACACTTTAAAGGAATACTATAACAACTATTGCCCACAGTTGTGGTTATTGTGTCATCCTTTTTAAAGAGATAAACAATTTAACAATGGTTTGACACATACCAGGGTCTCCCGTATTTTGTGCAACGTTTATCTTAATTTGTTTACTCCAATTCACATTTCCATTTGTGAATGTAGTAGATATCTCAGTACACACATTTTTGAAAGGGACATTAAAGGGACACTATAGTCACCAGAACAACTACAACTTATTGTATTTGTTCTACGGAGTATAATCATTACCTTCAGGCTTTTTGCTGTAAACACTGTCTTTTCAGAGAAAATGCAGTGTTTACATTACAGCCTAGTTATAACTCCACTGGTTACTCCTCAGATGGATGTTATAGGTGCTTCCTGGGGCAGTGCTGCACAGTGTGACTGACATTCAGTGTCGCCATCCTCTGTATGCAGACACTGAACTTTCCTCATACAGATGCATTGATTCTCTAGAAGGAGATCTTGATTGGCCAGGGCTGTGTTTGGCTTGTGCTGGCTCTGCCCTGATCTGCCTCATTGACAGTCTCAGCCAATCCTATGGAAAAAAACATTGTGATTGGCTGAGAGAATCACTTCTCATGATGTCAGCCAAGCAGGCAGATGAGGCAGAGCCAGCAGCTGCAGACTTGAACAAAAGTAAGATTTTACAATATTTAGGGAGGCAAGGGTGGGTCAGGGAAATACATGAGATAACCATATTGACATTGTAGTGAGGTTTGCTATAGACTGCAAATATGGGAACATTTATAAAAGTGCAACACTCCATAGAAATGTTCCACTGCTTTCCATCGAGACTGCTCCATTTTTAGAACTTTGCACTCAATTGCTCTTTATACAGAATGTCCTAGTGTAACTTTTTCTGTAAATGAAAATCAATTTTATTTTAGAATTCCTGCAGGTGTCCAAGGTGTGCTGTCAAATCAACACTGTGCTTGGTATTGCCCTGCTACACTCAAACCCAGTGACTGCAATATGCACATGGAAATCACTTCAACCAAGCACACACACTTTGTTGGTTCTTTTAAAAATTGGATCGTATTAATAGACCGTCCCAAATTAATACTAGAAGGGTTTTTTTAAAAATAAAATAAAAAAAGGGCCACTTTGATCAGTATTTTCATGGCCAGTTAGAAAATGCTGAATGTTGGCAGTTTAATATAATCAAAGGTATAGTCTTAGTTAAAATGAATTGTATTTAAATGCACCAAAAATAAATTGAATCTATTGATCTTTGGAGCTTTAGGTTTGAAGGTATAGTAACCGTATAGTAACAGAATATTCAGTAGTGATTGTGATGTGCTGGGAGATTCTCCCACATTGCTTGTGATTGTACGCACTAGTGTTTTTTTACATTTGTGTAATCCGTCAACATAAAATGTAACCTGTGGAAATGTCCCCATATAATCTATTACTATGCATACAGCTCTGTTCTTGTCTTTTCTACCTCATGTGAACAATGCTAGTGGTTGAGCCGGTTTCATGTAAATCATGCTGTTGGCTACAGGTGTCTTATGTTTAACTACTTTTGTATACTATGCATATGGTAATAGAATATTAGTGTGTTATTAAAGGGACAGTACACTCTATATACAACTCATCATTTTGTGACTTATTAATGTGCTTAGATTTTAGCTTCGGATAAATATTGTGGGGTACAATAATAAAAAATATATTTACGCTAAACTTGGCGGGTTACTGGTGTTGTAGTTCACCGTCCGTTATAAGGTTGTGCTTTGCTCAGCTTTGGCATAAATACTTTCTACCTTTAGCTCTCTGTTATTTCATCACTTTACAATAAGCAGGTACCTGGGAACTTTGCAGATCATCTTCTTGCAAGAGCTTGGTATTCTCATCTGATGGCGGTTATAGCTATGATGATCCAGGGTTTGGGTGGATGGCAAAGGAGGGACAACCAATGAAATTGGGTTCATGTAATTTTATTGCAGAGGTGAGCATTAAGTGGGTAAGGCCCTAGTGGTGCTGAATGAGCTGCCCCGGTATTTAGATATCTACCCAAGCCCAGCAAATCTCCTATTATACACATACATCAGCCTAACAACACATGTTCTTGTCCTATGTTTAAAGTCCTTCTCAATGTGAACAATAGGTGATCATTCTATTGCCTACAGATTGGCGCCTTAGTTTTACTTAATGAGAGTTGTCTATCACTCAGTATATTGTCCTATATTGATGTGTGTGCCAAATTAGCAAACTGTACCATCATTTCTTTTTGTAATGTAAGAAAACCATTTTTATACATTTATTATATCTCTTGTATCTACTGTAGCGGGTGGAAGGAGTCAGTTATCATTTCCTGAATTAACTGTTTTTGTGACGGTTTATTCGCAAAATTACCTTTTGGTAACGCGTTAAACTTGAATGTTTGTTTTTAACAGTCACGAGTCAGGATTTAAAGATTAACTCCATCCTCCCATGGATAAGTAATGTTTTGGGTTTTTTTTTTTCCTCTCTCTCTCTTTTCTTGAGTAGAATTTAAAATATTTCTTTTTGTAGATCTGATCTTCTCAGGATTTCATCATTCTTAACATTTCAGAGTTCTCGAGAATTGTACTGATTTACTGTTAATAATAAAAGCCATTAATGTCTGTGATTGCTGCTGTCGCCTCAATTTGTCCTTTTTTTTTCTCTGTTTTTGGAGAATCTGAAAACTGCAATAGAACTAAAAATAAAATCTGGTCAAACCGCAACCTTTTTGACAGACATCCCAGTTGAAGGGCAAGATGTACAAATCTGGGTGAAACTGTTCAAGCTATTTCTGTTTTAGCGTGTTTTATTAAGACCCTCCAGTATCAATCTGTACTTGCTCTAACACTTTGTATACATTTGTTATTGTTTTCATTTCCCTACTTTGCATTACTAACTAGGTCTTCCCCTGATAATCCTCGGAATAAAGAATAAACTTAACCTGAATTGAGCACTGGATGATGCTCCTCACGCTGGTCTGCCTCTGTCTGAGGTCAATGCCGCCTGCTTATGGACCATTTGATTGGACCATTCTACTGGCTCAGTGTGCATACATGGCATGAGCCAAGTAGGGGAGGGAGAGAGGGATAGGTGAACAGAGGAGGGGGTCTGATGACTAATTACATTTTTCACAGAATTGACATTAGGAAGCTTGGAACAGAATTCATGTAATAGAAGAAACGCTGTACATACAGACTCCTACCACCATGACCACTTCTATAAGCAGTAGTGGTCATGGTGGTTGGAGTTGCCCTTTAATTATGTACATAAAATTGTAGTGAGGGATTGCACTTGAGAAGTCCCACTTGATGCACACACACACACACACACACACACACACACCAGAGACTGCAAAAATCTCAAAGGATGCAGAAATCCAACCTGCATGTGCAAACTACTGGTTATTATTATTATTTAAGCAGTTTTATTGGGTCAAGAGAAGAAAATTACAATGGACAAGGGATAATAAACTCTGAAATTTTACAAGCCTGCAAGATACTGGTAAGTGATGATTGAATAAATGAAAAATGTGTACCTTTTACATGATTTTATTTTTGGGAGGCCTGTCCCCGAGCAACAATTTATTCAACAAACCAATTCCTCACTGGATTAAAGTCTGTTTTTAAAAATAAAACTTATTTATTTTATTATGAAAACATCTTGATAATCGAGGATCACCAAGAACCTATAGGCCAGCGCTTAATTCACTTACATAATCAATAGAGGTTTAACAGATTATTATTATGTTATTGTTTATATAGCGCCGTCAAATTCTGCAGCTCTTAACAGTGGGTGGATGAGCAGACATGGATTTGTAACCAGACAAGTTGGACACACAGGAACAGAGGGGTTGAGGGTACTTCTCAACAAGCTTACATGCTAGAGGAAGGTCTTCATTAAAGAAGCACTCCAAACACTTAAGGCACTGTTACTTCCTGGTTTGGTTAGCTCAGTGGAACTAAACTCAAGAGTTAGCAATTGGCCAGAGCACCTACCTTGCAAAGACTTCTCATTGAGCTGCATTGGGAAGTCTGTGATTGGACAGCTACAGAATGTCTGGGCGGGATTGTAGCCGAGCACTAGTCCTGACAAGAATCTTTCCTCCACTGGATCTGTTAAGACAGACAGCGGTACAAGGTGCTGAAATGTGAATAGATCTATTCCCCCTAGTGACTGGATGACACCCAGTTCTTGGAGTGCAACTGATTTATTTAGCTCAAACACAGTCTTTTATGCACAGACCCCCAGCATGGGGCCTCCATACAAAATATACACCAGCCCCTCTCAGGCGTCCCATTGTCTGGGAGATAATTGAGTCAAGACTGAGTGGCTCAATCATCTCTCAGTTAGAGTAAAATACAGAAAACATACAAAAATACCCCTAAAACATATTCAGAATTTACAGGAACCCCAAGTTTTATATCCCCGAATAGCTCAGATTTGATCGCACAACATCCAAATAGCGCTCAGATTGGTTTAGTAGAACAAAATCGCCATTTGGGTAAAGTTCTGACCAGCCGGCCATGAGGTGATGGCCCAAAATATTTCTGGGGAATTGAGGACAACGGCTGGTCTCCTTTATGGGATTCCTGTCCGAATGCTGCCTCTGGCTTCTAGGGAGCGAATGCTCCCCCCAGTCTGTTGTTCCTATCTCACGAATGTCATTGTGTGTATGTCACACAATCATCCTCTGCACTGTCTGCTTGTTTGTTTTTCTTTTCCCTCTCTCCCCCCTCACTCTGCTCTTCAACAAGATATTTATGACCCTCTGCTAAGATGGTGTCTATTTTCTAACAAACCTGTGTCTTTTCTACACTCATGTCGCTTTAACCCCTGTATCACAACTCAACTTTGAATTCTATGTGTCGTCTTGCTCAGAAATGCTTCAGACTTGAGAAAGGGAGGTTCTCCCGAAAGCTTGTCATTAAAAAATTCTGTTAGTCCAATAAAAAAGGTATTACAAGATACAAATTTTATCTGTTTTTTACATCTTCATCACTGGACTAATACGGCTACAATCTCTACTTGAATACTATGTATATACATATATATAAAAAAAAAATGAATAGAAATTATATATTTATATATATATATATATATATATATATATATATATTCTACGTATATATTTATGTAATATTTTTACATAATTAGGCCATTTTATTAATTACAATTTGCCTGACAACCCAGGCTGAAAGTATAGGGAATTTAATTTGCTAGCACTCTATTTAACTCTGTAACTTTTCAAGACACCATACAACCTGTACATGGGGGGTACTATTTTACTCGGGAGACTTCGCTGAACACAAATAGTAGTGTTTCAAAACAGTGAAATGTATTACAACGATGATATCGTCAGTGAAAGTGACTTTTTTTGCATTTTTCACACACAAACGGCACTTACACTGACGATATTATTGCTGTGATACTTTACTGTTTTGAAACACAAATATTTGTGTTCAGTGAAGTCTCCCGAGTATAACAGTACCCCTCATGTACAGGTTTTAAGGTGTTTTCAAAAGTTACAGAGTCAAATACAAGGCTTGCGTTTCAGTTTTTTCACATTAAAATTCGCCAGATTGGTTACGTTGTCTTTGAGACCGTATGGTAGTCCAGGAATGAGAATTACCCCAATGATGGTATGCCATTTGCAATGGTAGACAACCCTAGGTATTGCAAATGGGGTATGTTAAGTCTTTTTAGTAGACAATCACAAACACTGGCCAAAATTTGCGTTCAAATTAGTTTTTTGCATTTTTCACACACAAACAAATATTAACGTTAACTTTGGCTTGTATTTGTGACCAAGTGGCTACTAAAAAAGACTTGACATACCACATTTGCAATACCTTGGGTTGTCTACTATTGCAGATGGTATGCCATCATTTGGGTAATTCTCATTCCTGGGAACCATACGGTCTCAAAGGCAACGTAACCAATCTGGCGAATTTCAATGTGAAAACACTGAAAAATGTAACATGCTATATTTGACCCTGTAACTTCCCAAAACACCATCAAACCCGTACATAGGGGGTACTGTTTTACACGAGAGACACCGCTGAATACAAATATCTGTATTTTATTGTAAAGCAAACAGTATTATGACATACACAGTTAAAATGTCACGTAGAACTAAAAAAAAAAAAAATTCTTATTTTCTCCAATTTTTTTTTATATATATTTTATTCATATTAAATTATATTTCATAGCTAAATTTTTTATGTTAAATGAAAGCCCTATTTTCCCTGAATAAAATGACCTTAAGGGGTTACATGTTGTCAAAATGTTGTCTATATTTTGCCCTTTGGATTTTAACTGGCTATAATTCAGCAATGTTTGAGACTAAGCTTACTAACAGCGTGAAATTTTATTTTATATTAGTACAGCAAAAATAATATTCACAGAAACACCTATCACATTCTATATCAGTGTGAATATGTAAAAACCAGGCCAGCCTTAGGTGAGTATAAATAATAACAGATTTAATGTGGAAATAAAAACTTAGTGTTAAAAAAATGATGAGCTATAATTTCTTTCATTTGTTAGATAGCAGTACAGTAAATAAAATAAATGTGGTGCAAAAACAAAAAAAACATAAAACAGTCATCTTCCAATACATGCACCTAAAACGAAATGCAGCTGTTGCTAAACTACATTTCCCGTGATGCTCAGCCGAGGGCGGCGCAGTGAGAAGACCCAGTGGGTGGCCGCGCGAGCACCACGGGAAATGTAGTTTAGAGTTAAAAACCAGCGCCTCCGCTGTCGCTACCTTGCCAGCCTTGTTGCTATGGCTCTGAGCTCCCCTAGCAACAAGGCCTAAACAGGGCTCGGGGCCTGACTCAGGGGGCTGGGGGCAGTATGAGCAGGGAGAGGCAGCAGCATGGTGGACAGCCTGGTGGAAGCGGTGTCTGCGTCCCTGGTGAGGGAGTTCCTCAATGGCAAGGTAGGCGCTGCCCTCACTCCATTATCTGGCAGGGTCACGTGCTTCTGGATTGTAAGCTCTTGGGGCAAGCCAGGGCAATTAGCTTTGCGCTCTGCCCCAGGTTCCCATTTATCCTTCCTTTGTGTGTTGGTCTCTCTTTTTTTTTCTTTTCAGTTTTACATAGAATGGTTTTATTGTCAGAAAATAGAATTAGACAATAATTGAGTATTTTTTTTAAAATGTGAAATTAAGTGATACAGGGACCATAATGCAATAATTATACTTTTGAATGCCAGATGTGTCTGTATCACTTACATGGTTAAAGGGGCAGTAACACTAATTATTTACATTATTTTTTGTGTCTATTACTCGTGGAATCGCTGTAAGGTCACTTTCTGCACAGCTTCCGCTGCCGCCATGTTTAAAAAAAGCAAACCATGATTGCAAGCATTTCGTTTCTTAGGGGTAATTAGCCGCCCCCCATTTCAAATCACACAACGGATCCTTTAACCCGTTACACAAGAAATTTACCAGGAAATCTATTTCTTAAAATATGGAAAAGAGGAAAAGCAAAAAAAAAAAAACGCAAATAATATTCCCCCAAAGTAATGTCAATAAATCCATGCTGGATCCTGTTTCGGCCAGTAACACGGAAGAATGTTAGAACAAAAAAATCCAGATTTAGAATCCCTGTGGAACCATCTTGTGTTTCGTCCTGTAGAATTCTGCCCATGAGGACACCAGCAAATATCCCCAAAATTGTGAGCAAACCGTGAGCAAAATTGTGAGCAAATATACACTTTCAAATGTACGAGACGTTGTAGGCCATTTGTATCCATGCACAAGCACCTTCCCAACTCTTTGTGCATGAACAGCACAGTTGAATGGCTGGCAAGGCTGCGTATTAGCCCAGCACACTTATTGCATTACAGGCACGACCCTTCTTCCATACTTTGAGATCTCCGAAATTTGGCAAAGTTAGACTGAGTATCATAGGATATGTAGTTCAGGAATATCTGGGCTTCACGGTTTAGCCATTACTACTATATGGTGTTTAAAGCCTTTTAGTGCCCTAAATTTTTATTTGAAAGTAATAAATTGTATAATATATATATATATGTATATGATTAATTAAAAAAATATTTGACTTTACCGGTAAATATTACTGGACCCCTCCAATTTTTCTTACACTTTATACATAACTTTGAATTGCTCTGTAATAATTTTTCACACTTTTTTGATTTCTACCCTGGACAAATTAGCATTTGGAATGGCTGGCCATTAAAGTTTGAGGTATTTGATATATCACTGTGCTTATTGCCCCCTTTAAATTTATAATTCACTTTAAAACTTGAATTCTCATGTTAGTAAATAACCATCTTCAACAGAATATTAAAAAATGTTATTCAGTTATGATCATCTACTTGCTACATCAGAGCCCTGTGGCTGGGGAAAGAGGAGGGCTGGTTTTAAATAAAAATCCGACTAAAGATGAATGCACGGTAATAGCGTTTGACATTTTCACCTTACGCAGAGATTAAAAAGGTCTTTTGCTGTTTTGGAAGAGGAGCTACCCCGTACCACCCAGAGTATCTCTAATCGAAATGAGCTGCGTCATGCTTTACATTTGGATAATCTGTACAACGAAAACAAGGTAAGCCTAATATAAAATAATTCTGAACATTTTAAAAATCCACGCAAAATATGTTTTAGGGAATCTGGAGTGTCCCTTTCTGACTTCTTCTAGACAGAATTGTTGGGAGACAGAAAAATATTCTAAGCGTTTACTCCCTCTCCCTTTGACTCCTCCACATCTTGTTTTAGAGCCTGAAATTAAAGCGGGTGTATGTGGATTTTTACTGTAAGAACGAAACCCATTTTTAGGGTGGAACAGACATAGTTGGTTTGCCAATGTGTCCACTCTCACAAGTCCATATTTTTGCTTTTTCTTCTGCAAAATTACTCAAGCTTGGTAGGTTTTGTGTTAGTATACAAATGGAAAGGTAACTCTACTCCAGATCCTATGATTGTGTTTAGAAATTAGGCCGTGTAGATAAAATACAATTCTAATTAAACTTTTTTTAAGTTTGAATGGAGATCAGTAGGCCATGAAGTCATCTGAAATGTCCTTGAAAAGCCCCAGACCTAGGCTGCACCTCCAACCACCCTCACTCAAATCAAAGTGTCCTTCTTTGTCCATATAAAATGTTGGAAGGTATGGCGTATATTTAACTTGTACCACTGCTGGAAAATCTAATAGCATAATGTATAGATAAAGTGTGTATTGCTACCTGAAGCTGACTTGTGTGGAAGAAAAATCCAGTTTGTAAAGCACATTCTAAGCAGATATAGCTATGTTTATTGCAATGCAACGGTGCAACGCACTCCCCTGTCATAGTGTCCTTGCACACAGTTGATCATAACGTGGCACATAGCCACGTGCCTGATACTTCAGTGGCTGATGTCAGAGGCAGACTTTTTCTTTTCTCCTTTCACGTTCATCTTTCACGTTCAAATCAAACTTTTATGTACAGCCTAGAAGTCTCTACCTACCTTCTCTATCTCTCTGAAAGGTAAGTATATGTTTTTATTTGTGTTTTATCCATATATTTGTAATGAGTTATCTGTGTAATGGTTTGAAAAAGGAGTCACATATCTCTTGGATTATGCCTTTAATCATTGGAGACATTTGAATGCTTCTAGGAATTGCTTGCACACAATGCTACAGTTTTATCAGACCATATTCATTCATGCAAAGTGTGATGTTGAGAAAAAAAAAGGTAGCAAGAGCTTGAATTTCTACAATAGTGTCTTTAACCCCTTAAGGACACATGTGTGACATGTCATGATTCCCTTTTATTCCAGAAGTTTGGTCCTTAAGGGGTTAAACAGAATTTAAAGGTTTAATTGTTAGAGAAATGCATTTTATCATTATTATTTTATTTCTGCTTTTTTTTTTTTACAGTTGAAAGGAAAACCTTTTAAAACATTGCTGGAGATTATAACAAGCTATTTTCTGGAACAGTTTGGAAAAGCACAACCAGCAGGACATACTGTATACCAAAATCCAGACATTGCTAAAATGTTTATCAAGGGACGTCAGCCGCGAGAGTCAGAGAGCTCCCAGCTAAACATATGTGATATTTCAGATGATGAAAACGGCAGCAGCACGGCAGTCTCTGACACCAGTAAAACTGAGATCTACAGGTAGTTTTTATTGGTTATTTGCACCTAGAGTCTACATGGCTTGAGCTGATGTGATAGCTCCTTCAATAGGATTCTGTCTACAATATCTCAGTCACAACTCTTTCATCCATTCATGTTTGTTAAAGTGGCACTGTCATAGCCCCAACTGTTTGTTTTTAACACCCCTATCTGACTCCTCTCAATTTTATTGTCCCCTTAGTCACCCCAGAATGCCTCTAGGTCCCTTTTTTTTACCTATTTTTTTTTCTTGTCGGGATCTATGTCCTAGCCACCGCCATCTTAGTTTTCACTGGATAACGTGTATCGCAGGGCCTTCATCTACCCACACTAGCTTACGCTCTGAAATTTGCACGCATGCCCAGTTGTACACTTTGGCATTAAACTAAACAGGGGACCTTGTGTCCCACCCAGCCCCCACCCATTGCTGGCAGGTGGGGCCCTAAGTAATACATGGGGGGAATCTATTGTTCCCCCCCCCCCAACCTTCCCTTATTATTACTTAAGGCCCCCATCCGCTGGCAATGGGTAGGGGCTGAGGGGGAGCAATAGATCCCCAGTTTAGTTTATTAGCACTCACTGGCGGGACATTTGCGGGGGCTGGCTTGGGGCACTGTTCCTTAATTATTTTAATGGGTGCCCCACCATGGGGGCATGGTGGGCCTATACCAGGTCCCCCTTTATTATATTTGGGTGTGTGTGTCTTTTTTTACATCAGCTACTGGCTGCTCACTGTTTAGTAGACTTGCCTCTACTTGCAGCACAGCGAGAGGGTGCAGGAGGAGGGGGGGGATTTCTAACCTCCTTTATTGATTTACTTAGTATTAGTTTGTCTTAAAGACCAATTTTGGTCTGTCAGCTTTTTTAGTAGATAGCTTCATAATACTGTGGGGATTAGGGGTTATCTGCTAAACAGCTGCAAGATACAGTGATGACCCGGAATGGGATTTAATTTTTCCGAAGACAAATGGACAAACTGTTGACATTCTGTTTGGCCGAAATTCGGTCAATTCTCCGGTGCCCTAGTCTATGGGACAGGCGGATTGAGAACACGAAGGAGGGTGAGTATTGTGGGAAAACATTCTCTGACACAGGAAGTTCAATGAACTTAAGCTCCTCCTTTTGTCAGAGAAAGTCAAGTGTAGGACAAAGAAAACTAAATCAGAAATGAAGAAAAGAAGAACAGATTCTGAAAGAGGAAGAGAAAAGTAAGCAACTGGGAAAATGTTCGGCATGACAGTGATAGATTGTGAGTAAACCCTGTTGGTATAAACTTTCTACCAAGTGTGTTGTGCATTCCAAATGTGGAAAGTCTAAAGTTTTGTAAAGTGAATTAGTGTAGCTGGATGTAATTTGTGTGTAAGTTAGGTACAATATTCTAATGTTCTTGTCAAATGTTTTTTATTGAGTATTTCCAAAGTTGTTATTATTATTATTATGTTCTTTATATAGCGCCATCAAATTCCGCAGCGCTTTAGGGTGGATGAACAGACATGTAGTTGTAACCAGACAAGTTGAACACACAGAAACAGAGGGGTTGAGGGCCCTGCTCAGTGAGCTTACATGCTAGAGGGAGTGGGGTAAAATGACACAAAAAAGGTAAGGATAGTATTAGACTAATGACAGTTGCAGAAGAGGGATCAGTCGGGAGCTATTAACAGTTTAATTGATACGCTTTTATGAAGAAGTAGGTTTTTAACGATTTTTTTAAGGAGTGGAGACTGGGTGAGCATCTAACGGAGGAGGGAAGCGAGTTCCACAGGAACTGTGCAGCCCTCAAGAAATCTAAAAAAAACATGTCGCCTCAGAGGGGATATGATAACATTATACAAATATATTTGTGGCCAGTAAAAACCATTGTGTGGAAATCTATTCACAAACATAGGACACAAGGTCATGCGTTTAGACTGGAAGAAACAAGATTTAGTCAAAGGCAAAGGAAAGATTTTTTTACAGCAAGAACAATAAGGATATGGAATTCTCTGTCTGTAGAAGTGGTTTTATCAGAGTCCGTACAGATGTTTAAACAGCAACTAGATGCATTCTTGCAAAAACAGAATATTCAAGGATATAATTTTTCAATGTAGGGTAATATCTTTTTGATCCAAGGATTAATCTGCCTGCCATTCTGGGGCCAAGAGGGAATTTTTTTTACTAGTTTGTTACAAAATTGGAATTGCTTCAAACTGGGTTTTTTCTTGCCTTCTTTTGGATCAACAGCAAAAACAAATGTGAAGAAGGCTGAACGTGATGGACACGTGTCTCTTTTCAGCCTTTTAAGCTCCCTTGGTAAACTCATTAGCTTCTTTGGCTTCCAATATCATTTCTATGCAGATAACACAGAAATCTACCTGTCCTCTCCTGATCTCTCCCCGTGCCTCTTGACTAGTGTCTCTGACTGCCTCTCTGCTGTTTCTAACTGGATGGCTGCCTACTTCCTTAAACTAAACTTGACCAAAACTGAAATTCTGGTCTTTCCTCCCTCAAGTGTTGTTACTCCTGTGTCCTGCTACCATCAGCTCCACCACGCAGGCTCGCTGCCTAGGTGTTCTCTTTGACTCCGACCTCTCCTTCAAGCCTCATGTTCAATCTATCGCCAAATCCTGTCATTTCCATCTAAAAAACATTGCGCGCATCCGCCCCTACTTAACGCCAGATGCGACTAAGGTGTTGGTCCATTCCACTGTCCTTTCTCACCTTGACTACTGTAATCCTCTTCTCAGTGGTCTTACGTGCTCCCAACTAGCGCCGTTACAGTCCATAATGAATGCGGCGGCAAGGCTCATCTTCCTGTCCGCCCGCACCTCCCATGCCTCATCCTTCTGGCTTCCTATAAAATATAGAGCTCAATTTAAAATTCTGGTTCTTGCTTTTAAATCACTACATAATGCTGCTCCCACCTATCTATCCTCCCTTATAGACAAGTATGTCCTGTCTAGGCCCTTACGATCTGCTGAAGATCTAGGCCCTTACGATCTGTCCGTACTCCCACCTCTGATGCTCGCCTTCAAGATTTCTCGAGGGCTGCACCGTTCCTGTGGAACTCGCTTCCCTCCTCCGTTAGATGCTTAGCCAGTCTCCATTCCTTCAAAAAATCGTTAAAAACCCACTTCTTCATAAAAGCGTATCACTTAAACTGTTAATAGCTCCTGACTAATTCCTCTTCTGCAACTGTCATTAGTCTAATACTATCCTTACCTTTTTGTGTCATTTTATCTCACTCCCTCTAGCATGTAAGCTCATTGAGCAGGGCCCTCAACCCCTCTGTTCCTGTGTGTCCAACTTGTCTGGTTACAACTACATGTCTGTTCGTCCACCCATGGTAAAGCGCTGCGGAATTTGACGGCGCTCTATAAATATCATAATAATAAATATGTAACTATGTGTCATAGTATGTTCTAATGTTCCAACTGACATTTTCCAGGCTTTTAATGTGAGATCACGTGTAATTACTGTTTAATTTCATAAAAGTGTACAGAGTTGACACTGGTGAATTTGGTGGTGAATTCCTGGTGCTCTTGTTTCTATGTTTTAAATTCCAATAAAAAAAAATAGAGATAGGGAAAAAAAAACAATGTAAAGAGAATGTCATGTGTGACTTATATTTAGATCACACCTGCACAGAAAGCAATGCATTTTCAACAATATACAAAAACCCTGTTAGAGTTCTGTTTGTTGCAGCATGATTCAGCCGTCTTTGCACAGTTTTTCTACGGTGATCTCTCCTGTACTCAGTTCTCTGCCCCGGACTTTTAACTTTAAATCACTGGTGCTTTAGGAATGAATGTTAATGATAAAATAAATCTTCCTCCAGTCCAGAGCCATAAAAAATGTTCGATAGCGAGTTAATCATGGAATTTATTCACTATGCTGGTAACTAAAGAATTGGCAAATAAATTGCAAATAATATAAATTATTTACAGTTCAGCTGTTTTGGCATAAAATTTGAATTTCCTCTTCAGTTCTGCTTAATTACCTGTTTAGTGACTATACATCACATAATATGTAGAAATTGTTGCTTTGTAATGTTGAAGAAAAAAATAAATCAACCATTAATAATACTGACCACATGGTGGCGCACTAATTTGCTGCTTCAGATTCTAAAAGTGATACATATAGCATTTTTGAGAATAATTCTATTTTGAAGAATTTTCTTCTTCTTACAGGAGAGGAGCTGATGTGACTGTTTCTAAAAGAGATCATATGAGCAAGAAGTCTGAAATCCTCAGCAAAAGCAGGAACCTGTCTTCTGAACCGGAGATAAAGCATGCAAAAGAATGTAAAAAGGAGTTGTCAAAAATGTCTGAGCCCACTTTGGAGGAAACAAATTCGACATTAGAAGCTCTGAGACCGAAATCAAGCAGAATAATGCGAGGAATGATGTCTGGACCAATTGCCAGCTCTCAAGAGGTTAAAATAGATATAATAAGTATAGTAAAAGATCTGTCTGTCTATCTATCTCTATGAGGAGATACTGATTGGCCAGTGGGGTATTTTGGCGCGCATGTGCAATAGCCTCCCAATGCTTTCTTATGAGAAAGCATTGGATTGGCTGAGAACATCAAGCCAGCTGCGATGAGACTTGTGCCGAATGGGAAAAACCGTAAGTTTAAACACCTTTTCAGAGCAATCTAATGGTGGTCGGGGATCTAAGTACTTATTTTTACACTAAAGTGTCAGGAATACATATTTGTGTTCCAGACAATATAGTGTTCCTTTAAGATCTATGTCTTCATAAAAAAGTGCCTCTATAGGCTGTTAGGCATGTTATTGGCAAATTGCAAACAGAAACAGTTTGTACATTGCTAGACAAAAACACAGTTTCGATGCACTACAAAAAAATCTACATTAAAATGTATTGTTTTTTTGTGTGTAAAGTGTCTCTTAGCAAAGTCACAAGTTAGTCACTCAGAGTACACATGAGCACTGAGTTCTAAAGCTGTAACAACAATTCCTGTAAGTACAGCAGACAGACTTGTACAGTGCGTGAATGAGCAGGCCAAGAACATGTATAGGTGAAGAGAGGGGATTTCTCTCCAGGGATATAGGAGACTATGGGGTGGGGTTTGAGTACTTGAAAGCTGTTGCATGTAAAAGAATGGGACTTCAACCATAGTGTCACAGAGCCATAGCCATTATAGAAGCTATAGTGGTTGTAGTTTTTGGATACTATCATATTAAACATAAATATAATTACTTTTACATTGGATTTAAATTATGTCTCCCATTATGAAATTATTAACCCTGGTGATCTCTGCTCCAATCCAGTGCTTGTCATAGAGAAGCATGGAATCCAATAGTTCTCTTGAGAAAGAGCATTAGTCATGTTTGATCTTATTTTCCTGTGTGGCTGTTTTACTAGAACAATATAATGTGTGTAGAATTATTTATTGTAATTTACACATTTTCCCACTTTGATAGTACCACCATAATCTTCCCAGCACAAACATGGACGGCATCATTAATGCACAATCAAACATACAGTGAGAAAACTGGCACAAATAAACACAGGTTAACCGGATTGCTTTACCCATCCCAATCTCAGAGATAATGTATCTAGCCGTTTGTGGTTCTTTTTAGTGGACAATATAGATTCTGTGTAGCATATTATTTACATACAACCACGGCTTTTAAAAAAAAACAACAACCACAAAACAAACAGAATACAAAGAAAAAAACACACGTTAATTAAGACATCATGGTCCATGCAGCTACATTCATGGGAAAAAAGAAAGCACTCCCTCTTAGAGTTCTATGGTTTTATCAGGACATACCAATCATCTGCTCCTTAGGAGGTCTTACAATAAGGTAAATCCAACCTCAGATGAACAACAACACATGACATATTACAGCAGCCATGTGTGAAAAACTAAGTACACCTTATGATTTAATAGCTTGTAGAACTACCTTTAGCGGCAATAACTTGAAGTAATCGTTTTCTGTATGACTTTATGTCTCTCACATCGTTGTGGAGGAATTTTGGACCGCTCTTCTTTACAACATTGCTTCAGTTCATTGAGGTTTGCTGGCATTTGTTTAAACACAGCTCTCTTTTTTTTTTTTTTTATTCTTTATTTTTGGTTCGACACATATTACGGCATTGCAGTATACAGTGGCTCGCGCAGGGGCTAATAGTGATTGAGGCTAACATTGCATAATACAGAAGATAAGCGGTTTTACAAGTTAAATCAAGGTTCTATTGTGCCGTGCAGTGTCGCTGTTTCTGTTTTGGTGGGCAGTACCTGTCCACACATAAAAGATAAAATATAACACTTAACAAAACTCAACAATGCTAGACAGTTCATAACTAATTAGAGCTACCTAAGGTAAGAGTCTCCGATATAAGTAAACACAGCTCTCTTAAAGTCCCACCACAGCATTTCAATTGTGTTGCTGTCTGGACTTTGACTGGGCCATTACAACACCTTGATTGTTTTCTTTTTCAGCCATTTTCTTGTAGATTTGCTTGTGTGCTTGGGATCATTGTCCTGTGGTATGACCCAATTTAGGCCAAGCTTTAATTTTGACTCTAGAATACTTTGCTAATGATGAGTTCATGGTCGACTCAATGACTGCATAGTTTCCTGGTCTTGTGGATGCAAATAATGGCAAAATCATCACCCCTCCACCACCTTGCTTGAAAGTTGGCATGATGTGTTTGTGCTGATATGCTGTGTTTGGTTTTAGACAAATGTAGCACTGTGCTTTTTGGCCAAACATCTCTACTTTGGCCTTGTCTGTTTAAAGGACATTATTCTAGAAGTCTTATGGTTTGTTCAGATGCAGCTTTGCAAACCTAAGCCATGCTGCCATGTTCATTTTAGAGAGAAGATGCTTTCTCCTGACAACCCTTCCAAACAAGCCATAATTGTTCATTCTTTTTCTTATTGTCATGAACTTTAACATTTAACATGCTAACTGAGGCCTGTAGAGTCTGAGATGTAACTCTTGGGTTATTTACAATTTCTCTGAGCATTGCATGGTGTGACCTTGGGGTGAATTTAATGGTACGTCAACTCCTGCAAAGATTGGCAACTGTCTTAATGTTTTCTACTTTTAAATAATCTTTCTCACTACAGAATGATATACTTTGAATTGTTTGGAAATTGCCTTATAATCCTTCCCAGTTTGAGGGGCAGTAACAATTTCTTCTGTAAGATCATTTTTTATGTCTTTCCTCCTTGGCATTGCGTTAACACACACACCTGAATTGTCCTGACTAGCAAACTAATTAACTTTGTCTTTTATAGAGGTGGTCACACTTGCTGAAGATCAAATATTAATCAAGTGCATTTGACTAGCAGCACCAGTCTGCTACTTAGTCTTTTAATTCCTATAGAAGCAGTAAGGGTTTACTTAATTTTTCACACATAGCTTCTCCATGTTGGCTTTATATCTATTAAATAAATCATGACATGGTGTAATATGTCATGTGTTGTTATTCATTTGAGGTTGTATTTACCTAATTTTAAAACCTGCTAAGGAACAGATGATTGTCCTGATATGTAAAACCATAGAATTCCAAGAGGGTTTACATTCTTTTGCCATGATTGTATATCTTTTGCTGTTATGGCTCTGTACTCAGATCTGTAACAGTGTTGTATGTGTGCACTTTATCTTGTTTTGTTTGGGAATATTTATCTAAAAATTAAAGCTTGAAGTTAGATATTTGTGTTACTTTTGTGGAAATTTTTTCTACAAATAGCTTGAATTTTTTTTACATTACATTCCTCTCTTTTTTAGGATTCTTTAAAGAAAAAAGGGCGACTGAGGTCTGCATCAGTTACTACCTCAATTCAAACCAAAAATGATGTACAAGTGTCCGATCTGTTTGGGAGGACCGTGGAACCCAGCATCGGTTCTGCAAACACAGCTCTGCAGCTTGGGAAAGAGTTCACAGCCAAGGTGCTTTTAACATCAGTAACATCTCCGAGTACCAGTACAGTGAGTGACACGTTGGTCACTTCCAAGAACCCATTTTCTAAGCAGGAAAGACAGTGTAACGGTGAGATCCGGACAGAACACAGACTGGGTACTTTTGGGAAGGATGACTTTAAAACCCCACCCAACGCAAACAGTGATAGGCAGCCGCAATTTACAAAAAAGAAGGAAAATGACAAGATTTCACACAGGTTAGTTTTTAATACACTATGAAAACAAAATTAAAACCTTATGTTGAAAATATTTTTATCTTAAATTAATTTTTTGAGTACCAGATGGCAACACCCTCAGTAAATTCCCTTCCACCTTTCACTAAAATGACATACCCCCCTGATAAAAGCTGTGTGTTGTAGATATATAGTGACATAGGAGAGTGAAAGGGATGCTCCAAACACCATAACAACCTAAGCTTATTGCATACATGGTCACATACATAGCTTCATAAAAAATGAATGGCACAATCATTCATATACTGATTCTAGTTGTACAAACAAGTAAGCACAACAGCTTCTGCCTGTCTTGTGTCCGAGTGAGCAGATTCTGATGCAGATTGCTGTCATGGTTTTGGTGCATGGATGCTGTCCTTTTTGTCAGGGAATGTAAAACATTGCCGTCTCTGTATTTACGTTTGTGTGAGAACACACAATTAGTGTCTGTCAGACTGATAGCTACCTTCCTTTTTACGACCTTCGAAAATTAAAGGTCTCCATGTTTGGTGCCATCCCGCACAGCTTGATGATGCCAAATGCGTTCATTGCTTCTCATTGAAAGCATCATACTGATGGAGCACAATGATTGTGTTACATATAGAAATTGTATTGGGCCTAGACAGGGCGGGCACAAGACATTGTGCTGCCTGGATCCAAGTATGAAATGCTGCCTCTCCCGCCCCCAAAAAAACCCCAGCAAAAAAACAACATATATGACTCTGGTAGTGTCTCTATGTGGGTGAGCTGGGGATGAAGTGTGTGTCTGTGTGTGTGCTGGGGATGTAGTGTGTGTCTGTGTGTGTGCCGGGGATGTAGTATATGTCTGTGTGTGCTGGGGATGTAGCGTGTGTCTGTGTGTATGCTGGGGATGTAGTGTGTCTGTGTGTCTGCTGGGGTTGTAGTATGTGGCTGTGTGCGTGCCGGAGATGTAGTATATGTCTGTGAGTGCTGGGGATGTAGCGTGTGTCTGTGTGTATGCTGGGGATGTAGCTTGTGTCTCTGTGTGCACTGCAGCCAATACACTTAACTTTACACTTTGTCTGTGTATATGCATGTGTGTCAGTGTTTGTATCTGTGTGTCTGTATCTGTATGTGTGTCAGTGATTGTGTGTCTGTATATCTGCATGTGTATCAGTGTGTCTGTGCAACTGTATGTGTGTCAGTATATGTATCAAAAACTGACACTGATATGCCTGCAGATACACAGACATACAGACACTGACACATACAGATACACACCCTGCCACACATGCAGATACGCAGACATAAAGATACACACACTACACACACAGATACACATTACACACATACAGTATACACAAACTACACACTACATACAGACACACACTACACATACACATATACACACTACACACACAAACACACACACACACAATATACACATACACAGACAAACATACAAACACACATATACCCACACTACATACAGATACACACACTACACAGAATCACATACATACACACACACACTACACACAGATACACACACTACACATAAACAGATACACACATTACACTTATACAAAAAGATACACACCTTACATACACAGATACACACACATTACACTCAAACAAACATACACACATTACACATATACAAACACACAGGTACCCACACTACATACAGATACACATACATACATACAAACACACACAGATACCCACACTACATACAGATACACACACACACACACTCATACAAACAGATACACACAAACACACACACACAGATACTCACACTACATACAGATACACACACACACACACACACACTCATGCAAACAGATACACACAAACACACACACACATTAAAAAAATTAAGCCACCCTTCTGCTGGCTGTGGCTGGTGGGAGTTGGCGGCCTGCTCTGTCAGGCACGGTCTCTGGATGGGCCGGCTCTGGGTTTAGATCATCAAGGATGATAATCTCAAAGGAGACAGAGTAGCTGCAGCAAGAAGACGTTTCCAATTCAGAATTATAGGTAAAATGTTTTTCCCCCTGGTTTTTATGATTTTCTAAGGGTGCAATAATCTAAAGGAACACTCTGAGGTTAAACATACATATGTTTATATTAACAATTCAATTCGGCTAGAAGTACGCATAAGGCTTCAAGCAAATGTAACATTTATAAACTGCTGATGAAGCTAAAAATAAAAAGTACAACGTTCATGGATCTGAATACCACCAACTGAAAACTGATGGTTTATATTGAACGCTGCTAATGTGCTATATTATAAAGGATCAGCAGGTGGCAGCACTTACTAAGGATTTGAAATATAATGTGCTTTGGGTCCAAACAACTATTTAACACAATTAGCAATGTTCACACTTCAGGCAATCTGGCTGTTTATCTGCAGATCCTAAATTTTCCTTTTTGGAGTTTATTGACATTTTTTGTGTGAACACATTGTGTGCTAACTAGCTTGGCACAGCTACCAGTGTGTTATTCTGATAAACATTGTATTGTTTGTTTTAGTACTGTTCAAAGCTAGCTTTGTAGATGAGGTCCTGGGATGTCCCTGATTGCAGGACTCAGCATAGTAGCAGGCTCTCTATTTGTGAACTAAGTATGAAAAAACATGTTTTATTATAATAATCCTTTAACCGAGTATTAAAAGGAAATCGTTTTTTTTTTTTTTTTTTAAACAAAGTATATGTAAAAAAAAAGAGAAAACTCATCTGTACCTTTAGTGTATGGCAGAATCCTTCATCCATACATGCACCTTGGGTCAGACAGTGTTTGAAAACCGACAGTCTCTATGGTCTTTCCTGCTTCACTCTCTGCACAGAAACTGGGAAGATCATAGAGACTAACTGTCGTGAAGAGGAAAGTAGCGGTGGATCAGCAGCGCAAATTTAGCATGTATGCACCTAAACCAAAAAGAAGTTAATTGGCAGCGCAATGGAGATCAGCTGAACCCAGCGGTCTCCAAGGGAGCCCAAATAGAGGGGGGTAGGCTATGTGTGCCTGCATTTTCTTGAGAGGGAGGTCTCATGGTATAGAACCACTAAGGAGGGGTCAGTTGAGCTAAAAATAAAGAATATGAGATAATAAAATCAAGCTAACAAACTATCCTAAGGCTGTGAGAACAGGAAAAAATAACGGAGATCAGGGGCTACTGGGTTCCTCTTATACCTGTATCTTAATTGGTTTAATTGATGTTTCTGTCCAATTGGTTGAAGGGAGGAGCTAACCCATTAGTTAAATGTTGTCATGATTAGCCAGGAATAGTAGAGAGGACTTTTTTTTTCTCATTTTTTTTAAAGATAGTTCATTAAAAAAATTATATTTAATTTCAAAATCTATTGAAAAGTTAATTATGTTAAAATAGTTTTGATGTGACAAATGTCCTTTAAGTGCTTTCAAGGTACAGTTGTATTAACTGTTAATCTACAATTACAAATATAGGTGTTTATTCATTAAACAGTGGGTCACAGAGAGTTAAAACGACACTCCATACCCCTAGAATAATATAGCTTGTTGAAGTGCTTTATGTCTGAATACTGTTTCCTCTTTTTTTCATTTTTCGAAAAGTGCAAATTTTAATAGAAATTACAATTTTTCTAAATTAAATTGGGAAGTCTGTGATTGGACAGCCACAAGTCTGTAGCTTGAGAGATCTGCATCTTTTGCAAAGATGTTTTTAGATATCCCCCATATAGCAGTAGTATATCCTCTTTAGTAATCTATCTGCAGAATGCACACCAGAATCGCTATATTGATTGAACTGGAGACGTTGGATAACATTTTGCAGCATGTTGTTCAATTCATTACTGCTCGCTGCCCTTATGCCTGTCATTCCAACCATAACTTTATTGGGAACAAAATATAATCTCAGGACATACCCGAAAACAAGAGAAATCTCATTGTAAAAACATTTTTTTGATAAATAAACAAATAAACATGGATGTTAAGATTGGCCAATTGCTAACAAATGTATAGGTGAAAAGTTATTGTAATATATTTTGTTTAGGGTTCTACTGGCGGGAGATACAGACTACAACTATGGATGCAGCCACTCGTTTATACTGTGAATTAGTGGCATCCCACGCCTTACTGTGTGTATAGGCTGGCTGATAGGTGCATTTTAAATCACAATTTTATTCATTTCAACAGGAAAATGTGAATTTCAGAAGCTGATCTGTGTTATTGGTTTGCAAACATTCACTGTCAGATCCAATATATGTACGTGTACTATGAGTATTAGGTAAACTAAAACATAATGGAAAAATCGTAGCCCCGGGGGATAAGGAGTTCAGCTAATTCACTCTTTGTACAGCTTTCCTGTGCTTTACCATGTTGGATTTCTTTTAATTTCATTGAGGACTGATCTGGTTTATTAGATAATTTATTTGTGTGATTATTTCACTCATTTAAATGCATACCTGACTGCTCATATAATTTGCAGTTACCATGAGAGGGGGGCAGGTGTAATCAGGATATGATTGGTACAGTTTCCATATACTTCATTATGACAGTTGTAATTGTGATAAATCTGATTTGGCACCTGGACTCTTGTGTTGCTTTTTGAATGAAGTGTTGCACTGTAGCCCACAGAGCAGAGGATGTTGAGTTTTTGCAATAGGTGGTCCTCCTTGTAGAGTTTCACAATTATCTATCATTATGCAAAACATTGTACTGGGTGATCATGAATTAAATACAAAGAAAATATAAATCACTGTTTAGTAAGTATCCTCCCCCCACCCAGTGAAAACTTACATGCATTTAATTCTGCATTTTGTCGTTGGCGGTATATCAAAAAACAGGTTGCAATAGTTGCAGGCAAATCTTTTGTCTACAGCCTTTGCACGCCCTTCCCTTTTTAACCCCCCCAGGCTTTTTGTGGCTGTCCAATCACAGACTTCCCAATGCAGCTTAATGAGAAGTCTTGAGTTTACTTCCGCTAACCTAAACAAACCAGGAAGTAACAGGACTGGTTATCTGATTGACAGCCAGGTGGTGTAACAAGATTAATTTATAAAAGTGCCAAATTCTATTAAAATCTGCACCTTTTCTAAATTGAAAAAAGAGGGCACACTCTACACACATATAGAGTACAAATAAGCCCTGTTACACGAATATAACTTAGCAAAATTGATAACAGAACATATAAATACACATAACCACTATACCCACAATTTCCACTTCCTAAATCTCTTTAGTTTAGAAAAACAGCGCCTCAGAGGGGATATCATAACATTATACAAATATATTCGAGGCCAGTACAAACCATTATCTGGAACACTATTAATAAACAGGGCTATAGGTCACGCATTTAGGCTGGAAGAAAGGAGATTTCATCTAAGGCAAAGAAAGGTTTTTTTTTACAGTAAGAGCAATAAGGATATGGAATTCTCTGCCTAAAGAGGTGGTTTTATCAGAGTCCATACAGATGTTTAAACAGCAATTGGATAAATACTTGCAAGAACATAACATACAGGGATATCATTTCTAATTAGTGGGGTAATAGCTGATTGATCCAAGGAGATATCTGCCTGCTATTTTGGGGTCAAGAAGAATTTTTTTCCTAGTTTGTTGCAAAATTGGAAGCGCTTCAGACTAGGTTTTTTGCCTTGTTTTGGATCAACAGCAAAAAACATATGTTAGGAAGGGTGAACTTGATGGACACAAGTCTCTTTTCAGCTATGTAACTTTTGTTCATGCAAATCTGTTTCTTTTCTTTTTTTTTAATAGCAATAACTTTCTTTGTAGTTTAATTTACATACATTGCCAGATGCATTATGTACGGCACTGTTGGAGAAACGTCTCAACATGTGCTTGGATAGATTTTCTCTGCAAATGCCTTAGAGCGTATTAAATATTCCCCCACAACATGGAAGTGCAGTGGAGATAAGTACGTTTTTTACTTACCTGTTCTGTTTTATTTACCTCAGTAATAATCATTGCAATACCTCGAGTAACGAGTAACTGCCACTTCTTTGGAATTGACCGTTCTGCATTAAAGGAATACACTGACATCAATATCAGTGTGAAACATAACAGAGTAATGCCGCACATCACCTACTCACTACTGTGGTGCATTCGCAAAGCCCCCAAAGTGACATCCTAGCATAGCGATCTCAAGATCTTGTTATTAATGATGATGACAAAAGTGAAGCCGGTTTTATTAGCTTCACACTGCCGCTAGTGGTATGAAGGAAGAGTGGGGGCATCATTCCCTGAGCTCACTCGGGTACATAGGAAATCTCAGGCAAAGGTTCCACTCTCCACTAGCCACTGCTGAGTGAAAAACCTGCCAAGTAGAAGTCCATCCCTGGTTAGTATGCCATGGACCTTTTCAGTGGCCAGTAATTTTAGTGCTAGAGTTTACACACTGTTTTTTATATTTATTTATTTTAACTGTTTATATTAAAGAGCTAGTGTGGTGGGGTCCTTGCAATAAACAAATAAATAATGCATTGGCTCTACACACGAGAGTGCCATTTTAATGGGTTATTTACTTTGGTTGTAATTCATGGCAGTGATTTGGTGGCCTCACTCAATTAGGAGGTTGATCACTTTTGTGAATTATATCGGAATTTCTTGTAAATCAAAATTTCATTTTTTTCTCCACTGAATTTCTTCACATTATCCCACTGAATTTACCCAAATCTGCTACAATCCTTGACGTTAGTGAGTTCTTCTACCCCCTATCGTCAACAGAGTTGATGGAAATTTACTGAAAGATCCAAATTGAAAACATATTCTAACTTTTTTTCCCCAGTTCTGCTCCAATTCCCTTTGAATTCCTGGCCATTCGCACTGTGATAGTCACCCATTCTTCTTTGTGGATTCACAAAGCTGCCAAGGCAGTGGAGGGTGCATTTTAGAGACAGGTGGTTGCCTTAGTAAAGGCTTCCAATACACAGACTTTATCCCTCAACATTCGTTACATTAATGGAGCATGTATGTATATAGCAGAGGTGGCCAAAAGCCTTTAGTTTGCCAAAGCATCATGGGAATTGTAGTTTTATGACAGCTGGGCAGCTTCCCATCATTATATTGGTTATGTAAGCTTGCAATCACTGTGAGATATCCTATCTCCCCCAGCGATGTATGTTGGGTGGGTTTTATTTGCATTTTACCCTGAAGGATTTCTCCTTTGTTATCTCAGGGGAGCTTTATACAATTAAGGGAAGGGGTCTGTAAGAATATTCTTTAAATAACTCAGGTGGACCATCCATTGAGAATAATGAAGAATTCGGGAATTTACTACTTCCTACGAATGTGCCAGCTTCACATCCTCGAAGCCCGCATCCCTCGTACATGTGTTTCCATGTAATGCTGACGCCAGTGCTTGTGTGTGTGTTGGCAGACAGGACGCCGGGTGAGAATAGTGTAGCCAGCATCCTCCTTTAGAGACTAAATACATTAACTGTGCAACACGCTCTGCGTCGGTCCTGGGAATAGGCTATCTCTGCTGCTCTGTCCCCTGGTAACAGCTTTCACAATGCTTTTATAGACCTAGTAAAACAGAAAGAATGGGATGGCGATGAGAACAAAGAATTTAAACACTTTTTATTTCACGCAAAACGCAAATAAAAAGTGTAATGTATCTGTCATTTGCAATATAGTTCATTATGACATGCACCCCCCATTCTCTTCATAGTGAAAATACGTCCACTGAATATAATATTTCACTATTCAGTTATAATTCCATTTAATTTATAATCTGTATAGATTGGGGATTATTAACCCGGATTCGTAACGTGGGTCCCTGTTGCCTGTAACAGACAAATCTTATTCATGGTTCCCAGGAAACAGCGCACATTAAACTGGTTACTGCAGAAACACTGTCCTTTGCAGCGCAATGCAGACCCCACCAACACTGGGAGGAGACTTAAATATTCTGTCATTTTAATTATGTATTCCATTATGATTAAAGACTGGGCCACTGAGCTAGTGCTGGGTACATCATTAAAATTGTACTGCTTTGTTCTTCGGAAATGCACAATGTACTTCCAAGATTTTGCAATGTCTACTACCTGTCTGTCACTAGCTTGTTCTATCAGCTTGTTGGGTATCTCGCTCTTTGTGCTACTGCTCATAGTGTGTATGCATACAAGTTTCAGGGTTCTCACTACTACTAATGCCTTCTTATGTCTTTATCCAGCTATATAGCCTTCTACACCATTCTATATAATATCTGTCTGTCTGTCTATCTGTCTGTCTGTCTATCTATCTAGTTGCGGTGAGATCACCCTGACATGTTTATGGATTGTTTTACTCTGTAATAGGTCAAGTAGATACAAAATATGGGAGATGCTGTTTTGTTAGCATTATCACACAGGTTTGCCTATTAAGCAAACACTCCAGACAGCTTCTTACCTTGGCTGCATTGTAAAGCTCATGATAAAGTAACTTACCTGGCTTAATGTAAATACCCAACCCACCAACATTCAGGTTACCTACACCTCTCATGTCCACTTCCAACAGGTTGAGACCTAGTAAGAAGAAATATCATGCACAGTTACCCTGTGTATGAAAGAACTGAATTTTCTAGGTACTCAAATGGACAGATGGACTAAGAAACTTATCTGTTAATTTCAGAATATCCACCCTGAATTTGTCCTTTTTCTTTGTGTCAGGATTACAGAATGATCCAGCACGTAGAATTGTGTAACACAGAGGACTGATAGGTAACGTATACCGGACCTTAGAATGGCCGGACTAACGTACCAAAGAATAGTTAGGAATAGCCGAGGTCAAGGGATACAGAAAGAGACACAACGATAAGGAAAAGCCAGGAGTCAGGGATACCAGAAAACAGGGAAGTCAAAATCAATGCCAAAGTCAAATAACCAGAATAACCAGAATCGATAACGAGCTCTCGGACAACCACAAAGGAAACCACGACAGGGCACTGAGCAGGATGAGAACTGGGCCTAAATATCCCACCTCTAGATCTGATAGGCTGTAACCGGCCTTTGACCCCAAAGGCAGTTACCAGGTTCCTATTTGCATGATTGCTGCTCAGCATTAATCCTTCTGTGGATTTGATTGCTGCTCAGCACTACTTTTCCTGTCTGAACAGTAAATTCCATTAATCACATTTTTATAAGCGGATGAATACGTGACACTTTGTCCTGATACTTTGAATCATTGAATTGGTTATGGTGCAGAGAATACCCTGTGCCATGTCCCTGTTCCCAGAACAATTTATAACTGCAGTAATTGGCAAAGCCAGCCCCCTGACTTCTTATGTAAAAGGAGGAATTTTACTTCCTGCTTTTCTGATCAAGATGCACAGATCTTTCTCTGACAAAGAATCCATAGACCAGAATGAAAGACTCCCGATCGACTCCCAATCGAGTTCGTCTTGCTTCTGGAGGGTCCTGCTTGTTACTTCTGATAACATTGTATTTGAAGACGTAACAGGAATTTTGAAGATGAAGAGATAGTGTTCCTTTTCAGTTTCTTGGATGTATTGGTTTCATACAATATTTGTCTTCAGAATTATCTAATAACCCAAAAAATTATCTGAATTATGTTTGCTATTTGAGTATTTTTACCCCTGATTAGCCTCCTCTTTATATAACAGACTGTCTTCAATGCCGTGTCATATGGAGATATGAAATGATAAGGCATGTTATATATACACTGGTACATTCTGTACTTATTTTGTTTCCTTTCATTAAGAATTGGCAGGACGCCTACTCTGGACAGGCGAGGAAGGAGTATTAGCAAAGGGGATTCTCTGTATTTGGAAGAACAATTGATTTGTTCAGTTTTGAACTTGCGCTTAGTTTTTTTGCTCTGTGCTGTCTGATCACTCTAACAGGATGTCAACACTGACTGCGGCCTGCTCCTTCGCTAGATACAGGGACTTCTCATGAGCCCTGGCAGAATGCAGCGTTAGAGCGTGCGAGAGATGACCTGGCTGAGGAGCATTCAGAGAGCCTCACAGACTCCTTCGCCATACAAGCATCTAATGGTGCAGAGAGGGAGGTTTTTTACCTCCATTATCCTCAACTATTTACATGTATAGATAGATATATAGTGCGATATTTGATATATATGTATAAATATTATATACATGTACATTTGAAATATGGGGCTCAGGCTGCTCTGTCTCCTTACAGGTGTATGGCCTGTACCCGATGATGGAGACCTTGTTAGTATTTCAAGTAGTGTAGCTGCTATCCCGTATTGCTAGTTGTGTATCTCCTATGCTCAGAATCAGGGCAGAACATGCAAGGAGAGAAGAAATAGCCACAATATAACACAGACTGATGTTATAAACAGGGCTTTGTTTAAAGAAATGCTCCTTACATCCTTACATTTAAATTGTTTACATTCAGTGAGCGCAGGACATTACATTTGGCTGAGCCAGATTGAAACTCTTGATCACCAGTTACCTTCTCTTCTGGCATGGGTCTTGGTTGTTTTTTCAAAATATCAAAATATCTAAATATATTTTATATATATAAAAATATATCCATGTATAAAAACATATCAAACTATTATAAAATTACAATGTTTTAGTATTATTAAATCATTTTAAAATGTTATCCAACAGCCATAATTCACATGGCTGCTAGTGCAGTCTTGCTATGAAACATCAATATTACAACAGTGTTTTTTTATTTTTATTTGATAACTAAACAGGTTTACCATCTCAAACAAACTCTGGTAACAGTTTTCAGCTACTCCTGCACCATGTTGCATTGAATATCTTGCATACCAATATATTACACATTATACATATACATATAAATTTAGCATTTTGCTGCATGCGTCTGCTTATTCAATGACTCGGAATAGCAGGTCCTCGTGTTCAAAGAGTGTAATTGTTAGACTAACATGGTTGGCACACCCTACACGCAAACAAGGTCACCATTTAAGGGGTGGGTGGGTTGATGGAGCTATCGTCTTAATCCAATTCTTCGTCTTAACCTTCTCTCCAGTTGATGGACTATGGAAAATGGGGAGCAATCACTCCAGATTGTCCCAGATTTTGCTGGATTCTATACTGGAACACGCATTGGGGGTGGGGAGTTACTTGTACTTTATGCTCTGCAGGTAGATGTCTGTACATTGTGGAAACTCCGCATCCGACCTTTACAAACCAGCTCAGGATAATAAGGTTGACATTACACGAAGCATCAGGTGTGACAGGAGGAAATTAAATCTTTGCACGGGTTATAAAGAGGTTTCAGAAGATGAGATGGACTGGTTGAATTAGCATTTTATATCAGCGTATTCAGTAACTACTCTAGGTATAAACTGGATTGATATCTGCAGCCGTAACGCAGTCTGAGAATTAACCATTTCTTAAATACTCGGATTAAGATAGGGAAAAGGGATTTTTGGGGAATCATTCATGGAATTCAGTCTTTAATAACTAATTTTGATATTTTAAATGATAATTAAAAAAGCATCTTCCAGCACTGTAAATATGTTTACATTATCATCATAGAAAAACTTCGCAGTATGAGGAACGAATGAAACTCCTCAATGGTCTTATCAATAGAGCTATATTGCCAGCTGATCCACAAAAAATGTACACAAAATTTTACTAGAGTAAATGGGTCAAATTATATTTTTCAATGCCTCTTCTGTAGCTTTAATCACCCATTTTCTTTAAAATTCAGAATTTTCTTGTGCTTTTCTCATTTCCTGTACCTTTATGCTGGTTTATCCCTGACTTAGAATCCCAGCGCACCTCGTTATTTAGAAATGATTTATAATTCTCGTTAAACCACTTTATTCACACAGAACATAAACCATAGAACTAATTATATGCCATTTTATGCAGTTAATGTGAAACAGAACTGATACTTTCTGAGTTAAGAAAGTGGTTGAATACTTATGCGACTGAAATTAATTTATTTTCTTTGTAATAATTCTACATGAATATTACATAACTATTCCATTCCACATCTCAGATCATATTTATAACACTTTCCACGTGTGCCACATAAGAGGGGTGGGAGAAATCCATTTTTTCATATTTCTCTTTGGATCAACTCATTGTTAATACCCTGCAAACTAACTAAAATTATCAGAACCTTTTTTTTTTTTTTATATCTACTCAGTCTGTTAAAACTAACTCTTGTTAAAACAACCTCTTTAGACATGTATTGCACACCTGTTTTGTGCTTATTTTAAAGGGCCATTTCCTCTGCTCTATGTAAAATCTCCTCTCTTCGATCTCTGAGTCTCAATAGGGAGTTTCAAAGGCTCTGCAGTATGTGAGTGGGTTATTTAAGATGTGAAATAAGTACTACTCTATGAGAGCTTTTCTGTTTTTGCTTTTATTTACAGATTGTTACCCAGTTGAGAGAGAAACTGGAATACATTTTTTCCAAATTAGGAGACCATCTATATAAGTATACCTGTTTACTATTACATTGAGGAATAAGTTACACTTCCATTTTGCTTTTTGCTCACTTGTTTTTCATGGAGTGTGTCATTTGAGTGAACTGGTAAGAGCAGCACTTATATCACTGTTAGAACCAAAATGCACTCTGGGTACACTGTGTGTAAAAATTATTTTTGTTGAACATTTTTCAAAACAGTTCTGTTGCTGTGAATAATAATGTTTGTCTACCATTTGTGCAGCACTGTGGAGAATTTGGTGTCTTTTAAATAATGCTAATAGTATTGTGAATCACTGTTTTAATATCTATATTTTACATTTCTTCTATCGGAAGGCAGTATCATTGTATCGTAGCCGTGTTAATGTGTAAATAAGAAATGACATGCTTTTGGAGAGTGTTTAATGACGGTCTTGTAGATAAAGATGTGGCACACAAGAGGTTTTAAATAATGTTTAATAATTGTGTCAAAACAAAGGTTTCCTGGTTAAGGCTTTTAATATTGCATCCTGACCCACAAGTCATTGTCAAACTCAGGGGTCAAAAGTCAAGATTGTTAAACTCTCCTGCAATAAAACAAAACAAAGACTCAGACGTATCTGTGACGCATTTTAACTTGATGAATCTCAAAATATCGGTAAAAAAATGTAGCAGATCAGCTTTTAGGTATGAATAGTTATTGGGTTATCTCAAGGTTTAAAAAGTAACTTTGGTTTAGTCAATTTAAAGCTTCTTGTATAACCTAATGTGCAGGGAAATCGGATCCTAACATAAAGGTTGATATTTTTGGGACACTAGGTTCCCTTTTATTATGGTTGAAGCTCATGTACAACGATCCATTGTTCTAGAGTAAAGGTAATGAATCTAAGCACTACGGAATCTGATGGCGTTATATAAATAATAAAATAATAATAATAATTGTCTGCTTTGATGACAAGGGTTCTCCATACCTTTTCCCTCTGTCTCTTTCAAGATTTGCAATTGCCTGAAGGTTCCCATTGTACAAATCTGCAGAATCTATTGCTATCTTATAAGTGAAAAGGTAACACTTTGCGTCGATATAATACACCCAGATAATATAAATACAATTCCATTTCCCTGAACTGACTCTACCAGGAAAGAACATATGAAGTCGTAAGCTATGTACTGGAGAATGAGTGGGCATTTATTACAGACTGCCCCATAACATCACATATACATTGGCAACGGAAAGTGTGCATTAATCAAAACATTTTTACGGTATACTTAGTTACTGGGTGTTGGTGGGAAAGCAATCCCATAAATATGGTCAGAGGATTTTACAAATAGCACTTCACTCACAATAGGCGACCTTGAAGTAGCCAACAGACTTCCCGTAAATGATCACGCAGGTTAAGAAAGATCACTCCTTTATATGTACAATGTTTATTGTTGCAGCCCTGATAAAAAAAAAATGTTTATGTTCTGTTGATTTCGAGTCACATTCTTTATGAGGACAATCCAACACATTCACTTTTTGTTTGTTTTGTTTTTCAGGAAGATGGTGATGTCCTCTTCTAATGAAGTAGCTGATCAAAAAGATGCCTTGAAGCTGGGTAACTCATTACTGATTTAATTATTGGATATATAATTAATACATTTACAGTATTAGATGACATTATAGACTGGTACTAACCTTAAAGGGAATCGTAAAAACTATTTTATGGTTATAACAGTTGGATTTGTTGTGTTTGTTTATATCTGGCACAGAAAGGACATCTGACGAATTACTAAAATATCCTGAAACAAGATATGATGGCGACATGCTTTTCCTTTCTTAAAGGGAAAATATCACTTCCTTGTAATTTTAATATTGTTTACATAATCACAATATTTAACAAATATGTGTTTGGGAGGTCTGAAAAAACTATAAATGTAGAACTACACACCGATATGTTTAGTTTTATCCTGCTACTGTGCGCCTCCATCTTGGCACTGGAGGTAAAGAAGTAGGAACAGCGTTTCTGTTTCTTCCCTCATCAGTCTGATTGTGCCCTGACTGAACTGAAATGTGGGGTCATTTGCTAAATATTCCCACTCAAGAAGGACCATTTTGGAAAAACTCATACCAGAAGAGCTGGGAAATGTAGAAAATACATTACAACACAAACTGATATTTATATCTTCTAGAAACCATCCCTCGTTTAACTGCAGGCAATTTTCACTCATTTATAATTCTTTCTAATTTATGTGAGTGAGTGTAGGTGGCTGTAATCATGCATAGTTATCATGGTGCTTAGAGTGACCTTTTTACTAAAGAGTGTTTCTCCATAAGCAGTGTTTTATGGACACATCAAGGATTTCTGGGAGTTGTAGTTAAGTTGTTAGCTCTCGTCTGTAGAACGCTTGAGCTGAACTACATCTCCCAGAAATCTAATTCTTGACATTCTATGCAGCATTTTTTTTAGACCATAAAGGGAAATGGTAAGTTGTGATGAGGGCAGAAAGGGCAAAATAGTTGAGCCCTAAAAAAACCTCAAGCACCCAGCATAAGTAAATATTACTTAACCTACACATTGTACCTAATGTGTATTTGATTGGAGTGTGCCTTCAGTGAATGGTGATCTATGATTATACATTGGTATTTTCACTTGGGATTTGTCTTTTCAGATGACGTTGAGGATGAGTTGGTCAGTGAGGTCATGACTACAGTCCCAATGTTCCCCAGGAGTAAGATCCAGCTGGAAGGAAAGCCAGTTGACCTGCCTCTAGCAGTGGTAAGTCTAAAGGAAACTAATCTCTTATCACAAGGGTATGTTGTAAAAGATCCCTTCAAAGCGTACATTACATAACTTGACCTGATACCAAATATAAAACTGTATCTCAGCATTCTGTGCTTACACTGAGTAAAACAATGATTCAATCAAGTTAATATAAAACATTTTGTTTCTGTCTTGTGCATTTTATAACATTCTTTATCTCTAAATAACAAATGTAAAAGGCTACTTGAACTGCTTAATAATACAACCGAGAGCCCTAAACACATATAATTTGGGGCAGAGAAGGAATAAGGCTGCTAGAAAGAAGCTTACACATAGGAAATAATCAAGATGTTTTCTGTAGAAAGAGGACATGATGTCGGAAGGATGGACCTTTTAGAGGACAGTTTCAATAATACTTTATTTTTATAAAAAGTGCCTCTAAAACTTTACTTATTTTAGTGGGTACAGGGGTCAATACATTGAAAGAGTTGAATAAAACTGGTGTTAGATACATAGTGGGGTCTTTCTAAAGAGCAACATTAGACAAAAGATATATCTGCAGGTCCAAAGTCTCCACAGTGATTACTCCATCCAATCTAGGCTATTTTAAAATTAAATACTTTACGTTTAGATAAAAAAAAAGTCAGCTAATTTGGTCAGTTTGTTCTGCCTCTCATAAAGTTTGGGTTTTATTCACTAGATAGTAAATTATGCAAATCATAAAATATAGATACAAATCAGATGAACTTGGAATATCCTCACATTTTGAAATTCCCTTCTGAATCCACACCGATGCATCTACTTTAAAAGTTTGGACATGTGTATATATAATTGTACACGTAGTCATGTAGTCATGCAGATAATTAATGTTTCAGCCCACAGTTGGTCTTTATCTTGATTCTTAGAATCCTACTTAATACATCATTTGAAGGAGCCCAACGAAATGCAATGTGTAGAGTCTATTAAAATCTGGCCTTCATCTGATTAACACTTTTTTCTAGACAACATCTCATGTAACCTCACGGTGAAAAATCTCTTAATTTCCATGTGTTTCTGGAATGTGTATGGAGTGAAGCTATTCTTCATTAGCACATCATTGTGTAGTATAACAGAATTTGGGATGTTTCTCTTATCTCTGACCGTAGCTCATTCTTGCTCCAGTGCATTTATAAATACTAGCTTAGAGTAAATTGTGTTATGTAAGAATGTTGTTGTTGTACACGTGTGTACTTGGGATGAAGAAAGGAAGGGATACTGATTTAACCTGCACTAAAAGAAATAATAATAATAATAATTACAAATCAGTGATATATTTACCTGGGAATTATCTGTATTTATCCTAGGGTCTGTGTTATCACAGCTAATTGCTGGTCACTGGGGGCATTGCTCTGTCATTTAGGAAATCTACTTTGGGAACATGGAAGCCATCTTTGGGGCCAGTAATGTACAGTTTTGTCTCTTTTAAGTAGGACAGCCTCTTTCCTTCTCCATAGGAAGATGTGTAGGGGTGATCCTGTTCCTTTGATTTTCTAGTACTCCTAATGTGATAATGTATACCGGTATATTTATCCTTTTTTTTCTTTTTTTGCAGGGAATAAAAAAAATCCTTTTTGGCTCCACCCTTTGTTGTTTCAGCGAAGAATGGAAAATGCAAAGTTTTACATTTAGTAACCAAAGTCAAGTAAAGTACGGCTTTGTGCAGAAGAAGGTGGGTCTGCTTGCATGAGATTGTTTAACAAATTTAGCTTAGCCATGGCAAAGAAATATTTTAATGTCATGAAAGAGATAGACCAATGTGTATTATTGATTATTGATAGAACAAATTACTTTGTAAATGTATTTTATAAAATTCTATTATCCTTTATAGTCTCCCTCAGTCAGTGGCGTACACATGACCCATGGGGCCCCGGTGCGAAAATTGATCCGTGGCACCCCCCTCCCGCATTACTCGGTGCGGGTCGGGGCCGCAACACATGGCGGCGGGCACCTGGTCGCAGGGGTTGCAGGGCTGGGACCCCGCGACCATGGTATGCACACACACTTAAAGGACCACTACAGACACCCAGATCACATCAGCTCAATGAAGTGGTCTGGGTGCCAGGTCCCTCTAGTTTTAACCCTGCAGCTGAAAACATAGCCGTTTCAGAGAAACGGCTATGTTTCACTGAGGGTTAATCCAGCCTCTGGTGGCTGTCTCATTGACAGCTGCTAGAGGAGCTTCCGCGATTCTCACTGTGAAAATCACAGTGAGAAGACACTGAACGTCCATAGGAAAGCATTGAGTAATGCTTTCCTATGGGCGGTTTAAATGCGCGCGCGCCTCTTGCTGCGCATGTGCATTCGGAGCTGAGAGGAGGAGGGATCCCCAGCGCCAAGGGAGTCCGACGCTGGAGAAAGGTAAATGCTGAAGACACACACTCTCACGAACAGACGCATACACACTAGCTAACAGACACACACATTTACTGACAGAGACACACTCAGTGACAGACATACATACACACTCACTTACAAAACATACACTTTCACTGACAAACACACACTCACTAACAGACATCAAACACACTCAGTAACAGACACACACAGTAACACACTCACTAGCAGACACACCCAATAACAGACACACTCACTGACACACACACACACTAACACATACACACAAACACTAACACACACACAAACACACACACACACACTAACACACACACTAACACACACACACACACTAATACACACACACACACTAACACACACACACACTAACACACACACACACACACTAACACACACACATTTTTTTTTTAAATTTAATCCCCCCAGCCTCCTTACCTTTTGGAGAGCTGAGGGGATTCAATGGAGTCCAGTGGTGCTGCTGACCCCAGCAGACGGGCTGTCTGGGTGGCCGGTGCACGAGGGAGCACTCTCCCCTGAGTGCTTCCAATTCAGCTCCCTCGCGCGCCGCATAGGGATGCCGGCGCCGGAAGATGATGTCATCTTCCGGCTCTGGTATCAGTGCGGTGCGAGAGGGAGCTGAAGAGGAAGCACTCAGGGGAGAGTGCTCCCTCGCGCACCGGCCACCCAGACAGCCCGCCCGGTGGGGTCAGCAGGGCCAGCCTCGGGGGGCCCTGGGGTGGCCGGCTCCTGGGCCCCCCAGGAGAAGAGGCTGGCCCTGTGGGTACATACCGGGTCGCAGGGGTGACCGGGCCCCCTGGTGGGCCGGGCCCGGTCGCAGCCTCGACCCCTGCGACTCTGGTATGTACGCCACTGCCCTGAGTATGGAATGCCTTGAGTATTTAACATTTGCCACAAAATAGCTTCAGGTGCAAGACAAACATGTCCAGCCCTGATGCACAAGTGGACTGAGTGGGTAATTAGGGCATAACCCAAATTAAATACTGTATTACAATTAAAAGAGATAAATTCCCCAAATTAGAACCAGTCATCAGTCAGTTACCACCACTATACATTCATCCTTCATTAGAGTACAAACACTTGTTTAACTCAGTTAAGTCTTGTTTTAACATTTGCACTGTTATCCTTACTGCCACTATTACATTTGTGAAGCTTTACATTTTTGTTAAAACTTCATTAAAAACTGGTTTTCCAAGGTGCAATTATATCTATTGGTTCTTACATCGATAACATCTACAAATGCCACTTACAAATAAAAATCGATAAAATATTACATTTGAAATCGATAGCATCATTTGAAACATGTAAACACCGTTCAATTAATAATTCCAAAAACTCAATTTTACCTGCCCCATTTATGCTATTTTATTATCTATCACTGTTTTCTTGAAGTGCTCACTGAACTCTGAGATAATATGAAACAGTATAGTCGTATATTCAATTGAATAAAGGTGATTAGACCCTCTCTCTGTTATGTCTCTTTGAATTTAGTAGGAGAAGTTAAGTCTATCTCTGATACAAGCTAAAGGTTTTTTACTGTAAGTCTCCTTTTGTCCGATTAATATTACATTTTAATATTTAAATATTAAACTAGCCAGGACTCTCAGTACATATTTCCAGCGATTTCTCCTTTCTGTTTTCTTGTCAAGTCTGCGATTGTGCTATTAGCTGACATTACCATGTACGTGAATTATCTGTGTCACCAAGCAGCGAGGACATAGGTTAAACAGTAATTAAGTGTTTATTGTGTCCTATTACTGCTTGTCACGTTATTGCTGCCAGATATGTTGTTTTCACATAATCTACGGTGTCACTTATTTCTTTACTTATCTCCTAAATGCATTGACTTTCTCATACTAATAAACATGATTTTATTCATGTTGCAGTCACATTCCTGTAACTAAATTACTGTAATTGTCATTAGTAGTGCTTCATTATCATAGCATTTAGAGCACAAAGTGCGTGTCTGTCTGGAGTCCCAGCACTTTGTGGCATGTATTCTAGCACTGTGTTATTCAGTGATCCTCATTGTGGCATTGGGCTGGCACTGTGTTATTCAGTGATCCTGATCGTGGCATTGACCTGGCACTGTGTTATTCAATAATCCTCATCGTGACATTAACCTGGCACTGTGTTATTCAGTGATCCTGATCGTGGCATTGGTCTGGCACTGTGTTATTCAGTGATCCTGATCGTGGCATTGGTCTGGCACTGTGTTATTCAGTGATCCTGATTGTGGTATTGGCCTGGCACTGTGTTATTCAGTGATCCTCATCGTGGTATTGGCCTGGCACTGTGTTATTCAGTGATCCTCATTGTGGCATTAGCCTGGCACTGTGTTATTCAGTGATCCTCATCATGGCATCGGCCTGGCACTGTGTTATTCAGTGCTCCTCATCGTGACATTAACCTGGCACTGTGTTATTCAGTGATCCTCATCTTGGCATTGGCCTGGCACTGTATTATTCAGTGATCTTCATCGTGGCATTGGTCTGGCACTGTGTTATTCAGTGATCCTCATCGTGGTATTGGTCTGGCACTGTGTTATTCAGTGATCCTCATCGTGGCATTGGTCTGGCACTGTGTTATTCAGTGATCCTCATCGTGCCATTGGCCTGGCACTGTGTTATTCAGTGATCCTCATCGTGACATTAACCTGGCACTGTGTTATTCAGTGATCCTCATCGTGGTATTGGCCTGGCACTGTGTTATTCAGTGCTCCTCATCGTGACATTAACCTGGCACTGTGTTATTCAGTGATCCTCATCTTGGCATTGGCCTGGCACTGTGTTATTCAGTGATCCTCATCGTGGTATTGGCCTGGCACTGTGTTATTCAGTGATCCTCATCATGGCATCGGCCTGGCACTGTGTTATTCAGTGCTCCTCATCGTGACATTAACCTGGCACTGTGTTATTCAGTGATCCTCATCTTGGCATTGGCCTGGCACTGTGTTATTCAGTGATCCTCATCGTGGTATTGGCCTGGCACTGTGTTATTCAGTGATCCTCATCATGGCATCGGCCTGGCACTGTGTTATTCAGTGCTCCTCATCGTGACATTAACCTGGCACTGTGTTATTCAGTGATCCTCATCTTGCATTGGCCTGGCACTGTGTTATTCAGTGATCTTCATCGTGGTATTGGTCTGGCACTGTGTTATTCAATGATCCTGATCGTGGCATTGGCCTGGTACTGTGTTATTCAGTGATCCTCATCGTGCCATTGGCCTGGCACTGTGTTATTCAGTGATCCTCATCGTCGTATTGGCCTGGCACTGTGTTATTCAGTGATCCTCATTGTGGCATTAGCCTGGCACTGTGTTATTCAGTGATCCTCAAAGTGGGTTGGTTGAGCCGAGTAGAATTGAAGAGGCTTGTTGCAGAGATGGTTTGGGAATTGGGCCCAAGGAGGAGTAGAAATTTACTGTTATTTCAAGGAATTTACAGCTAGAAGTGGCAAGCGGGGGAAGGAGTGGGGGGGCACAATAAACATTTGTGGTATATACAATTTTGAATTTTGCCAATTGAATCCTATCAGCCAGATTATTAATTACTGCATGTAACTGCAAGTACAAAATATTACAGTAGTAACACTATAGATAACAATGATAACATTATTATAATAAATATCAATCTGTACCTTAAAGTTGCTGCGTTCAATTGAAGAGGCTTGTTGCAGAGAGGGTTTGTGTTATTTATTGACCCTCATTGTGGCATGGGTCTGGGCCCTTGCAGTGTGGTATGCTGGACCTGCTGTTTTGCTTAATGTACAGTGGGCCTGGTACTGTGTTTTATAATGCATCTCACAGTTAGAAAAGTCTATCACTGTTATGTATTGTAGTATCTACCTGGCACTGTATTATGCAGTGCCGCTCATTGTGGTATATTGCGGGCAGGAGACTCACTTCAGCTCTCCCTTGAGATAAATCCAGAAACATTGTCTGAAAAAGGAAATCGCGGTGCAAAAAAACCCCCAAACACGTTAAAAGGCTGCTATTTTTACATTCACTGATAAAAAAAACGGACGGCTTCTTAAACAGACGGCTTTGCAAGGTGCTCCGGGCTGCTGTCTCTTGAGTTTTTTGTCGAAATCTGCATTTTTTGTAAAATAAAAAGAGAACTGACTCTTTACATATAAAGTGCTCCAGCAGGATTAACTGATTAAGGGGTCAGGAGTAGTGTTAATTCGTTAACAATAATTTTTCGTTATAGTTTTCATCAAAACCATGTTATCAGTGATGAAAATGAGACTATAATTAAAGAGTAATTATGACAAAAACGACAATGGAAATTAATGATATTTTATTCAACGAATGAAAATGAGACAAAATTGTTAGCGTTGACGACTCTCATATGCAACTTGTTCTAATCAGAGCAGATCTAATTGTGTGAATGCAAAGTCACATTCTTGTTTCTTTATGAGACTTGTTTTTTAAAGATAAATAATGACATATTATATCACAATGTAACGGATCGCCTGGCAACCCGATTGGGTACCTCCGTTGAAGGATGCTCCTAGCGCTTCCTGAGTCCTCCAAGCACTCCAGCCGACACCATAGACTCCTTCAGAGAGCAAAACAGGAGCAAACTCTTACAAGAGCTTAGTAGTGACATAGCAAGGGAGTATGACTAGCATAGCAATCCCTTGTAGCAGATTCCCCCAATAAGAGACGGCACTCCAAATTAAGGGTGAAGTAGAACTCACGGTTCTGGCCCATACAGCCTCTTTTATTCACATTCTACAAACATAGTACTGCCCACAGGGCTTTGAAGAACAACCAATAAACACGTACAATACACTCAGACACTCCCACACAAAATCCTCCCCTCTGCCTGTGATACAATTACCTTACACAATGGGTTAATATAATTCATAACTTTAAAAGTATGCATCACATTCACACAAATTTACATCACTTACATTTTCAGAATCAGCATACTCCAAATACCAACATACGTCAAAATCATACAAATTGGTCCAGTGGGTCAAAAGTTAGATCAACGTCCTTTGTGACCAAATGAAGCATGGCTTTTCTTTCCAAAACCAGTTCCACAGAGTCTTCTATCCTGGAGATAATTGGGAAGTAATCCAATTATCTCCAAGGACAGAGGCAAAACTCCATTAGCCACATGGTAGCAAAATACAATAAAATACATAAAAATATATAATTGTGCAGCTATTGCATAAAACAGGTACATTCAACATATCCCCAGATAGCTTAGATCTGAGCGCACATTATTACTGAATGGTGCTCAGATCACATACATACAGTTCATTTGCCATGGAGCCAAAGTCTTTTACATAGTCTTTCGTTATACGAATGGGCTCCATGGCATAGCTATCTGGGGTATCACTGCTCACATAGGGAAAGTACCGAATGACTCGGCTTTTGGGTCTTTGCAGGGGAAAATCAAGCATTTTAACATGGGGCCATAATCACAGGGCAGGAGGCTGGCAATCAGTCTTCTCCAATGCCCAGTGGCGAGGCTGGCTCCGCCACACACACAGTTACATCTGTGTCTGTTTTGCATGTTCAAACCTCAATACTATAACTAATAAATGTTTAATAGATGTTTACCCCTCCAGGAGTATTTAATGAGTTTGGAAATTCTAGAGAAATTCTTAAATAGTGCTCTACACCTTAGCCAAACCCATTGCTGGTGTTTTAATCGACTAAATGTTGACTAGAATCTTACGATATTTAGTCAAGTGAAGTTTTTTTGCCCAAACTTTTTTTTTTGCATTATGCGGTTTGTTAATCCAAATTGAATTTAGCATTTTCGGATAGGGGAATCGTGTACATTTTACTCCTCTAATCTCTCGCATCCACAATATGTATCACAGAGAATGGCGGTATGAAGATACACATGGCATCTCTTGGGGAACCAAATTTAAACTTGCCACATGTACTGTATGCTCACATTTGAACCTTGTTTAAAGATTTTTTTTTATTTGTATTTTAGGGCGGCCCGTGTGGAGTTTTGGCTGCTGTGCAAGCCTGCATGTTAAAAAACCTGCTTTTCATAATAGATGCTGAATCAAGGTACTGAGTGAAATATTTCCCTGACTCGTTGCGAAACATTATTAAGCTAAGAAAATTTACTTTGCTTTAATTACTCTTAATCCTATTAAAACACGTATAAGCTAAGGCCTCATTGAAATTGTCCACTTGGATAGTGAATATGTTTGTGTTAAACACCTCCAGAACTTTTACCATAACAAGTGGTTTGCCTAACTCTGGTAATGAAAGGGTTACTCTTCAAGGACATCTATTCAGCCAATAAAGGCCAGTGGACTTTATAAGAGCAGCGACGGTTAACATTGGAAATAAATATTCTGTGATGCCAGTCAGTGATTCTTAAGAGAGGAGTTCATAGGGACTTCTTATTTATGTGTGCTTTTATTTTTTATCTCCATTGTACAGAGCTGAGTAATATGTCGGTGCTATATGAAAATAATACATTTTTTAGAATAATTCTTAATTTGTTTGTTATATTAGCAAAAGTATAACAGCTTATTTTTTTCTTGAAGATGCTAGCATATATCCATAGTCCCAGCATCTGTGTTCTGTAAATGCCTGTGGGTAAAAGAGGTGGCTCAGAGATGTGAATTGCATCACTGGCACCGCCAAAAGCAGGCAAGTCCGCCCTAATTAGTGGCAAATCTTCCTAGTGTAAATGCACACCAGGCTGCCTGCCAATCAAACAGGCCAGCCAACTGAAGGTGGACCATGGAGGGGCACTGTTTCAGTACTCTCTGTATGGTCCTAATGCCTTAGCATAGGGCTGCCATGTCTAATAACGCACTCACGCTACGCATTTTGGGAACAGTTCCAATGTGTCCCTAAAAGCAGGGAACAAACCTGGGACGGCAGGACATGATCCTAAAATCAAGACTGTTGGGAGGCCTGTGTATTGCCGTGCTGTTAACGTATAGGTAAACATTTCCAGTATAGTGGATATGGTAGGTGCTTGCACATCTGTTTGCTTCCACGTTGGTGAGTCTAATACTAGGCATGCTCGGAGTATACAGCTGGGCACTCTGCCCTATGCTGGGACATACATCCAAATTTCAGCTAGTATTTTATTGTTATCTTGGCTGCCAGTTTTTATTCACCTAAATGAATTGTGGAAACATTACATGGGATTCCAAATTCTTGGTCAAAACTTTTATGGTCTACATTTTGCAGTTTTCTCAATAATTCTTCACAATTTATTCTCTAGATAATGAATAAACCCCCAAATGTGCCAGTTCTTTATTTTCATGGGCAGATCCTTTGTCTTGTTTATGGATATATACACTTTCTTTCTCTAGGACCCTGCAGCCATCAGACACACAGAGGACACGCTGCCTGTGCCAGGCTATTGCGGATATTTTATGGCGTGCTGGAGACAGTAAGGAAGCCATTGTTGCACTGTAAGTGAAGATGTTATGGTTTTTTTTTCTTATTGTTTTTGTGTTCCTCGTGACAATTAAGCTGCTGTTTTTTTTCTCCTGTGCACTCAAGTTGCCATTTGATTTATCAGAGTTAAATAACAGGGTTATTTAAAGGGACACTCCAGGCACCCAGACCACTTCTGCCCATTGGAATGGTCTTGGTGCCAACTCCCACTATCCTTAACCCTGCAAGTGTAATTATTGCAGTTTTTATAAACTGTAATAATTACCCTGCAGGGTTAAGTCCTCCTCTAGTAGAGGGACTTCCGTGTTCTTAGAACACGAAAAGAGTTTTAAGCGACGCTGGGTGTCCTCACGCTATGTGAGGACCTCCAGCGTCGCCAAAATCCCCATAGGAAAGCATTGGATAATGCCTGTGCGCAGAGGAGAGTAGGCGGAGCCTGACCGAGTGCCGTGGGACTCCAGTAAGTCACTGAAGGGGTTTTAACCCCTTCAGCAACTTGGGATGGGGGGTGGTAAGGAGAGGGGCACTGGAGAGTGTTGTCCTGGCACTGGAGAGTCCCTTTAAGTGAAAAATTGCTTATTCCACTTCGACTAATTTGGCCTTAAATTTTAAGTTTACTCACTTTTCCTGACATTTCTCTATGAGTCCTTCAAATGTTATATTAAACAAAATCTGAAAATGCAGTGTTTACATTAAAATGCCTGCAGCGACAGAATATGTACACCAGAACAACTACATTAAACTGTACTTGTTCTGGTGCCAATAGTGTCCTGTTAACACTAAATGAGGGTCCCTGGCGATTGACAGCCCCGCCCCCACTGGAGATGTGGCTAAGGCAGAGATTACACACTTCCTTGTAGTCATACCCATTCATACCGACAATGGGCGCTGTGATAGGCTAAAAGCAGTCCGCTGACACTCACCAATCACAGCTGCCCATTGCTGTTCAGGCTCAAGCTCCCTCTTTAGTCTAAGCAGCACTGAGGGAACATAGGCTGCTAGGACTCTCGTTTAGCATCAAAACCTTAAAAACCATGTATCACGTTATGAACTATAACCTGTTCAATGAGATGAAGCAGATTGCTTACAGAGTGCCTACAGTGTCCTTTTGACAATTCCGTGATCGCCAAAATGACTGTTGATATTGTTAATGTTTACTGGCTGTTTTCATGCTACAAAACATAATTGTTAACAACTTATAATTAGAAGCTGCAGTTACCTGTAACATTTGCAATACGATCAATACACAACACCTGGTTTCCATGCTAGACGGTAAAAATTATCACCTGTCACTAGCTAACTAAACTGAACACTTATCTATGTGTAAAGAGGAAAAGACAAGACTGAAACTCTTAATACATTTATTCTGTATTTACGTACACCAAAATAATCTAAAATCATGGCGTATGTAGTTTTCTGTTAATTGGCAAGTCAGGTGTACGAAAACACTAAGTGATTTTTTTATTGAACAGCAAATTATATTGAACAGATAAAAAAAAATTGCCCACATTTTACAGTGCAGTTTTTAATTCACTTGATACGCTGTTTAGTAAATAAACATTTAAGGGGAACTTGCTCAGATGATTGCAAATGAATATACCGAGTGAACATTTTTATTGCTTCTTGGGCGAGTTGCTGTGCAATTTAATTGGAAAACACACCTTTTTGACCCGTTTAAAATATGGTAAACGTGAAGTGCTGGTCGGTCTCATTGGATGCAGACATGAGTAGCATGTACATGTTAAAGTGAATCGTATGGGTTTGTCAGTTTTTGCAGCAGAAAACATCTATAGGCTGTTGGTATAAAGACTGTTTATTCAGCTATTTCCTGGCTCTTAAATAATTTGTGGTGCACAGTGAGCATATAATCTGTTTTGATGTAAACATACTGTTTACAACCATTTGTGTCTATTCACCTTATCACAGGCTCCAATTATTCTGCTAGACTGACACGTTCATACTGACTATATTTCTAATGGGACTTTAAGGGGATTTGAATTATCACAGCCTTGTTTTTAAATTGTATTTTGTCATGGTTACATGTTTTTCTTTAATTGTAGATCATCTGGAAGGCAACTGTTTAGTCCAGCTGGAAGATATAAAGCAGATGGAATATTAGAAAATGTAAGATTGTTTGTTTTGAAAAGATACACAATTAACGCCCCTTTAAAGTGTTTCTGTCGCCTTCTGGGGTGTTAGCATATTTTGCAAAGGCCTCCGATGGTGACATCACTCCTCGGTGTGCATTGGCCCAGGGGTTCAGTGGGTTGAGGTATATTTACATGATGCAGTCCCCCACTGGAACAGCCATATTCGACCTTCAACTCCTGGCACATCATCAGCCAGGAGCCCATGTCAATGCTGCACATGCCTGAGTGTATAACAATTTCTATGGAGGATCCGCAGTACTTTGGGGGCCTCCATAGACATTATCTCACAATGTATTACATCGTACTCACTGTTTTGGGAATAACACCCCTAATTATAACCAGGGAGATGGCTGTTTTAAATAAAAGAACATTATGTAAAAATATAAAAAAATTGCATTTCCAGTGAGAATGAAGCCATACATTTTGTGTTTGTGTTTTGTGGTATCATATAAATAATGGGGTAGTACAATGGATATTTGCATATTGTGACATATATATCAAGGTTTGAAATAAGCAATGGTGGTGACAAAGTAAATTGTTGTTATCTCTAGTATTTAGATTCTAGTTTGCACTTGGTAGATAATTGATGACATTCCTTCGCTTTACTGGGTACAGCAAGCACAGATCATATCTACAGCATGTAAAAATCTAAACCATACATCATTTTGAAATGCAGATTAATGTGTTTTAATGTTTTTTGGCTGAGCATCGGGTAAATTAGATTCCACCGACATCTGCAGTGCCAACTAAGAACATTGGTGATATCAGTTGTAGACTCCTTATCATGGTCCTGCAAATAAAACCATAAGTAATAATATAGCTATGGTTGTAAATAGTTTGGCCCCATTACATCTCAATTCTATGATTCTCTCCCCCAATCATATTTGTCATTCCAACTCTTTACTTTCTTGTGTCTAGCGTTGGAAGAAATCAAGATCAGGTGGGTATTTTGTTGTTGTTGCAGACGTTCCACTGAGATCCCGTGCCCATCCCCCTATAACATTATGTACCTATTCATGGCTTGTGTGATTGTGCTCAATTATATTTTTCAGCCTCCAGTTTTATTGCTAAAAATATACTTCACCTTTTTTTATGTGATTTTTATCTCATTCTTCACAGCTTATGTTGTATAGCCACCAAAAATATGAAGATCTTATGAACTTTCTTCTGCAAAATATTGGCCAGGTAAATAAAACAAAATATATTTTTTTTCTTCTGATATTATTCTAATTGTTTCCTTATTTTATAGTTTGAAAATTGATTAAAAAAAACATTTATTTTAATATAGTAATTTTAAGGCAGCTTGCATAGCATTTGTTAAATAAATTTGAAATATATATTTGATCGCTCCCAGTTTAAACTCCTCAGCCTTTTAAACAATTTAAAAACATTTTAAATAAACACGTCATCCACGCTGCTTCAACTAAGTAAACCACAACTATTTCTTACAAGTGTATAAAATCCAAATACTGATTAGGGAACAGCACAGTCCTCTAAGTGAATTTTATATACATTTTGGTCTTGGCGGCAGCACAGCAACATAGAGGTGCTTGTTTCAGGTGTGCCCCAGTTTTACTTTTTGTAAGAATCTAAAATCAAACACAGCCATGCAATCTCCATATGAAAACATTGGCTTGGTGACTTTCTCTGTGGCTTCGTGGCTTTCTATGTGGCTCTGTCACAGGATTCTACCTTTACAACTCAGTTTGTCAAACATCTGCGGTGCTAGAGCTGCCTCTGTTCTTAGAAAGCAGAAATGTGCAGGGCTGTGAAAAGTATTTGTCTTCTTCCTGATTAACTTGGTTTCTGCATATTTGCCACTCTAAATGGTTTCAGATCTCCATATAAAATGGAATATTAGAAAAAAAGAATCCAAGTAAACACACATTTTTGTTTTTAAGTGATAATTTTATTTATTTAATGGAATCTGCTATTCAATACCAACTGGCCCTGAGTGAAAAAGTAATTACATCTCTGAACTTAATACCAGCCCCTTTTCACGTTAAACAGAAACAACTACTATCTGGGGCTCCCTAAACTTGAAGATCAGTCTGGTGTAATTCTGATTCCTTCAATGATGACAAAGTTTCCAGGGCCCAAGGCAGCAAGAGATCCCTATACCATCACACCAACACCTTGTTTTGCTTTTGGTTATCTTTATTGTGAAAGGTCATGTTTTGTATTTCATCAGATATAATGGTTTCCATGTACCCACTTTTGACTTGTCTGTCCACAGAACATTATCTCAAAAGTCTTGGGAATTATCATGATGAGATGATCACTAATTTATCTCATGAATCCAATTTGCACAGTCTCTTTCCTATTGTCTAATTATGAGATGAGACTGGAGTGGTCTACATTTTCTTAGATGTTGTTCTGGGTGTTGTAGTGACTTCCTAGATGAGTCATTGTTTGCTCCCTTGAAGGATTTTTTTGTAGACCAGTCACCTCTGAGAAGATGCATCACTGTTCCAAGTGTTCTACGTTTGGAGATAATCGCTATCACTAAGAATTCCCAAGGCCTTAGAAATGACCATGTAACTTTTTTCTGATATATATTTTGACACAGTGTCAGTTAGTTTTTTCCTTAAATAAATACAATTATTTGTTTACTTAAGGTCTCTTTGTCTAACATTTCTTATGAAAGTCTGAAACTGCTCATTGTGAATGATATGCAGAGTAGAGGAAATCTACGTACTTTTTTACGGCACTGTAGGAACAACAACAAAAAAGTAATGGGCTCACAGGATGGGGCCCCCAACTGTCTCAGTGTATAATGCATAACAATTGTCTATTTTTGATTGCAACACCCACTAGCAAGTTCCAAATTGCTTTCCAGAGCTACATTAGCAGTATAACTGTTATAGAGATATTTCTGAAATGGGTTTCCATCGCGAAGATCTCCCTGTGAAATCATTGCCAAGCATTGGGTGAAGTTATGTAAAATCAGCTACAGTTGTACTCTATAGCAATGTGCTCTCTGGAGTGATTATTCCCCACCTTGCATTCTAAACCTTGGATTTGGCAGATGTCAGGAGAACACCACCTGTCTGACTGTACATTGCCCTCTATAATGATTTATGGGAGGGAGGGGGGGGGGATAATGATATTTTACCATTTAGGTCTCTTGCTTCCAGTGATTCCATTTAAACTGCAGGCTGAGGGTGTGTGCACTATTGTTACATTCCATGTGCTGAAGGTGTTTGTTGCCTAGTATGCAAAGAGTTTGTAATGCTGAACATTTCATCCCAATGTCTAACCTTTATGAGCCTTTTGTGGATCCTCTCATTTAACCTATGATCCATGATGATTTGTACTGCCAAGTAACTGTGGGTCTTGTTTTCTAGTTTGAATTTGGTCCATTTGGCTGCATTCTTCTTACCGTGTCAGTGGTTCTTTCTAGGTCGGTTGAGCTGTAAGTATCTACAATTTATGATTGCTGACTTGCTAAAAATATAATGTCTCATAACCTAAGAAAGAGAATGTATAATAAACATCCGGCATTAAAAAAATAAATGAGCTTTATTATGAATATCAGTGGGTTAATCTCTTCCAACTTGTGTACATTTGTAAAGGTTTTGTTTTTCAAGACAAATCCCTGCTCGCATTTTCTCCAGACTGTGGAGAAAAAGATGTACAGGTCTTCATTCTGTCATTCTGGACCCACTCTGCATTCTACATCAAGTTTTGTATGTCAGGCCTCACAGCAGGGTGAGTGAGGGCTTAGACTACACTCAAACTGTACCAGTATACAGACATTTTTTTTAAAATTGTGGTGGCATTTTAGGAAGCTTCATTCCCTAAATAGCCATTAAATAATAGAAAGGTAGAATGTTACTTTCGTTAAAGAGACACTATAGTCACCCAGAACACTTCAGCTCAATGAAGTGATCTGGGTGCAAGGTCCCTTAGGTTTTAACTCTTTACATGTAAACATAGCAGTTTCAGAGAACACGTACATGTAGCAATTATGCTTTAAATAGAAAGCCATTTTATTTATTTGTTGAACTGAAATCAATATTGGCCAAAGAGTTATCTTCCAGTTGTATTATCATTCCCATCATGCGCTAGTAGCCTTAAAGGATCACTATAGGGTCAGGAACACAAACATGTATTCCTGACCCTATAGTGCTAAACCCACCATTTAGGTGGCTTGTCCCCCTTTATCCCCCCTATAAAAGTTTCAAATTCACCTTATTTCCAGGGCCACGCGGGTCCGCAGGCACTGGCTCCGCGCTCTTTGTGACATAATTGAAATGGCTGATTTTTAGCCAATCCAATGCTTTCCTATAGGGAAAGCATTGGATTGGCTAAAATCGGCGCGGGGCGGGGCCACATGCCATTTTGGCCAATCAGGACCTCCTCATAGAGTTGAATTGAATCAGTGCATCTCTATGTGGAAAATTCAGCATCTCCATGCAGAGCGTGGGGGGCACTAAACGGCAGGGCTGCTTACTGTGCAGCCCTGAGCCAGGAAGCCCCTCCAGTGGCCATCTAAGGAGTGGCCACTTGGAGGTGTCCCTAGGGGCAATGTAAACACTGACTTTTCTCTGAAAATGCAGTGTTTACATGAAAATGCCTAAAGGGAGCTATTATGCTCACCAGAACAACTGCATTAAGCTGCAGTTGTTCTGGTGACTATAGTATCCCTTTAAGATAGGATGAGAGAGCATTATAGGTGGCTGAGGGCTACTTAGTGCTCTTCCCTACCATACAATGCAATAATAAAGTAGCAACATTAAGCATGTACGCTATGGAAATATTGCATTTTTATTTTAATCTATTATGACAAGGCTTCACAGCAGGAAGGCTGGCATACCATTTATTAATATAACTGCTTCCTGTAATGTACATAATCTTTGTGCAGTTAGCATTTACTTAGTCACATTGTTAGTAAGATACTATGCAGGAATTGTTGGCTCTTTGAGAACTCTGTACCCGTAGCTGCTGGTACGGCTATTGTGCGTTACCGTTTGTTTACATAGCTGGCATATTTCTGGCGTTGCATAAAAAGTCAGGAAAGGACATTTGGATTTTGTCTGTATTTAGAATTTTTCCTCTTGTCTGGGAGGTCTCCACTGTTTATTAAAATGCCTGCCAGCTTGTAATCATGAGGAATAAACCTCCAATATTGATGCAAACCAATTGAACGTGGCAAAGCAAGTGTTGCTGCTATTAACCATTCATAGAAACATAGAATGTGACGGCAGATAAGAACCATTCGGCCCATCTAGTCTGCCCAATTTTCTAAATACTTTCATTAGTCCCTGGCCTTATCTTATAGTTAGGATAGCCTTATGTCTATCCCACGCATGCTTAAACTCCTTTACTGTGTTAACCTCTACCACTTCAGCTGGAAGGATATTCCATGCATCCACTATTATTTTTAAACCTTTGTCTCTCTAATTTAAGACTATGTCCTCTTGTTGTGGTAGTTTTTCTTCTTTTAAATATAGTCTCCTCCTTTACTGTGTTGATTCCCTTTATGTATTTTAATGTTTCTATCATATCCCCCCTGTCTCGTCTTTCCTCCAAGCTATACATGTTAAGATCCTTTAACCTTTCCTGGTAAGTTTTATCCCGCAATCCATGAGCCAGTTTAGTAGCCCTTCTCTGAACCCTCTCTAAGGTATCAATATACAGTTCTACTCAAAAATATTTGAAAAACAGGTTTATTGTCAACATTTACAGACTTTTAGTTGTTTGCAATGAACAAATCAAACAAAAGCAATTGAAATAGCTCAAAGCAATGAATGTTTTAAGTGGTTTCCCCAAATTCAACTGAAAATACAACTTATAATGACTTCTCCAGTCTCCAAATGATTCCTCCCCTTTAGTGCAATAACCTTCAGTACTTAGTAGAGCTCCCTTTTGCTGTTATGACCTACTGCATACGAGATGCATAGCCAGACACCACCTTCTGGCAGCGTTCCTGAGGAATATTAGCCCATTGCTCATGAGCAATGGCTTCCAGTTCAGCAATCTTATTGCGTTTATGTGCTACAGCCACCTTCTTCAAATCCCACAAGAGATTTTCTATGGTGTTCAAGTCATGTGATTGTGATGGCCACTGTAGACTTTTCCATAACTTCTTCTGCAACTAAGCCTTGGTAGAATTTGAGGTGCGTTTGGGATCACTGTCTTGTTGATCCACATAATTTATTTATTCTAGTGTTAGACAGAATGTCCATTAAACTAAACATGCGCTATGACTTCCATTATGTAACACTCATGTCTCTTAGAGAGCCTGTTAGTGGAATGGTCCCATGTAAATGGGATCTTTCACCATTCCAGTCCCTATAACAACTGAGGAGGGCCACCTGAGCTTGCATGATTCGTCCTCCCCATTAACATAAATCGCTGGTTTGAGGGCTAGCTTTAGAAGGAGTAAGTACAATAAAGTTTGGTTCAGGGATGTTGAGTTCAGGCCTCCAATTGTTTTTAACTTCAACACCCATAAACTTTTGTTTGTATGGGAAATAATTCTTGAAGTTGAAGTAAAGATACATCCCTGTGCTTTACTGCTTCTGTAGCTGTCAGGTCATATTAGGTTCCAACAGAATCATAAAATGTGTGGGCAATGCTAGTGATGCAATCAAACCAAGATGGCCGACCCCAGAAGATAAGTATTTGGAATGGTTAACGCATCCCCTTACTGAAAAACTGTTTATATTCCTTTAATTACTTCATTCCATCCATCACATTAACCTATCTGTTTTTGATAAATGAATGAAATTGCTTCACTTTTGTTTCACATGTTTTCCCCTATCTTGTGGTTATCAGTATTTGGCTTTTTTTTTCAGATTACACCGTCTTTTGAACTTGCCCTTAAGTACTAATAGTTCGCTATTGCCAAAATGTAATGTGAGCATCATTTCTTGCAAGGGAGGATAAGCTTGTTTTTTTTTTTCTTGGAACTCATAGTAGAACAAGTGTTTCACCACTGTTACCCAATAAATAATTATTTAAACAGTTTTAGACGCAATATGTTACCTTATAATTATTCATTTATTTATAAAGTCCCAGCATATTCTTCAGCACTATAGAATTAAATGCTACAATTTATTTATTTTTTGTACATAATGCATTTAATGCATTAGTTACATTAAATCTCCTGGGATTTGCTGTTTGGGTTTAAAGGACCACTGTAGGCAACCAGACCACTTTAGCTTAATGAAGTGGTCTGGGTGCCAGGTCCAGCTAGGGTTAACCCTTTTTTTATAAACATAACAGTTTCAGAGAAACTGCTATGTTTATAATAGGGTTAATCCAGCCTCTAAAGCTTCTAGTGGCTGTCTCATTGACAGCCGCTAGAGGCGTTTGCGTGCTTCTCACTGGGAAAATCACAGTGAGAAGACGCAAGCGTCCATAGGAAAGCATTCTGAATGCTTTCCTATGAGACTGGGTGAATGCGCGCAGCTCCTGCCGCGCATGCGCATTCAGCCGAAGAGGAGGAGAGGAGGAGGAGAGCTCCCCGCCCAGCGCTGAAGAAAGGGGTAAGTTTAACCCCTTCCTCTCCCCAGAGCCCGGCGGGAGGGGGTCCCTGAGGGTGGGGGCACACTCAGGGCACTATAGTGCCAGGAAAACTAGTATGTTTTCCTGGCACCATAGTGGTCCTTTAACAGTTTTGCTTATTTTGTGATGTAAAAGTAATTTAGTCATTTCTCCGTACAAGAGAGGAAGATAGTGAAAGCCTACTGAGATTTTTGTAAATTCCACAAGTAGGTTTACAGAAGACAGAGTTCATCTCTTAAAAGCATATGCAAAATTTTTTTTTTATATAAATAAATAAAATGGGTAAAACAAATATGTTTCTACCCCGGCTCAAAAAGACTGAGAGGTGGCCCATACTTTTAAAAAGTTAACTACATAAACTACTGAACTCTTGATTACAGCTTCCGTTATTCCGTTATGATCTAATATGCAGATGCATTCAGCTGACTTCTAATTGTAAATTTCCACATTGTTTACAGCTAAATATGCAATTAAAACATCCTCCTTTTGTCACATGTAGTCAATCTGTCAAGCAGATTTCAATCGTCTTGACGTGTTTACTTTTTTATTTCGGATGCTTTTGATGGGATTTTTCCCATAGACTTTATCCTAGGTCTTTCTGTGGACCTTTTGTGAACTTGGCACTATTGTAAAGGAATGTCTTTTGAAGGCATTATAAAATCATTCTAAAAATAATTTATTTTACGAAATGACCAAAAGTGCTTTATTAACTGATGTCTCCATTGTTGATTTTCCCAATGGTCGGAGTAACAATGTTTTGTACATCCAAACATAGCTGCCCTTCACTTCTCACTACCTAGTAGAGTTTACTTAAAGAGACATTTTTATTCTAAAGGGAAATCACTTTCTAATAGCCCACTAATATATATGTATATCTTTTTTTATTTTGTTTAAAGGAACCCTCTGTTTTCCTGTGCTGGCAAAGGCTGACGTATAATATAAATGTCATGATTCCCTGCACATGACCACATTGAAGCGGAGAAGCATGGTGACTCTTAGACACCATTTAAAAAATGGGCCCGTTCCAAGGGGTTATTTGTCTCGTCTTCCCATGTTCCAAGAACACACATACATGCTGGTTGTGTGAATTAAGGCTGTTTGTTGCTAATGTCCCAACTTGAACAAAATCTTTTTAACCCTGTGATTGTTGGGGTTAGAATAAATAAATGAAGCTTAAATAACCCATCACTACTTCTTCTGATCTCTAACCTGCAGCATTTCATCTCTGAGCTCTAATTAACACTGAGCTCTAATTAACACTGCTGTATGTGGCAGCCTGATATTTAACTGAATAATTTATCCAATGCAGCAAGGTTTGTTAGTTGTGGTTTAGCGATCAGCTTTTCACTGAAACCTGGAAATTACCCCGTTGATAAAAAAACAGCTATAGGAGCAGACACATCTGTAGGTGCACCAGGATTTCCTGAGGCACTTTTTGGTTTGGTAAGCACTCACTACAGAGGCTGCTATTTATTTAAGAACTTTGAAGCTACGTCTTTTTTGTTTGTTTGTTTTTAAGATTTTAAAGTTGTATTTGTATGGTTTTTGTTTTATCTATGTATTGTATTTAAAAATGGAGGTGAGGAGGTCAATTTCCACCAGATTAAACCCTTTTACATTATTTCGAGAGATAAGCTACGTTTCCATGATTCATCCCTGGATACAATGATCACTCACAGAACTTGTGTTACTTGAACTTGGTAGCCTTAAAATCACAGCTGCTGAAAGTTTCAAACTCATACTGTACAACCCAGCACATTGTTTGACAAATGTTTCCAAGTGCAATTTACTTAAACTGTTTTTTTTTTTTTTTTAATCTCAAATTAGAATCCAGATAGCCCCAAATTCCCCTTGGCCTTGGTTTCACAATTTGTTAATTTTCTGCCAGAAAAACCACTCCCAGCAAACAGTCCTTAATTTCCTGATTTCCCAGATGCCTTATCGTTTTCACGTATTCAATGCAGATTCCCCTCTTGGCAACAATGAATATCTTACAACTGTTAGAAACAATACTGCTGATACTGTAACCTGCAATCTGCTTACAGGGTTCTACAAGATTTTGATGTACCTACAAACAACTTAATTGGTGCCCATGCATACTGCACTCAAGTAAGTAATGATGGTCTGCTATTATTATCTAATAGATGGGTATACATGACTGCTGGCCAGTATGTAATGTCTTATCTGGGTTACAGCATGTATTACTAATTCCAGGTACCAAGTAGCCATGGATTCTTAATCTGTTACTGTGACAGCCTCATTTTTGTTTGTTAATGCTGTATCAGTGTTTGAGATTTTAGACTTTTTTTCACAAGTCTCTTTAAAATGTGTTTTATTTATTTATTTTGCTGAAACCCTGCCATCTTTCCAATCGTGTATCATTAAAGGTATTTGCACTGCACAAGGGCAGGGCAAGGCCCGGGGTTGGAGTCACGGACGCCTTCTTACCCTACTGAGCTAAACCATTTTTGAAAGTTTGAACCTAAGTATTGTCCTCTTGGGAGCCCGACAGCACTGAATTCTGTCACCTTTCCTGGCCGCCGTAATACAGAAAGGTTTGTCTTGGTAGCCAGCAACAGGCTGAGACTGGCCGCCCATCACGAATAATACTACATATTGCTACTCTCAATGGGTGGCCAATGCAAGCTCACACTTCTAGCCTACCACTAGCCATAAAGGCAAAACCTTCATAATTCTGTGGCAGCTAGTGGAGACAGTGCTGATAGGCGCTGAGGGGACAACATTGAGGCTAAACCGTTCGAAAGGTAAGATGACACTTAGCTCTGCAGCACTGTATTGCCAAAAAAACAAAAGCATATTCAGGAACGTCCAGGGAATTAACAGTTGTTCTTTAATGCACATGTTAATTCAGTTGTTATGGTACATATGCTGGTACAGCCACTACACCAGAGTGGCAGCAATGACTATAGTACACATCAGCCACAATTAATACATTAAAAACCAAATAAAAAAGTTATTTGCACACTATCCCTAATCCCTATGCACATTTACTTTCATTATCCCGCCAATAGCCATTAAAATGTAAACTCACCTGCCACGGCAAGACAAAACCTCTTAGATGAGTGATACTAAAAAAACCTCTACTAATAAGATGATGATGAAAAAACTCCGGTTATTCAAATATACATAGGGATTTGGGATAGTGCGCAGGTAACTTTTTTTCTTTGAAGTTGTTATGGTGTCTGGAGATCCTGAGCATAATCTTACTTTATGGGGTTAAACATTTTTTGAACGGTTTAACGCCAAAGTACTGTTGAGAGCACCGATGTGCTCTTTTTGAAATAAATACTTTTTATTCATTTTAAGACATAATCACAAAAACACAGAAAATGTGAAACAATTTTCCATATAAAGAAAGAATACATCCAATCATTACAGCAATATTGAGATTATTATAGTCCATACCAATACAATTAAATGTCTGACATATCTGAGCATTTGAAAAGACAAGACACACCTATACTAACAGGACAAGAATTACAAAACATTGTGTGCAACGGGGAGAGTGGATCTTCTTACCAAACTATCTAATGCTTTAGACTATTAGTAGGGAGGAGAAAGTTATTAGACAAAATTAGGGAATTTTATTATCCGTTTTGAATTTCTCATATTGACAATGGGTTAAATAATTGCCTTTTTCCATTTGAACCTGATGTCGAATTTGATTAATTACCATATTGACCTATATAGTATCAGGTTGATGCCATTTCCTGGCAATTATAATTTTTAAAACCAAAAAGCTTTGCATGACCATAACTTTATATTTATTCGGTATTATGTCTAAGTTCAAATGAAACAGAGCTCTTTCAATCGTTGGTGGAATAATATTAGTAAGAGTGGATAGGATTCCAAAGATATCCATCCAGACCTTCTCTATGTTTGTACAACTACACCATATATGACTAAAGGTTCCCACAGTTTCATTACATCTACAGCACCAATGTACTCTTCATAGCACTAGTCTGCTCGGCCCTCTGTCTCCTCCTCCATGTCACGTGTTCATCCGCTGATAAAAATGTGGTTAACGGCATTTACTGTCCACACAGGAAAAATTGTGCCGAGCAGCAACCAAATCCACAGAAGGGTTAATGCTGAGCAGTAATTATGCAAATGGGAACATGGTAACTGCCTTTGGGGTCAAAGGCCGGTTACAGCCTATCAGATCTAGAGGTGGGGTATTTAGGCCCAGTTCATATCCTACTCTGTGCCCTGTCGTGGTTTCCCTTGTGGTTGTCCGAGAGCTCGTTATCGATTCTGGTTATTCTGGTATTTTGACTTTGGCATTGATTTTGACTTCCCTGTTTTCTGGTATCCCTGACTCCTGGCTTTTCCTTATCATTGTGTCTCTTTCTGTATCCCTTGACCTTGGCTATTCCTGACTATTCTTTGTCCGGCCATTGTAAGGTCCGGTATACGTTACCTATCAGTCCTTTGTGTTACACAATTCTACGTGCTGGATCATACTGTAATCCTAACACTCCGGACACTGCTCCAATGTGGTAGTCTTTCTTTTCCTTGAGCTTTAGAGATATATAAATATATTTATTTCTTTTTTCATTTATGGCCCACCCTGTAAAAAAATAAAGTAAAGAAAATCCAATTAAGTCATCAGTTATGTTGACTTTTTTCCAATCCAGTGCAAAGAGGACATAAGTTGCATATGCAACAATCACCTCACTCCGCCAGTCAAACCATTTTCACAGAGAAGCATTGAATTCTAATTAACATTGCTGTATGTGGCAGCCTCATATTTAACTGAATCATTTATCCAATGCAGCAAGGTTTGTTAGTTGTGCTTTAGCGATCGGCTTTTCACAGCTATAGGAGCAGACACATTTGTAGGTGCACCAGGATTTCCTGAGCCACTTTTTGGCTACTACATTATCATTCTGTGTGTGACTGCGCTGAATATGAAAAACTTCAATTTTCAAAGGTCTTCGAAGAATAATTGTCTCTAATGGCCAACAGTATGGCAGCCACCAGACAGAATACATGTGCCAAAAACACTTCAATAAAATTTGATTTTAGGGCTAAGAGCTTGCCATTGACATATACAGATTTATACTTCTATGGTGGTTCTTGTCACTATTACACGCACAGATTTTGTTACACAACAGCAAAAGACAGATATGTCAGTGGAAATTTACCTTATCTTGTGATAATAATACTCCTTTTTGAATTCCAAGGTCAATAGGTGACTTATTTTTAACAACATACAAGTATTTTTAAAATATCCCAGCACTTAAAATATCAAATCATTAATGGAAATATTGTAATTTATCCAACATAAATGGACTAAATTGGACCGACTTCCTTGCTTTGTAATGAGGGGGAAGTCAACAACTTTTGGCAACAGTGCAAATTAGTTTGAAAGATATTTAGTAATTACTAAAGTAGGATCTATACCTGTGCACAGTAGTAACGTTGAATGTAGAGCCATAGTTCGCCATTTTCATAAATACTTTGGTTTCATCGCAACCTGCCACTGGTGTCTGTAAGCAAACATGACAACATCTTAAAGAATGGGTGATTAGCAGAAATGCAAATAAAGCTCCTGATAACTGGGGTGCAGTCCTCTCACATCACAGACAGGGAATTATTATGCAATATAAGCCTCTCCGAGGTTGATCTTTTTGCCTACCCATTATAAGTTATGTTTGGTGACTGTTGGACTCTCCTCATTAGATTCAGAAGGCTGGTGGTACTGACCTCTCTTCTCCAACCTGTTACTTTATGGTCCAAATAAAGCGATTGATAGTCCCTAGACTATTATCTGGAGGGACCAGTTAATTTTTACCTCCCATCGATTATCCTATACGTGGGAATGTAAAAAATTGCAAAAATGTGCCATACGTGGGGGAGTTGTAATTGTAATGTTCCCCATTGTTAAAGGTTATCCTAAATACTCCTTCTAATTATTACCAAAGCTTTTTCCCATAGGCATTGGATTGGCTAAAATTGGCATGGGGGCGGGGCCAAATGACATTTTGGCCAATCAGGACCTCCTCATAGATATGCATTGAATGAATGCATCTCTCTGTGGAAAATTCAGCGTCTCCATGCAGAGCGTTTTTTAGGGGCTGTTTTTTAGGCAGCACTGACCCAGGAAGCACCTCCAGTGGCCATCTAAGGAGTGGCCACTTGGAGGTGTCCCTAGAGGCAATGAAAAGTTTCCATTATATCTTAATTGCGCCAAAATCATATTATATTTAATATAATATAAGTTTGTATCTGTCATACATCTTTGTCAATCAGATATCAGTTATTTTGCGTTTCCTACGTGGTTTGGCAGAGTACATACACACACATGTCATTTAAATTACCTTATGACAAATGTGAAATACAAGCAGTCCACACTGGCTGGAGAAGGAAACAAGGGGCTTTGGCAGCGCTGCCTGTGTCCCAGTGCAGAGGAAAATGGACTGGTCTTGCTTGATTGATTTCCTATATTTAAAGTCCAGCAAACGTCTGCAATGAGAAGTTAAACCTTTCACCCCAGTGTTTGGGAGGAAGGCAATCATGGAAAGTGCAGGTGCCTGTATCCTTGCTTTGATTACAGTGACCACAAGCAATGTTTTTGCTTTTGTATTCTTTCCAGGTGCGTCAGAATTCCATTGGTTTAGAGAACTTAAAGGGACACACCTAGCAACATAAAAGCTATAGCATGCTGTCGTATTTATAGTTTCCCTGCAAAATTACCTTTTATGTCCTGTACAGATTCCTTGAATTTTAGCTAGATCTGCAGTGCCCACACTGCATCCCTTTTGCTCCAGATGGCCTCACAGCCTTCACACCCCGTGCAAGTCAGGCTCCGGAATCTGCAGCACCTGTTCTGTGAGCTCTGAGTAATGGAGGGACCACTGAACCATTCACACTCACAGCATCAATCGTGCAAGTGAAGGATGTTGGCTTGAACGGTGTGAATAGAACTGCAGGCTCTCACTCTACAAGGACTTGGATGGCTGAATGGATTAGAAATGCCTCAAATGACATTGGTAGAAATTAGGCATGGGCTTCAGAATTTAATAGAAAATACTAATAATAATAAATAAAACACAGCAGAGGTTTGAATGGTAAGTGCTCAAGGAAGATTTGAAGCTTGCATGTGCCTTTAAGTTATTAAAGTGGTTAATTACCTTAAAGGGACACTGTAGGCACCCAGACTACTTCAGCTTATTGAAGTGGTCTGGGTGCTGTGTCCCGTTTGCACTTAGTGCTGCAATGTTAAACATTGCAGTTCCAGAGAAACTGCTATGTTTACATTGCAGCTCTAAATCTGCTCTTAGTGGCTGTCTACTAGACAGCCACTAGAGTGTTTCCGGAATCCTAACGGACCTTTGGGTTCGGTATCTGATGCTGGACGTCCTCATGCTCTGCATGCAGCATCAGAATTTTTCCCATAGGAAAGCATTGATTCCATTTTTTTTTCTTATGGGGAGGCCTAATGTGTGCGCAGCATTTGCTGCACATGCACATTAGAGCTCACTCGTCGCAGGATGTCAAGTATACTGTTCTGAATGTAATCTTCTTTAAAAAAAAAAAAAGTCAACTTGATGCTTGCATTATATTCATAATATTGTCTTTAAAATGATACATATGCTGAGAGATAATTGCTGAAATATTTTATAAACCGTATGGTAAATTAATTTATATTATACCTAATTGTCACATGACTTGCTTTAGATCGTATAGATAAAGTGCCACTTTCTCATGTTACTGATAGAATATCAATTATTATTCCACACAGTATGGCTACCAGGAGACATCTTATTAAGATGTTACATAATTATTTGCTGTTTAAACGTATAACTTTACACCATCTAGTTTTTATGCAATATGGGGATGACACATTAAAAATCCATAAAAACACTTCTCCATGTGAATGTATTTTTTGGCTGCAGTTATGCATCAACATGGAAGTGGCTGAGATTTCATTCCATTTATTTTTATATCGAAGGATGTATATATCCCATAGAACTGTTTGCAGTAGAGGTCTGTATAGTTCAGGCTTCATTGAAAATGAAATCTGATTAAAATCACTTGGTAAAAGAATGAATTGATTGAAGCCAGTAGAGTACGTAGCATCATTTGTGTTTTTAGAATGAATGAAGCTACATAAGACCACACTCACATTGCTCTTCTACTCTTGTAGAAATCTTCATAATAATTTGTCACATGCCGAGGAAGCACATGCAGTGAGTCTGGCAAATCAGTGCAGCTAAAATGAAAAAGCACAAAGAGATACAGTAACCGCGAGTACCCTTCTACATAGTCTATGCCTGGAATCTACACGGTTCTTGTAGAACATTTTGATACTACCGCATCAGAAAGATTTTTATCTGCTGACCCCAAGTCAACCATTGACCAGAAAGAAATACTGTGTGTTTGTTGCTCGTAGACTTTTTAGTGCATTAGTAATGCTTTTCTGATACTGATAACATGAAAATAATGATTCTGTGTGTAAAACAGCAGATGGCTGAGAACATGAAAGAAAGATTTAGTGATTTTATTAGATGCTATGGAATTTGGTGCTTTATAAATAGTAACAATACTGGCACATTATAATGTCATAGAAAAAGAGGACAAACCTACTACTGCAACCCACTCTAGCGTTAATGATAACAGGATCACCCTGTTGAAGTTTGCCTCTTCTCTGGATCCCACCAGGTACCAAGCTTCCTCCAGCTCTGACTGACCACCATCTGGCTTCTAAAGTCAGCTGAGCACTCTCAGGCAATGAATGAAACTCTGTGCAAGAAATATGCCCAGAATTGGCATTCCAGGCTGGCTAACGAAGCAGTCTGGCAGCTAGCCTAAACATCTCTGTATGACCAGGACTTAATATCTCCAGCTAGCCTAAACCTCTCTGTATGAGCAGGACTAAATATCTCTAGCAAGCCTAAACATCTCTGTATGAGCAGGGCTAAATATCTCCAGCTAGCCTAAACCTCTCTGTATGAGCAGGTCTTAATATCTCCAGCTAGCCTAAACATCTCTGTATGAGCAGGACTTAATATCTCCAGCTAGCCTTAACATCTCTGTATGACCAGGACTTAATATCTCCAGCTAGCCTAAACCTCTCTGTATGAGCAGGACTAAATATCTCTAGCAAGCCTAAACATCTCTGTATGAGCAGGGCTAAATATCTCTAGCTAGCCTAAACCTCTCTGTATGAGCAGGTCTTAATATCTCCAGCTAGCCTAAACCTCTCTGTATGAGCAGGTCTTAATATCTCCAGCTAGCCTAAGCATCTCTGTATGAGCAGGACTTAATATCTCCAGCTAGCCAAACATCTCTGTATGAGCAGGTCTAAATATCTCCAACTAGCCTAAACATCTCTGTATGAGCAGGTCTAAATGTCTCTAGCTAGCCTAAACCTCTCTGTATGAGCAGAACTTAATATCTCCAGCTAGCCTAAACATCTCTGCATGAGCAGGACTTAATATCTCCAGCTAGCCTAAACATCTCTGTATGAGCAGGACTTAATATCTCTAGCTAGCCTAAATATCTCCGTATGAGCAGGTCTAAATATATATAGCTAGCCTAAAGATCTCTGTATGTGCAGGACTAAATATCTCTAGCTAGCCCAAACCTCTCTGCATGATCAGGTCTAAATATCTCCAGCTAGCCTAAACATTTGTATGAGCAGGACTTAATATCTCCAGCTAGCCTAAACATCTCTGTATGAGCAGGACTTAATATCTCCAACTAGCCTAAACATCTCTGTATGAGCAGGACTTAATATCTCCAGCTAGCCTAAACATCTCTGTATGAGCAGGTCTAAATATCTCCAGCTAGCCTAAACATCTCTGTATGAGCAGGACTTAATATCTCCAACTAGCCTAAACATCTCTGTATGAGCAGGTCTAAATATCTCCAGCTAGCCTAAACATCTCTGTATGAGCAGGACTTAATATCTCTAGCTAGCCTAAACCTCTCTGTATGAGCAGGACTTAATATCTCTAGCTAGCCTAAACCTCTCTGTATGAGCAGGACTAAATATTTCTAGCTAGCCTAAACCTCTCTGTATGAGCAGGACTTAATATATCCAGCTAGCCTAAACATCTCTGTATGTGCAGGACTTAATATCTCCAGCTAGCCTAAACATCTCTGTATGTGCAGTACTAAATATCTCTAGCTAGCCTAAACATCTCTGCATGAGCAGGTCTAAATATCTCCAGCTAGCGTAAAAATCTCTGTGTGAGCAGGCTTCTAAAGTCAGCTGAGCACTCTCAGGCAATGAATGAAACTCTGTGCAAGAAATATGCCCAGAATTGGCATTCCAGTCTGGCCAACGAAGTAGTCTGGCAGCTAGCCTAAACATCTCTGTATGACCAGGACTAAATATCTCCAGCTAGCCTAAACCTCTCTGTATGAGCAGGACTAAATATCTCTAGCAAGCCTAAACATCTCTGGATGAGCAGGGCTAAATATCTCTAGCTAGCCTAAACCTCTCTCTATGAGCAGGTCTTAATATCTCCAGCTAGCCTAAACCTCTCTGTATGAGCAGGTCTTAATATCTCCAGCTAGCCTAAACATCTCTGTATGAGCAGGACTTAATATCTCCAGCTAGCCTAAACATCTCTGTATGAGCAGGACGTAATATCTCCAGCTAGCCAAACATCTCTGTATGAGCAGGTCTAAATATCTCCAGCTAGCCTAAACATCTCTGTATGAGCAGGACTTAATATATCCAGCTAGCCTAAACATCTCTGTATGTGCAGGACTTAATATCTCCAGCTAGCCTAAACATCTCTGTATGAGCAGGACTTAATATTTCCAACTAGCCTAAACATCTCTGTATGAGCAGGTCTAAATATCTCTAGCTAGCCTAAACCTCTCTGTATGAGCAGGACTTAATATCTCCAGCTAGCCTAAACATCTCTGCATGAGCAGGACTTAATATCTCCAGCTAGCCTAAACATCTATGTATGAGCAGGATTAAATATCTCTAGCTAGCCTAAATATCTCCGTATGAGCAGTTCTAAATATATATAGCTAGCCTAAACATCTCTGTATATGCAGGACTAAATATCTCTAGCTAGCCCAAACCTCTCTGCATGAGCAGGTCTAAATATCTCCAGCTAGCCTAAACATCTGTATGAGCAGGACTTAATATCTCCAGCTTGCCTAAACATCTCTGTATGAGCAGGACTTAATATCCCCAGCTAGCCTAAACATCTCTGTATGAGCAGGACTTAATATATCCAGCTAGCCTAAACATCTCTGTATGTGCAGGACTTAATATCTCCAGCTAGCCTAAACATCTCTGTATGAGCAGGACTTAATATTTCCAACTAGCCTAAACATCTCTGTATGAGCAGGTCTAAATATCTCTAGCTAGCCTAAACCTCTCTGTATGAGCAGGACTTAATATCTCCAGCTAGCCTAAACATCTCTGCAGGAGCAGGACTTAATATCTCCAGCTAGCCTAAACATCTATGTATGAGCAGGATTAAATATCTCTAGCTAGCCTAAATATCTCCGTATGAGCAGTTCTAAATATATATAGCTAGCCTAAACATCTCTGTATATGCAGGACTAAATATCTCTAGCTAGCCCAAACCTCTCTGCATGAGCAGGTCTAAATATCTCCAGCTAGCCTAAACATCTGTATGAGCAGGACTTAATATCTCCAGCTTGCCTAAACATCTCTGTATGAGCAGGACTTAATATCCCCAGCTAGCCTAAACATCTCTGTATGAGCAGGACTTAATATCTCCAGCTAGCCTAAACATCTCTGTATGAGCAGGTCTAAATATCTCTAGCTAGCCTAAATATCTATGTATGTATGTGCAGTACTAAATATCTCTAGCTAGCCTAAACATCTCTGCATGAGCAGGTCTAAATATCTCCAGCTAGCGTAAAAATCTCTGTGTGAGCAGGCTTCTAAAGTCAGCTGAGCACTCTCAGGCAATGAATGAAACTCTGTGCAAGAAATATGCCCAGAATTGGCATTCCAGGCTGGCTAACGAAGTAGTCTGGCAGCTAGCCTAAACATCTCTGTATGACCAGGACTAAATATCTCCAGCTAGCCTAAACCTCTCTGTATGTGCAGGACTAAATATCTCTATCAAGCCTAAACATCTCTGTATGAGCAGTGCTAAATATCTCTAGTTAGCCTAAACCTCTCTGTATGAGCAGGACTAAATATCTCTAGCTAGCCTAAACCTCTCTATATGAGCAGGACTTAATATCTCCAGCTAGCCTAAACCTCTCTATATGAGCAGGACTTAATATCTCCAGCTAGCCTAAACCTCTCTGTATGAGCAGGACTTAATATCTCTATCTAGCCTAACTATCTCTAGCTAGCCAAACATCTCTGTATGTGCCCGGCCCTCTTTATCCAGTGCTCCCGTATGTCAAAGTGTTTTAAATTATTTATTTATTATTTTATTTATTTATAAAATATTTTACCAGGAAGGATACATTGAGATTTCTCTCGTTGCCCTGGGTCCACACAACATTGTTTGTCTTGTTTTACCCATTTTACAGAGCTGCGGAATATCTTGGCGCTATATAAATAATTGTACTTGTTTCATTCTTAAAACACTGCACATACAGGCTCCTTGAACCATGCTGGCTGGAATAACCCGTTACAATTGAAGAGTGTGTACAAATAGTTTATATTATATATTGTATCCTAATATTTAACTTTGGCAAAGAATTGTTTGTTTTAAATAGCATTTAAAACAAACATACCAAAGAACATAAATAATGTAGAACTCTGGATTAACAGATTGAGTTCTACATTATTTATAGACATTATTTATGTGTATGGCCAAGAAATTGAAGGACAATATATATAATTAGTTTTTTTCAAATATACTTTTCATTGAATATGAGTAACACGTACTAAAACATACACTACTGTATACATACACATAGTCATGAAAAGCGATTCTCACAGGAGTTACAAATAAAGGACAGCAAACATGCATCACAGTGAATCAAAAACTATTTTTTTAATATAATAATTATTTCATCACGTTTTGAAAGGTAATAGATTTTTTTTTTTTTTTAAATTAAGTATATGTAAAAAGAAAAATAAGAAAAAGTTACCCCTACCTTCAGTATATGACATCTACATAGACTTTGGTTCAGACAGTGTTTGATAACAGTTAGTATCTATGGTCTTCCTGGCTTCACTCCCTGCACCTAGTGTTTGATAACCGACAGTTAGTCTCTATGGTCTTCCTGGCTTCACTCCCTGCACCTAGTGTTTGATAACCGACAGTTAGTCTCTATGGTCTTCCTGGCTTCACTCCCTGCACCTAGTGTTTGATAACCGACAGTTAGTCTCTATGGTCTTCCTGGCTTCACTCCCTGCACCTAGTGTTTGATAACCGACAGTTAGTCTCTATGGTCTCCCCTGCTTCACTCCCTGCACCTAGTGTTTGAAAACCGACAGTTCGTCTCTATGGTCTCCCCGCTTCACTCCCTGCCCCTAGTGTTTGAAAAACGACAGTCTCCCCTGCTTCACTCCCTGCCCCTAGTGTTTGATAACCGACAGTTAGTCTCTATGGTCTCCCCGCTTCACTCCCTGCCCCTAGTGTTTGAAAAACGACAGTCTCCCCTGCTTCACTCCCTGCACCTAGTGTTTGAAAACCGAAAGTTAGTCTCTATGGTCTTCCTGGCTTCCTCCCTACCCTAGTGTTTTGATAACCGACAGTTAGTCTCTATGGTCTTCCAGCTTCACTCCCTGCACCTAGTGTTTGATAACCGACAGTTAGTCTCTATGGTCTTCCTGGCTTCACACCCTGCACCTAGTGTTTTGATAACCGACAGTTAGTCTCTATGGTCTTCCTGGCGTCACTCCCTGCATCTAGTGTTTGATAACCGACAGTTAGTCTCTATGGTCTTCCCGGCTTCACTCCCTGCACCTAGTGTTTGATAACTGACAGTTAGTCTCCCTGCACCTAGTGTTTGATAACCGACAGTTAGTCTTTATGGTCTTCCTGGCTTCACTCTCTGCACACAACCAAGGAACACTTGTCCCAAGGTGCGTGTATGTGTCTGTTATATACTAAAGGCAGGGATGAGTTTTTCTATTGTTTTTAAATTTACTTCCTTTAAAAAATGTTTCCTTTTACAACTTAATGAGAGGATTATTGCATTAAAAATATTTTTGAGGTGACCATTGCCCGTTAATATTGGATGCAGATATGCTAAATAGTTGACCAGCAACTCACACAAGATGCCTAGACAGCCTGAACATTAAGACAAGCTACACAGGGACATTTTAAGCAAAATTCTGATTGTTGTCCTAATTACAGTAGATGTAGTGATTTGCCAAACATGCAACTGTTAATAGACAGACTTGTTTGACACATTGGCTTGTATCGGCAATCAAAATTGATGTGTAGCATTGGTAAAACGCGCTCCTTGAATTTCCTTTTTCAAAAGCATAAGCCACATGTGATTGTTACTCATATCAAAGACATTGCTGAGTGAATGTGTGGATGTACAATGTCCAAAGTATTACAGAGATCTAGGGAGATTATAAGCAGGGCCGGCCTTAGGGGTGTGCGAGCTGTGCGGCCGCACAGGGCGCCATGGCAGCAGGGGGCGCCCTATGGCTGACACAGCTTGCACACCCCCTGCCCTCTACCAGGGCTTAGCAGCGAAAGAGACTGTAGGAGGCGGAGCCAAGCAGCAGATGGGGGCGGAGCCAAGTGGTCGGCGGGGGCGGAGCTAACCGAGGCCTGAATCTGCTGCCTGGTAAGTGAGACCATAGTGCCCCTGCTCCCCCTATAGTACCCCTGTTCCCCATCTATCCCTATAGTTCCCCCCTCTTCCCCTATAGTGCACACTCTGCCCCTATAGTAACCCTGTTCCCCATCTATCCCTATAGTGCCCCCCTCTTCCCCTATAGTAATCCTGTTCCCCATCTATCTCTATAGTGCCCCCCTCTACCCCTATAGTAACCCTGTTCCCAATGTATCCCTTTAGTGCCCCCCTCTTCCCCTATAGTACCCCTGTTCCCCATATATACCTATAGTGCCCCCTCTACCCCTATAGTGCCCCCATCTACACCTATAGTGCCCCTGCTCCCCTTATAGTACCCCTGTTCCCCATCTATCCCTATAATGCCTGCCTCTACCCCTATAGTGCCCCTATTCCCCTTATAGTACCCCTGTTCCCCATCTATCCCTATAGTGCCCCCATCTACACCTATAGTGCCCCTGCTCCCCTTATAGTACCCCTGTTCCCATCTATCCCTACAGTGCCCCTGCTCCCACTATAGTACCCCTGTTCCCCATCTATCCCTATAGTGCCCCCGTCTACACCTATAGTACCCCTGTTCCCATCTATCCCTACAGTGCCCCTGCTCCCACTATAGTACCCCTGTTCCCCCTCTACCCCTATAGTGCCCCTGCTCCCCCTATAGTACACCTGTTCCCCATCTATCCCTATAGTGCCCCCCTCTACCCCTATAGTGCCCCCTCTACTCCTATAGTGCCCCCTCTCCTCCTATAGTACCCATGTTCCCCATCTATCTCTATAGTTCCCCCTATCTACCTCTATAGTGCCCCTGCTCCTCGATCTACCCCTATAGCACCCCTGCTCCCCATCTACCCCTATAGTGCTTCCCCATTTACCCCTATAGTGTACCTGATCCCTCCATCTACCCCTATAGTGCCCATGCTCCTTATCTATCCCTATTGTGCCCATGCTCCCCCTATATTGCCATTGTTCCCTGTCTACCCTAGTGACACTGCTCCCCTTATCTACTGCTATAGTGCATTGCTCCCACATCTACCCCAGTGCCCCTGCTCCCCCTATCTACTGCTATAGTGAACAAAAATCACACATGGTCAATACACACACATATCAGACACAGTCAATACACCCATTACAAATATGGCACACAGAGAACACATCACACAATCACGTCTGACACACACATGATAAATGTAGCTGTCTTCCGAGTTCCGGCCAATCAGAACGTTGCCGCGGATTACCACAGGAAAGCTCTGATACTGTAAGTGCCTGAGCTCAGGAGACAGTTGCTGATGGTCTGCACCCAGTGAAGGCACCGACCATATTCCCAGCAAACTGTATCACCAGAGATCAGCATGCCCTCCCTCCATGCAAGGTAATGACAGGGAAGAGGTGATAAATATTTGTTAATTGTTAAATTTTCATTTAATAAATCCCCTATACACATGGATGGCGCGGGGGGGGGAGGGGGAGGGGGCTGTTAAGATTTTTCGCACAGGGCGCCTGAAGGCCTAAGGCCGGCCCTGATTATAAGTACATGAAAGTAATGATTTGCTGTGTACAAAACTATTCAATTTGTTAAACTAATGATCAATTCCCAGAGTAGACCAGCAAATAAAATAGAAACCAGATATATTTAAACTGCAATTGATCATGCTGGATCCACCAGATTTCTTTTATCTTCGATTGCAATATCCGTCCTGCGAGTTAGAGATTTGTGGGTTTGATGTAAACAGATTGGTTCTCATTACAAGTTGTATTTTTAATTAACTGCTTTTATTACACATTTACTGTTACTTGCACATACTCTATTCCGAAAATCTCTTGAAGATCTGATTGCGTTTGAACTGTATAATACACCAGATATTCTTCTTTAATCTACCTGTAAAAATCAATATGATTTTTATATCTTATGGTTATTTATTGCAGGAACTTGTAAACCTTATTCTCGGAGGTCGAGCGGTGTCCAATGTGTTCAATGATGTGATGGAACTCGATTCTGGCAATGGAAATGTAACACTCTTAAAAGGAGTTGCTCATCGTAGTGAGATTGGCTTCCTCTCTCTCTTCGAACACTATAATGTCTGCCAGGTAGGTTTTGTTTCACAATGTATAATTATATTATAATGGAAGATATTTTTGCACTATTAGACAGTTTTCTCTTTTGCACTGATGCTTTTAAAATCTATTTAGCAGTTTTTAAATAATTTAACAATGCATTACTAACCTGAACCTCCTTATGTCTCTTAAGACACACAGCCATCATACGGAGGGTCAAACCACACTTCCCCCTTCCCTGTACAGAGGAATGGAGGGAGTTGAGCAGATAGAATCTTGTTCTGATTATCTGCCAGGGTCTCAGACTCTCATTTGTTATTATTCAGCCAATAATTGATTGATCTGTTGGAAGATTTATCAAAATGTCATGGAAGTCACCATGGAAACCTGCAGCATAAGTGATGCATTGGCATTTGCTTCACTTTTACTAATTTGCTCTAATGTTAGATTACAGCGTTCTCATAAATGTGTGTTTGAAAAATAATGATGCAGATCATAAAAGTCTTTACCCACCATACTAAACCAACAATCCTACAATAACATGACATATATCAGTGATGGGTAAATGCACCTGATATTGTAGTAATACTGCTGTTCTTTTTATTGTGACAGGTCTGATAAAGTTGAATTGTATTATTAGCCAATAATAAGGGAGGGACTCCTATCATTTAAGATAAAATTCCTTACGAAATGTGAAATTTGTTTTGTTTTCCAATATTTGAGACAAGCACTGTTCCAAAAAAACAAGCTGTTCAACAAAGATATTCTACTTTTTTCATCTTTACAACAATTACAGCATTTTAAAAATAATAATAGGATAACGGGCAGTTTAAATGAAAGATATATTAGAGCAATTGAATCCACTTTTAGGAAATCTGTATCCTTATTTTGTTTTATCCGGACCGAACTACTCAACCGTGTAAAATTACTGTGTTAGACAAACAATCTGCTCTTGGGAAAAAAAAATAAACCTTTGCTCAATTGGCTACGTAAAGTTGCTATAAAGGGGCAGTCAGTTCTTGAATTCGAATGGAACTATTATATTATTAAGTATTTTTAAGTGGAATTTTCAAGGTATGCTCTGCACGTGCCCAATCCTTAAACTTAAACTCGTTTTTTTACAAATATTCGAAAACCGTGTAACTGCTCAAGAGAGCAGCAATCCATTTGAGACATAAAAGAATGGGCAATATTCCAGTTTTCATTTATTTGTGTCGATTGCTGAGCTCTGCACATGGGCAGTATAGGTGGGATAACCTGCACCCGTTCAGGCATGCTTGTCTACTTAATTGACCAATAAAACTCTCCGCATCACAGTCCTATTCCCATCCCGTCCTGATTTTGTACCTTTCAGTGTTGGGAGGTATCAGGCTGTGGCTGCAGTTGCTTTCTAAACATTTTAAGATTGATAGACCTTTACAAAAGAGGGCATTTGCAGCCTCGATATTTATATTTATGAGAGGTCAGTCTAGTAGTGAATCAGGTTATCAGACCTGTCCGGTCACATGATGTTCTTATGTAAAACATGATCTGCACACAGTCCCACCACCCAGCAGACTGGCTCCACTTGCCATAAAATTCAAGGCATATAAGTCCATACGTGAGCGATCAGTGTACCCTGACACACATGCGTGCTGGGGGGACGCGTCTCTCTGTCTATGACACTAATAGCATCATGGGAATGTTTGTCACAGACCTCTCCCTTTCCTGATTTCAGACTGAAAAAATTATCAAGTCTGAGTTGAAATGTAAAAAAAAATTTGTCCAGTAAAATTTTGGCACCGTAGCAGAGTAACGCTGTACCTTAACCTGAGAAACAATTATATCTGAAGTTTTTTCTCTTATTTTCTAACTAGATAGCTGTAAAAATTAAAATAATAAATACTTAAAATGACAGAACTGTTTTATTTAAATGTTTATACATTATTTCAGTTCATCAGTTGGCTGATGATATACTTATTTGTATATTTGCCTAATAATCGATTATATTTGAAATAAACATTTCCATAGGAGTGGGGTAATCTTTCTTTCAGGACACTAACGGCAGATTCATTTTTAGAAAGGAAACCCTACAAGCAAACAATAGCCATCTCTGAAAACATAATTGAACACGTCCTTTCATTTTCCTTGTGCGTGGAAATATAGGTCTTTTTAGTTAAAGTGGTCTGGTAGAAAATGAATGACGCGGCCATGAAAATAAATAAACTACCAAACGATGAGTAATATAATTATATAACATCCTCGTGTAATCAGTGCTAATTCTCTTACTGACATGTGATGGATATGCTGAAATATCCCCTGCTTCTAGTGATGGTAGCACATGTCAGCTTAATTTAGAGCACTTATCTAAAAAAGCTTGCATGTAACCCATGATATAACATATCGACACCACATAGTAGCAGAACATTGACTTTCTCATGTGATACATTCACAGATCCCCTATCATTTGTGCTCGTCTGTATTATTTACACCTTGATCAGCTGTTTTAGAAACTTTAAAATCAACTTAAAGGAACACTCCATGTCCCATAACCACTTCAGCCTGCTGTAGTGATTATGCTCGTAGGGGAAGTAGTCAAACTGTTTGACAACTTACCTGGGTTCCAGATTTAAATATGAGAAATCCATGGAGTCAGATGTCACATGGTCTTTGAGCACTTCCAAGGTTTGTCCTTCCAAGCCTTTGCCATGACCTATAGCACACCAGCAGCTTTACCACGGGTGGAATGGCAGTTTGGAATGAGCACTGAACTCATCTTTAGTGTCATCCTTAGTATGATTGATGGTTTCTGAATGTCAATCCTGGCTTTCCATCTTCAACACCTGTAGAAGTACCCTTCTCAAAAAATAAATAACATGTCTGCATTTATGGAGACTATCCTGTAAACACACTGGCCTCAAATTTTACAGTAGCTTAGAAAAAATCAGTTTTTCCTGGAGATGCACTACCTTTGCTTACACTTTGCTATTGGTGAATGGGGGAACTGCATGCCTTTTGTGAGTATTCTCCACTTCTGCTTCTATAAGAGAAATGTACACTTAACAAATTACAGCCTCAATTTAATAGTTATGGATACATTTATAAAATAATTTAATATTTATTGACACATTTATGAATGATGTAATATTTTTTAGAAATGTTTTAACATTTTGATATTTTTTTTTATATATATGAATATATTTTTTGACATTTTAATAGTTTGAGAAGTAATCATTTTATCCAAAAATATTAAATTGAGGCCTTCATGAGCTACGAAAAATCCACATATATATTTTTGTCGTTTTACAAACACAAAAATTAGTTCTCTATTTTTCTTTGTGAAATCAAAGGTTTTTGAGATGTTCTGCCTGATTGGGATATACCACCACATGCATGACTTTACGCCAGCATTGCATGTCCAGGTTTATTTGCATCGTATGACAACATTTTAAGGAAATGCGATAAAGCTTTGCCAGAGAGGAAGAAGGTGTTTGGTTTGATTACACAGAGAACAATCAATGTGCACTGATACCATTTTAATGTATGGCTTCTGCTAAGATAACACATGCAGGAAGATATATCATTTTCACTGCCAATAAAGCGTGATCCTATTCATCCGGTTCGTTCATGAAGTGGCACTTCAATACTCGCACAAACCCATAAACATAAATGAATTTCCTTAATGTTTACCTTCGAAATGGTACAAGTATCTATGAACACACTTTTATATTCCATTCCGCTAAATATCTCTAAAAATAAGATTATTTTTTTATATATATTTTTTGAATTGTTAGAAAAGTTAATAAATTTTCTTGATTTCAGAATTGACTATATCATCATACACAGCCTTGTTATAATAGAAGGGCTTCCAAAAATAGTTAGTATTGTCGATGTAAAATGACTTATTTTACATGCAAATAGGTTGACTTAAGAAACAGTATAAAACAGACGAAAAAATTGCAGTTTATCAGATGCAACCAGGGTTGGATGTATGAGTAAATATTGTTATCTTGAGAGTTTAGAAACTCAAAGTAGAATATATTGAGACAGAGGTAGGAGTAAAATAAGGAAATCAAGGGAGACAACAAAATACAGCAGGTAAATGTATAGTGTGTGACTGGGTTTGTGTATAAAAAGGGTAATGTGAGTATATGTGACTGTGTGTAATATGTGTGACTGGGTTGTTATATGTGTGACTGGGTTGGTGTATGAATAGGGTAATGTGAGTATATGTGACTGTGTGTAATATGTGTGACTGGGTTGGTGTATGAATAGGGTAATGTGAGTATATGTGACTGTGTGTGTAATATGACTGTGACTGGGTTGGTGTATGAATAGGGTAATGTGAGTATATGTGACTGTGTGTGTAATATGTGGGTATGGGTTTTTGTATAATTAGGGTAATGTGAGTATATGTAACTGTGTGTAACATGTGGGTATGGGTTTGTGTATGAATAGGGTAATGTGAGTATATGTGACTGTGTGTAATATGTGGGTATGGGTTTGTGTACGAATAGGGCAATGTGAGTATATGTGACTGTATGTAATATGTGTGACTGGGTTTGTGTTCAAATAGGGTAATGCGAGTATATGTGACTGTGTGTGTAATATGTGTGACTGGGTTTGTGTATGAATAGGGTAATGTGAGTATATGTGACTGTGTGTGTAATATGTGTGACTGTGTTTGTGTATGAATAGGGTAATGTGAGTATATGTAATTGTGTGTGTAATATGTGGGTATGGGTTTGTGTATAAATAGGGTAATGCGAGTATATGTGACTGTGTGTGTAATATGTGGGTATGGGTTTGTGTATAAATAGGGTAATGCGAGTATATGTGAATGTGTGTGTAATATGTGGGTATGGGTTTGTGTATGAATAGGGTAATGTGAGTATATGTGACTGTGTGTGTAATATGTGGGTATGGGTTTGTGTATGAATAGGGTAATGCGAGTATATGTGAATGTGTGTGTAATATGTGGGTATGGGTTTGTGTATAAATAGGGTAATGCGAGTATATGTGAATGTGTGTGTAATATGTGGGTATGGGTTTGTGTATAAATAGGGTAATGCGAGTATATGTGACTGTGTGTGTAATATGTGTGACTGGATTTGTGTATGAATAGGGTAATGTGAGTACATGTGACTGTGTGTGTAATATGTGGGTATGGGTTTGTGTATAAATAGGGTAATGCGAGTATATGTGACTGTGTGTGTAATATGTGTGACTGGATTTGTGTATGAATAGGGTAATGTGAGTACATGTGACTGTGTGTGTAATATGTGTGACTGGGTTTGTGTATGAATAGGGTAATGTGAGTATATGTGACTGTGTGTGTAATATGTGGGTATGGGTTGGTGTATGAATTGGGTAATGCGAGTATATGTGACTGTATGTGTAATATGTGGGTATGGGTTGGTGTATGAATAGGGTAATGCGAGTATATGTGACTGTGTGTGTAATATGTGGGTAAGGGTTTGTGTATAAATAGGGTAATGTGAGTATATGTGACTGTGTGTGTAATATGTGTGACTGGGTTTGTGTATGAATAGGGTAATGTGAGTATATGTGACTGTGTGTGTAATATGTGGGTATGGGTTTGTGTAAGAATAGGGTAATGCGAGTATATGTGACTGTGTGTGTAATATGTGGGTAAGGGTTTGTGTATGAATAAGGTAATGTGAGTATATGTGACTGTGTGTGTAATATGTGTGACTGGGTTTGTGTATGAATAGGGTAATGTGAGTATATGTGACTGTGTGTGTAATATGTGTGACTGGGTTTGTGTATGAATAGGGTAATGTGAGTATATGTAACTGTGTGTGTAATATGTGGGTATGTGTTGGTGTATGAATAGGGTAATGTGAGTATATGTAACTGTGTGTGTAATATGTAGGTATGGGTTTTTATATCTGGGAATGGGTCAATATATGCGGATGTGCCAGACTGGGAACTGGCAATCTGGAAAACAATGGAACTTAAACAGAAAAAAAATCCAAGTAAACGAATGGCATATAAACCTTTTTTTATACACAGCCAGACTTGCTTTTTGCTAAATTAAACTTTTTTCTTTTTTTTTATAGGCCACCCCTGAGTGTAATACCTGGTCCTGTTTCAAATAATAAAAAAGTAATTATTTTTAATTTAAGCAATATTCTGAACTAATCTTCATACGCCAGACTGTTGTTATATTTGCTGCTGGTGGCTTTGTGTTGGAACACAGCATAAATACTTTGCAAATTTCAGTCTGGTGAGGTTGTGAGCTCTCTTCCTTTCAGTTGGCAGTCCTCAGAATGCTACCAATTAAAGTTGAAAGATAAGGAAAATATCAGTGCCCATATTAAAACAATGCTTCATGGTATATAATATATTATATATATATATGTAAGGTATTTAATTGATGGAAACATACCGTCTTTATATATTTTAATGGAATAATGATTAAAAACATACACTATAGTGCCTGTGTCGCTGTTTATGCCTACCTCCACCCCCCTTAGTTCACTCTGAAATGGTGATTTTATTCAACTTTACTCACACGCTGCCCCTATTCACCTAGTCACCCATAGCCCGGCCCGCTACTGGAAGTGTGGCTGAGTTACAGATCACATAATTCATTTTAGCCATACCAATTTATACCAGCAATGGGCGCTGTAATAGGATGAAAGCAGTCAGCTGACACTCTCAGCCAATCACAACCGCCCATTGCTGCTCAGACTGTTGATTACTCATTAGCCCAACAGCACAGAGAGGATGGGCTGCTGGGGACTTTCGTTTAGCATTCATTTATTAAAAGCAGTTGAACACTAATGGGAAAGATAGCGCAAGGGGACTCCAGGCACATTAACCACTTCAATGACGTGAAGCAGTTAGAGTGTCTACAGTGTCCCTTTAGCCTTATTCAATAAAAGAGAAAATGGGCAAACCTGGTTTTAATTTTTTTTCCCCTCTGTTTTGCTGTTCCTGCAAAATTGCAATGTTTTCATTTGCTGGGTTAAAATGGCAGGGTCATAGCACGCAGGCCACTTAATTGAGATGAAGAACGCTAGACTACGACTGATAATTACGAAATATAGTTTAGCTTTTGTAATTTATTAGAGCGGTGTAGGTTCTGGTTCTTTTTTAGTGAAGCTTGGATTGGCAAGGAGGTGTTGGCAGTTTAATACTTTTGGGAATAGAGCTTTACTTGGGCCAACTTAGGTGGAGGGGAATTAGGGGTATGGTTTTTGGACCAAATGGGTTTAGCATCCCCTGACTCTATAACTGTTAGGTCCAGAGTTAGCCCAATACTTTCAGTCCATACAGTCCATTTAATTGTAATATTGAGAGTTATTGTAGAGTACAGTAAATCTAGTAATTGTGCTTGTTTTATTATAATTATTTTTCCTGCCAAAATATTATTTTGCAGAATTAATAAAGTACACATTAAGATGATTTCACATCAGGCATTTTTCCTTAAATATATTTTCATTTGGTCTTAAAAGATCAGAGTTCAGATGAAATTAATTTCCTGAAAAATGTTCTCTGTTATTAAATTTTATTTAGTGATGACATTGAAGTACCTGACTATTAAAGGGGCAGTCTCTTCACTATAAACCATTGTAGTGTTAATGGTACTATAGGTCTATGAATGCTGTCATTTATACTAAACCTTTTTGAATCCGTTTAACAAAAAATGGTCTCTCTCCAGCGTTCTTTTATGTGACCCTGTTGAACTCACAGACTTCGTATCTGATGTTACTGCCTCTACTACTCTATTTATTTTGGGGTGCCTGCTATACATATGGTCTCTGAACAATGTAAGTGATCTGCAGCTAAGCGAATCTGTGTCCACGCTCTGCTCCTAAGCGGCCGATCTGATTCAGCCTGCTGCTCAGCTACTCACTATCTAAACTTCGTATGTATGGACTAAGCCTGTGGTAAGAACATTATCTGCTACCTATTGGGTTCCTCCACTGCGTGGGACGCTAAAATGCACTAATATACACTGCACTTTACTGGATTCTGGGCTAATTAACTGTATTCAATCTTAGCCAATGCCATCCTGCCTGCTTTACAGCCCTTTTGAGTTTGTTTACGTGTCTACCAAGGAGCACCTGTAACAAAGTGCTATATTGATACGGCTGATTTATATGTGAATATCATGGGTCCTTTTTATTATAGTGTTTTTTGTTTTTAAGATTTATTGTTCTTTTATTTTTCTTATTTACCCTCCCCCTTTCCTTTCTTTTACCTGGAGAAACAGAGGATATTTGTGGATATTTTCATTAAAGGAACACTGTAGGCACCCAGACCACTTCAGCCCATTGAAGTGGTCTGGGTACCAACTCACATCACCCTTAACCCTGAGCATGTAATGATGCAGTTTTTTTATACACTGCAATAATTACCTTGCAGGGTTAAATCCTCCTCTAGTGGCTATCTACCAGACAGCCACTAGAGACAGCCACTAGAGGGACTTCCGTGTTCTTAGACAACTTCTGTTTGTCTAAACGACGCTGGACGTCCTCACGCTATGCATGAGGACCTCCAGCATCGCCGAAATCTCCATAGGAAAGCATTGAATAATGCTTTCCTATAAGGAAATCCTAATGTGAGCGCGGCCGTTGCCACACATGCGCATTAGGTCTCCCCTGTCGGCCGACGGCAGGTAAAGAGCGTGGGCAGAGCTGAGCCAGTACTGGGGGGGGGAGGGGGAGGGGGGGGTTATTAACCCCTTCAGCGCAGTGGGAGGGGGCCTTGACAGGCTGTGCTCTAAGACCAGTTTACAGAGGTAGAAGAGTGGATCACAAAAAACAAACTCTTCCTAAACACTGACAAAACTGTCACAATGATCTTTGGAACAGTACCTAAATTACACAAATTACACAATTCCCACCTATCCATCAAAACAAATTCAAATAGCACACTGACCTCTGTCCACTCTTTCTAATACCTGGGTATGTTGTTAGACCACAATCTATCTTTTGGCCTCCACATAGAAAAACTTGCATCTAAAAGCTAGGTGCCCTGTACAAATCCTGCCTAAGCCCCACAGTAAAGGAAAAGATTGTACAGCAAATGCTGATGCCAATCATTGATTATGGGGATGTAGTATATGCACCTGCACCGCAATCCCACATTAATAAACTCAATACATTGTATAACTCGCTCTGCCGCTATGTGCTACAATGTAATAACATGACCCACCATTTTGACATGTTAAAAGAACTAAACTGGCTGTCGCTGGAATCCAGACACACCTTTCATTTTTCCAGCCTTGTGCATAAGAGCTTTTCTGGGAAGCTCCCACCATACCTGAGCAGAATGCTCTCCCCAGCTGTTCCCACCTCCTATAACCTCCGATCCGGTACCAGCACTTTATTTAATCTACCTCAATACAAAAAGAAAGCTGCCCGATCCTCCATTTCCTACAGAGCACCACAATTATGGAACGACCTCCCGCACACTTTCAAATCTTCTCCAAGCCTAAAGTCCTTTAAGAGATCCCTCTCTACATACCTCAAAACAGAATGCACCTGTCATGGCTGATTATATATTTCCTACCTGTTCTATGTAAAAGTTTTGTATATATTGTGTATTAATACTGTTTTTGTATTTTATTGTACCATATTGTATCAATGCAATGTTTTGTGGACCCAGGACATACTTGAAAACGAGAGAAATCTCAATGTATCCATCCTGGTAAAATCGAGAATGGAGGAAGAGGTAGAGGCCATACCAAGTTATACATTACTCTACCACCCGACCACACATGGTGTAGAGGACCATGTGCCACACTTCACATGTCTATTTTACTGGCAACATAAGTTACATTGAATTTGGTGAGTTATGCTCCCAAATCAGCCTTCTAGTAAATACCAAATATCTTATTTTTCTAACTTACAACCACAAACCAATCTTTCATTGTTTTAGTAAATTGACCTTTAAATATTCATTATTAGCAATGTTAAGAGGTATTCCTGTAAATATCAGATTGGATGAACAGGCCTTATTAATTCAGTAAAATTATGCATACACATATTGAATATTGTTTTTAGCTTATTTTTAATTTTGCTAGACAATTTTTTTTATATTGTCTGTAAACACCACTCACATTGGAAAATGCATAAACAAAAAAACTCTATGCTGACATGATCTCTCTACCACATCAACCTGGCTTATATGCATGCAGTAACAGTAAAAGACCTAATCCCGACCTAATGCAGTAACAGTAAAAGACCTAATCCCGAAAGTGTTTGTACCACCTCCTGAATCTGATACTCCGAGTGCTTTGTATGCCTCATAATGATGGGTTATATAATAACATGTTGTCCGTTTTCCATCTGATAAACTAACAGTGACCTTTTTGTGGCCTGAGGTCACAAAACTGATTTTGAAATCTTCAGAAAGGAAATTCCCATGAACGGGAGAAAATGCAGGAATGTGCGCTTAGACAAAAAGTAATATGTTTAAAGCATGTGCGCTTACTATCAAAGCACAAGCAGGCTTAGATGAAAAGGGAAAAGGGATTTGGGAAGCTTTGTACCAATGAAGGATTATTTTTATTGTAGACATTTGGTGGGTAAAATTCCTTAAAAGTAAACACCTGTGGTGTTCATTGATCTCATATTAGCGTATATACGTATATCACAGGGTACATCTGTTACAATGTGCAAGATTAAATGGCTTAGCTATCCTCATTGATACATGCCCAATACTAATCATTGTCTCTAATGCAAACGGAATGGTATTGTGTTTTATGATATCATCACAACAATATATTTGCCAAATTATGAGCAAAATATTTTACATTTGTAAGGTTGTAGCTTGTTTTATCATGGGGGAATTACTCCCAGCAGACACCCAAACTTATAATGACAAAATCGTTATATATCTCTCAGATACAAAGACATGCCACCAAGTAGGGCATTTACCTCCAATGACACTGACACACTGACATTTTTGACAATTTACCAGTGTCAGAACAGCAGGTGCAAGACATGTTTGCTCGAAGGAGTAATCACCTGTGCTGTAGTTGCTGTTATGGAATCCAGGGAATTGTCTGCTGTCCTCTGTCACTCACTTTTCACCTTAGAAGTCTATTTCGATTCTGTGCCAAAATTTGAAAGTTAGGGGAGGGATTAGGATTTGATTCTAATCCGCCCTCTCCAGACTACTGAGACTGCTCTTATCAAAGTTACTAACAACCTAATCGTAGCTAAATCCAAAGGCCACCACTCAATACTAATACTTCTTGACCTCTCTGCTGCCTTTGACACCATTGATCATGCTCTCCTTCTTCAAACTCTTCAATCACTCGGTCTCTGTGACACTGTCCTCTCTTAGTTTTCCTCCTATCTCTCCCAACGCTCATTCAATGTCTCCTTTTCTAATGATACCTCCTCCCCTTGTCCTGTCTCGGCTGGAGTCCCCCAAGGCTCTGTCCTTGGTCCCCTTCTATTTTCTCATTATACTGCCTCTCTTGGTAAACTTATTACCTCATTTGGATTCCATTACCACCTATACACTGATGACACCCAGATATATTTCTCCTCCCCGGACCTCTACCCTGACGGTTTTCTTCCATCTCTGACTAGATGTCCTCCCGATTTCTGAAACTCAGTCTCTCTAAAACTGAGCTCCTTGTCTTTTCTCCTAATGCTGATCCTCCTCTTTCGCTCTCCCTTTGTAACGAAAATATACCCCAACACGCAGGATTTAAGCTAAACAAATGTCAGCACAGAGGGAAGGTACGTCTACCGGACCTTAGAGTGGCCGGACTCGACGTAAAGGAGAGAGATACAGAGTCAGGAGCGATCCGAGGTCAAGGGCACAAAGAGACCGCGTAAACTTGGACTAGCCGGGGTCTGGTACACAGAAAACTACAAGCCGGCAAACAGAACAGATAAGGATAAAGAGATAACGTAGTCAGAAACAAAGCCAAGGTCAAGTACGAAGGAACACAACTGAACACAACAAGCGCTTAAGGGAACTGAAACAGAAACCACGATAGGGCAAGGAACTAAAGGAAAAAGGTGAGTTTATATACCTAAACATCTAATTTGATTGGTCCCTGTCACATCCACGCCCCCAAAAGCTAAGTGTATGGGGAGTGTGGCATGACAGGGACCAATGGGATGCCTTTTCCAATTTAGGCTCCCATTGTCCCTTTTAAGAGCGCGCCGGAGACCCGCGGCGCGCTCTTAGAGTTAGGCGGGACACGTGTCCGCTTCTCGCGGTCACTGCCTGCCTTCCTGTTACAGCCGTCGGATGAGCCGCGCTCGTGCAGCAGCAGGAGCGCGCGCGGCTCGAACAGAGGACCCCGGCCGGCCCCTGGAAAGGGTAAGTACCGCTACACCCTTCAAGTTAGTGAGTCTGGCCTCACCTTTTGAGCCTCACATCCAGTATGTTGCCAAAACCTGTAGATTCCATCTTAAAAACATAGCCTGCATCTGCCCCTTTCTTACGCAAGATTATTATTATTATTACTTTTACTGGCATTTATAAAGATGATACCAAGGAGCTTGCCCATGCTCTAGTAATTTCCCGCATAGATTATTATAACCCTCTCCTAATTGGTCTTCCCAAAAACCTTACATACCTGTCTCTTGCTCTCTCCTAAAGGGCAGCTCTCTACTCTCTCCTCCAGCTCTGATTCACTCCCACCTTATTTAATTGCTATTTCCTGTCCTAATGTGTTTTATACCCCACCTCCTATAGACTATACGCTCGTTTGAGCAGGGCCCTCTTCAAGCTATCGTTCCTGTAAGTTTTCTTGTAATTGTCCTATTTATTTATTTATTTATTTTTTTTTTTACTTTGTTTTGAATTTATTTGGTTGCTTGGAAAATGTCAATTTTTTTTTTTTTATTCTTTATTTTTACTGTGCATGAAATAACAGTCGCATGTCAACAATGCCACAACAGTAATTGCAAACAGTTTAAAAACACATAGTCGTTCACTGTTGTACAGCATTTAGATTAAGCGCACAATTTTTAAATTAGTAATACAGCCTGGTACAAGCTAGGTAACTACTACAGTCATAATAAGTTGCTTTGTCAATTAGTAACTCTAGCTTAAAGGACCACTGTAGGCACCCAGACCACTTCAGCTTAATGAAGTGGTCTGGGTGCCAGGTCCAGCTAGGGTTAACCCTTTTTTTTTTATAAACATAGCAGTTTCAGGGAAACTCCCCGCCCGGCGCTGTAGTATGTTTTCCTGGCACTATAGTGGTCCTTTAAGAGTTATATTTAAATTGAGTGACATCACTTTAATATCTAAACATTTTCTGACTTTGCTGTGTAATACTAAAACGTGTGTACAATCGCTTATATAAAATCAGTTGCTTAGCTAGGGCGCTTATACAAGTAAGGAGGAACAACCGGATAATGGCAGCGCTTCACAGGCATTAAGTGCGGCCTTATCACAAGATGGCTTCTATGTAGGCTATGACACTACTCGTTCTAGGTTACTGAGATGTGTAGCGCACATTCCTCTCACACTCCCCATGTAAATATACGCTATACAGTGTCTATTATAAATTTTAGTTGAGGGTGAGATGAGAAAGTGGGATAAAATGCAGTGGGTATGGTGCACTTATCCGTCCATGCATAGTTTCGGGCATAGTCTACTGAGTTTGCAGGTCCAACGCTTGTCGTGGAGTCCAAGAACATGTTTAGCGTAAACGAGTGAGTTCATTTAAGCGTGTCATTAAGCATGTTTGACAGGCGTGTGTCGGAGGGTTATCCAAAAATAAGGCTGGTGCCACAGGTATTATGAGGTGCTGTCTCTGAGTTCCTTGTCTGGGGTGTCAGCCCACTCCGGTACTTGGTAAGTGCCTCTTGTGCCCCAGTGATGTAGTGGCATCTTCCTGTGCTGCTTCGTTGGCTTGTGATGGTGATTATGGTGGGTTAGGTCTGGGCTGGTAGGGAAGATTATTTCTGGCAGGGTAACTAGGTGTTTCAGTCCCTTTGGCCTTTCTCCTCGAGGCAGGCAATTCTAGGGTCTGTGGGCCCCTGTGGGGTTGCTTTACAGGGTTTGTTCCCGCTCTGTGTTCGCCCCATTTCTCCCTGCTTGATGCCCTTGGCCTAGTGTAGTCAGCCTGCATGGCCCTGGGGTAGGCTGCATTGGTGGTCTGATGGTGCTGAGTGAGCGCACATGGCTGGTATGCGGCGGCCATCTTAGGAACGTTGCCTGGTAAATATTTCACTCCGGAGCGGTTGTGACTTGGCGCCCTTGCAGACCGGGATAACCCCCCGGCCCAGGGGGACGGGGGGACGAGACGCGGGCCGGAGACCCGGGAGAGCGGCTGTCTCATCCCGGTTCAAGCTCCAGCTAGCTCTGGGTGTAATTGTCCTATTTATAGTTAAATCCCCCCTCTCATAATATTGTAAAGCGCTACGGAATCTGTTGGCGCTATATAAAAGGCAATAATAATAATATACTTGCTAAGGGTCAGGCTAACACAAACTATAGATTCATTTTATTGTCTTTCATTTACGCAACAGTCGTGTGGGCTTTAAAGGAAGACTGAAAAATAAAAAGGGTCTAATCTCATTTATGATTTAAGATTGAATTAGCCAGGCTCTTGATAAGGTTCTTTACAACAAATGTCAGAAGTTCAGTTAGAGACCTCTCACACCGATCCTGTGGAACTCACTTCCCTCCTCCGTTAGATGCTCACCCAGTCTCCACTCCTTCAAAAAATCATTAAAAACCCACTTCTTCATAAAAGCGTTTCAATTGAACTGTTAATAACTCCCGACTGATTCCTCTTTTGCAACTGTCGCTAGTCTAATACTATCCTTACCTTTTTGTGTCATTTTACCCCACTCCCTCTAGCATGTAAGCTCATTGAGCAGGGCCCTCAACCCCTATGTTCCTGTGTGTCCAACTTGTCTGGTTACAACTACATGTCTGTTCGTCCACCCACTGTAAAGCGCTGCAGAATTTGACGGCGCTATATAAATATCATAATAATAATAATAATCATCTTGTTATTTACCCTTATGCGTATTGTTCTAATGCCCACATACCATGGCAGAATAGGCTAATTTTCCATTTCTAAATGTATGATTTCTGATCAGCCTGTTTCTGTATTTTGAATATACATTCAGGATGAATCCTCTGTTTCAGATCCCATAGGATAAAATTAAAGCTAGTAGGAGCGTGGTCAGAGTGAGGTTTGCCAGCGATACAGAGCACATGACAGATGACACATGGTGACCAGAAAGCAGAGGAAGCCTTGAGTAGTACTTATGGCTATAAGTAGTACTCGTGTGCAGAACACTGCTAGCATGCTCCTAAAGGGTTACTCCAGCCAAAAGCCAGGGTTATCATAAAACCCCCCCAATAAAAAAAACCTAAAACTCACCTTGATCAAACACTGAGTTCTCCTCCACGGCTGATGTCAGTCCCCCTTGCTGGCAGGGGAGGGATATTAGGGAGAGTGGGCTGAGGGGAGGACACAGAGGGGTGGAGTGCTGCAAATTGCTGTCTAGTGCCTTAATGCTGCCCTTTCTGGCGTCAAACAACAGATTTACACAGGACTCTCATTAGCCACATGGACGACTTGTCCCAGACTAGTTTATGATGCAGTCTAAATTGGAGTGACACCTCCTGCAGCAGAGGGAACCACAGCAAAACGCTGCACATACAGACTCCAGGCACCATGACCACTTCATATTACTGACACAGTAACCATTTAAATGCATATAAATTACCTGCTTTTGCTGACACAGAGCAGAATTTGCAAATGAAGGGCCTGCCCTGGCCTTTTTAAATCTTTTTCCAGCGTTCCTGGAAAATGGACATAAGAGAAAAGAAATTGAACTGTTTGGGAGAAATTCAGGTGGCAATTTACTCTAATATTTTAAATCTTAGTTAATTCAACCTTATTTAAAAAGAACCTTCCTCTGATAATAAAGACTACCAAGGTCCCGAGGCAAAATAACTTCATTTTCAAATTATGTCCTTTAATGTTCAGAAGTGGAAAAATATTGCTTTGGAAAATCTGTGTATCTGGACGTTTTGTGTCCCAGAGGAAAAAGAAAATGAAAAGTACTGAATTGTAAATGGCTGTACTCATCAGATTATTAGGGATCAAATTCAACATAACTAACAATGGATGTGGTTAATTTAACAGAAGTATGCACTGGAAACACATGTTTGTCTTTTATTATTGTGTTTTTCAATTTATTCCCTATGGCATTTATACAGCTCCGTGTAACAAAAATACACAAATTTATAAATATGAAATATTTTTCTTTAATATACACAAACCAGAGCCGTGAACAGTATTAGATTTTTCTTTTACTAAAAAATATAAAATAAACTGAGGATATGTTAAAAGCTGTAAACTAAAGTAGATCTATTATTTTTTATATTTTTTCGGTTGTAGCTGAAATATCACATTCCAGTCTCCTCAAGTATGGTCTGGCTGCTCTGTCTCTTAAACAGTAAATTGCAGTAAATTATTAATATTATATGTATTGTTTTAAATAGAGAACTTTCCAAATCATCATCTTTTGCTCAAATTGTGCACTTTAAGTTAACAACAATTTGCTGTTTATTAAATAACGTCCATGCAAGCTACTGTTGTGGTTTTGTTTGTAGCATAAATCTTAAAGGAACACTATAGGGTCATAAACAGAAACATGCATTCCTGTTCCTAAAGTGTTAAAAACACCATCTAGCCCATTTTGACATGCTAAATATAGTAAAATCTTACTTTTATTCCAGTCTGCTGTTGCTGCCTCTGCCGCTGATCTGCCTGCATGGTTGACATCAACAGAAGTAATTCTCTCAGCCAATCACAATGCTTTCCCATAGGATTGGCTGAGGCTGTCAAGGAGGCAGATCTTTGGCAGAGCCAGCACAAGCCAAACACAGCCCTGGCCAATCAGCATCTCCTCATAGAGATGTAGTGAATCAATGCATCTCTTTGAGGAAAGTCTAGGGTCTGCATGCAGAGGGTGGAGACACTGAATGGCAGTGCTGCTTACTGTGCAGCACTGCCCCAGGAAGAACCTATAGCAGCCATCTAAGGAGTGGGCAGTGGAGGTATCACTAGGCTGTAATGTAAACACTGCATTTTCTTTGAAAAGACAGTATGTACAGCAAAAAGCCTGAAGGTAATGATTCTACTCACCAGAACAAATTCAATAAGCTGTAGTTTTTCTGGTAACTATGGTGTCCCTTTAGGGCTAATATCAACCAGTGTGTATTTTTTTTCTTTAAAGTAATCTGAACTGATGTTTTATTTTTTTTCTTAAGTATAACATTAACCTGTTATTTTTTGTTGTTTTTCGTGCTTTGTGTTTAATTTTAAATGTATTGTTATGTAAATGTGGATCTATTTTATGGATTTCTCTTCTTTGTTTCAATACAATTTTTTGTTAATTATTCTTTCCTAATGTTTGATAGTTGCTGTCAGACAACAGTAAACTTAAAATAATACGATTTAAGTACAGAGTTTAAGCATGTTAGGCTAATTAGGATTTTGGAGTATTCAGAAAGAAAATCTTTGAGGTAAAGCCCTCTTTGAGAGTCCATCTTTTACCTTCCCCATGATGGTAAACTGGACACATGTTGATAATATAATAAAAATCACATACAGACTTCAAATAATTTATAAATAATTATAAGTAAAGTTTGAAGAATCTGACAGAGACTTTTTAAATTAGATTTTTTAGTATGTGTGTGATAAGGATTTTTTTGAATCCAGCAAATGAAAAGTTAGTGTAATGGAATTTTACTCTGACACCAAAACTGACATGGCACAGTCTGGGCATTTAATTCAAATTAACATACCTTTCCCATGACTCCTCTGTTATCTTTGGTAAACGTTCCAAACAACCTCCCAGGATTAACTGCTATTTATGTCCTGATCTGATGCAAATTAACAGAAGAAGGGAAATCAAAGAATAATTACGAGAAAGGTAGAACGATCTGCATAGGGAACAGGATGATTTAAAAGACAATTGAACAAAATGGCAAACTACATAAACTAGTTGAATCAAACTGTAAACAATTGTTTGTAACATCAGGCAAGTCAGAACTTTTTGTAAATTATGACAAAAGCCTAAAAGGTGTCTGATTCACTTTTCTAAAATAAAAATGATAACATATACAAAATGTAAACCTTTTTATTCTCTTCCTTTTTTTAACAATATATTTTGAAAAATAAAGTTTTGTGTACCTACACTGAGCAGTTACTCAAATCAAACTCTGTTTCTGCTAATTGAGAAGAAGGAAAATCACGTTAAATCAGTTTCCAGTATTGCTACAAATCAACTTCAGCTTCATGTCTCTGTCTTTGATTTTAGGTTGGGTCATATCTGAAGACCCCTAAGTATCCAATTTGGGTGGTGTGCAGTGAAAGCCACTTCAGTGTCCTATTTTGCTTGCGAAAGGAATTAATGAATGACTGGAAAATTGAAAGAAGATTTGATCTTTACTATTACGATGGGCTTGCAAACCAACAGGAAGAAATCCGCCTTACAGTTGGTAGGTTATACCTAGATTTAAAGGTATAGTCCAAGTACCGTAACCTTATTGTAGTTGTTATGGTGAAAGGGCCATGTGTGCAGCGCCTCTTCTTTCCATTAAACTTTTTACAGGAGATTTGCAGAGGATTCTCACTCAAAGCCCACATCCTTAGCTTTGGATGCCATATGAAGACATTTCTTAACTGTGTGTCCAAAATGTTTGGACATGTAAGAAAGAATCTACCATGCCTACTAGCCATCAAGCCTTTTAATCTCTAGAACACACTACCTGCTATATGGGGGATAACTCTTTCAGTTTTAGCAAATATTATACTACACCCCTAACCATGTAATGTACATCTCTGAAACATTATTAGACAATGCCTTTCAGATCTTATAGATAAAACATGGTCTGCAAATAATGGTCTGAGGTCTTTCACGAGACATTAAGTGTCAGCTATCTGTAAATTAACAGTGTACACAGGTCAGTGTGCACCATATGTAATCACTATACATAGTATGAGGTAGAGGCAGAATGCAATATGTGAGCAGGAGGTCTCTTAGCTGTTAACCACTTAATTAGTACATAACAAGTCAAATCCTTTCTAACCTTCCATCCATACATCAAACATCTATGAGTCTTTATTCTCAGAATATTAGAGAAGCATGCAACAGATGTTTGCTCCTCCTGACACCCTCATGCACAGCTGTTCCAGCAAAGCAATGTTCACCATTTCTAAAACTGACATTAGACAAGCATTTTCTACTATGTATGTGTAATATTCTCTTATCCAGGCAGAGTTCATTATTCTTTTCATGTAAACACGTTGGATGAAGCAGCACGGCTGGTATGCCAATACTAATAACGTGCACAGAAAGACTTTGCTTGTGTTTCTGTCTGATACCACAGCTGTCAGTAATCCTGCATTTCTCCACTTTATAACATGTAACCAAAGTAGTGTTATATTTTAGAGATTTACACTTGTGCTTTTTGGAAAACGTAAAAATGTTAAAATAAGCTTCTCTATTCATATTTTGCAATAATATCGCTTCGTTTCTTTTAGACACAGCCGAAGCTTACATTCAAGACACAGAGAATGACTTGACACCTCCTCTAGAATACTGTATACGAACAAAGTAAGTACTTTACCATGTGTATGGAATTATGGCCTCAGTTCTCATACTGGAACCTTTTTCACCTGAATACATTGAGGGGCTACTAAGAAAATGTCACTCGGGACAAAATTTAAAAAATTGAACTATCAGCATGGAAACGAGTAGAATGTCCCTCCTGTTCCCTCCTTCACATTTGGAACTTTGCCTCAACCTACAGTTGTTGGTCAACTACATTTCCTGTCATACGGCCGTAGAATGATTAGACTAGGCTGGTGATATCGCAGGTTAAATTACATTATTCACATTATTCCTCCTGGTTTCCTCCACACTTACGTGCAGTTCTGCTCACCCAATAAGATCCATTCCATGTATCCTAGGATGTTTGTGGGCCTGCAGTAGATGCCCTTTTTATGTAAGATGGTGCAGAAGTAAAGGTTAATGTTACAGGTAGCAACCATGTTTCCTAGTAGACAACAGTATTTGTTCTCTGGGCACTGTTACAAAATATATTCAGAACTAGAATCACTATGGAGGATGGCCAGTTGGGTGCAGTGAGTGGAATGGAAACTGAGATGATCATGAAATAATTGGACGGTCGTTTCCCCAAGTTATGCATCAGTCGCATATTTGACCCGCATGTAAATATTTCTCAAATAGTCACAAAATCCACATTCAGGAAAACAAGCCCAATGTGCAGCTAAGGAGATCCAGATGTTGAATAAAAGGCTAAGCAAGCACAATGTCGGCCATCGTATGTCTGCCAAAAGAACAGAACAGTGAAAACAGCTGATATTTTTGCACTTTAAGCTTGTTGCAGGTGTTTTTTCAGTAGAGCAATTTTGTAATTCATTTAAACGATCCATCTACACACATTTAAGTATTTTTAAAATGTTTTAGATTAGCTACATTTTAGGTTTTGCTCAATTTTTTCTTCCAATTTAATTATTTTTAAAGTATTGGAATTAAATGGTATGGACTGGACTGTTCCCAACCATCAAAACTTAGTTCTGTGTTAAAACCTTAATTACTATTTTTATTTATAAGGTGGCTACATGATCTGTACAGTGTAATTAATTAGCTGTCGTTATCCTGAACTTGTTTCATGATTTGTTTTAAGACGGTAGGATACAATTAGCGTCCACCGAAGGGAGTGCCGGTTTTATAATCCTTTGATAAGTAGTTAAATAGATACTCCATGCACTACATATTCTTATGTTACAAAGATCTTCCATGTCCTCCTGCATTTTCTCTATAAAAGCTGCAGTGATCTGCAATAGTGTTTGATGTTGTGGTGGGACCTATTCTTCTCCATTGCCATACAAGGTTTCCGGATGGTCTTGGGCTAACAAATAGGTATCACAAACGACACCTCTACAAGTTGAGAAGTCTTTTATCCAAGTTCTCTAAGCAGGGTATTTTATCTTCCTGGCCCAGTCTCTTTTTGGACTATGTATTACCTCCTCTATGGTCCAGAGCAGGGATAGTCGTACGTTGGCACTTCAGATGTTGTATTTCCCACAATTCTCTTACAGCAATAATGCTGGCAATGCTTCAAGGGAGATGCAGTCCATAACATCTGGAGTGCCAAAGGTTGGCTACCCCTGGTTTAGAGTCATTCCTTTTATTTCTACCTGTTTTCCTACACATAAATCATCCTAAACCCAGATTATTTTTCTCACCATATAATTCTGTTTTTTTTATTTTCTATGGTTTTTTCAGTTAGCGAATGTGTATGTAGTGTTTAGTTTTACAATAAAATATACCTAGTTAGCTAAAGCATCTCTGCTTGTAATCGATTAAATAGTATATATTTTTTTTTTCCAATTTGAAATTTTATTATCATATAGACAAGGAAATAGGGTACAGAAAGGAAGAGGGAACTTTCAGTATGAACATAATGGGGTTGTACAATTGTCAGTTGTGCATTTAATTTGACATGTAACATAAAACAAGGGGGGGTACAGAAAGGAAGGAGGGAGGGTTAACACAGCATGTGCATAATCTATTGTGCTCACGTACAGTATTTACGTTGCTATTTTAGTGTGTTAAGGGTTGTCGTGTGTGGATGGAGCCCTCTGCAGTTAGGGCATCCATTTTTCTTTCCATTTATTTTGATTTCTTTACCCTGTAGTGTCGTTGAGATTCGTGGTCCCCTGTCTCTGGGGGGGTTGTTGTTGTTGTTCAGGGTGGTGTTGTTATGTTAGAGCATAGTTGTTTGTGGTAGGTAGGGAAGGGGGAGGACACGAGGCATGAGGGGTGGTTAGATGTACTGATAGGGAAAGGGGGTAGTGGTGTTGGTGTTGGTACTGGGCAGGGGACTTCTGGTGGGTTCTAATGCCTTGACTTCTGTGTTTTTGGGTTGTTCTGGTATGTCTTGTTGGGAAGCTGGAGTGGGTGTGTAGGATGCTTTATTAAAACGCATGTTGCCTGTTTTTCTTGTAGATGGAAAGGAGCTACCATCGACTGGAATGGGATTGAGCCCATCCTTTAAACCACTGCAGCAAATCAAAGTGTAATGAATTGAATGATTTTAATGTGAACACTCAATTATGAAGTTTTTTGAGGACATTTACTGCGCGAGGAACAAGAGTTCACATGACGATCCCTTGGAGGGCTTGCAGTCATGTTATGTCTGTGTTTATTATGTAAATGTACGCTTTGTGATCAAAACATTTTATGTTATTTGTTCAAAAATGAGCTTTAAAGGGAAATATGCCTGATAAACATGTTTAGCCTGTATTATCTCATTTCTTATATGTCCTATCGATATTCAAATTGAAGCTAACATGTTATCAATAAAAAAGCCTTTTATTGGCCTTTTTTTTTTGGCTGTCACTTGAGGGTCTTTATATATTTTGCCAAAGAACCCCCATTCCCAAATATGTGTGCATCAGTTGAAGGGTGAAGCTGAAGGTAGATGTACTTACCTGAAGCTCTCCCTGAAAGGCACTGCCTTGTTTCATTCAGCCTGTGTCATTGCTGTACTCCCATGCATGGTTTGTGGACAATCCTGCAAGCCACAGGACCCTCATGAAACCAACTTGTGCAATTATCAAGTAGGTGCCTTCTTCCCACAGCTGTTGCTTTGAGAACTGACAAACGTTGATGGTGGAAGCTCTGCCTTGAGTGAATCTAGACTTTGTTCAATTAGACAGAGTAGTCCTTACTTTGTCTCCTGATATATTTGATTGCAATTGGAATTTTAATGAAACGGTGATACAGCTGCCTTAATAGTGCTTGTCTATGACACTGTGACTATCAAACTTTTACACACAATAACCTGCCAATCTATATTTGCCCTAAACAACGGTACTGCAGCAGTCGTAATAAGGAGAGTGCTATGTATCATTTATAATAAAAAAAGTAAAATTTTGCTTTGCATGTAAGTAGCTCATTTTCTTTATCAGTGGACATGAATGCCATCAGCTACTGCTGTTGGCTACTACAATACCTATTTTATTTTAGAAATCAATGGTAATAAATAGGAGAGGATTTACACTGATGCTTTTCAAAGCAGGTCACACCTCCCCAGTGCCACCACACCATCTCTCTACATTCCTGTAAAGATGAGCAGGAGAACCGAATGGAGGAGTGTTTTCCTCTCTTTTGCTAGTTAGTCCTCCGCATACACACAGTGATAGAGATGTAAGAGGACGGTATATACGTTACACTGCTTTTGTTTTAAAAATGTGTATATTTGCTAGCGCAAGGTTTAGATTCAATATTTTGCTTTGTCACTTGGTTATTACCTAAGCATGATATGATAGGTGCACTTAAAGACAAAGTCAAACCACATAAAGGAAAAAATAGCATGCAATAGTGTAATAATTTAAAATCATGGCGGGCACCTTTAATGTATGTAACTCATTAGAGAGATAATGATAGTAGGTCTCATTGAACAACTTGGGGTTATTGGACATGCTCTTGGTTATAGTACTATAGTTCCTTGCTATAAATGTATCCTAGAATAGGTTGTATAAAGACAAAGTATATATAGTATAAACCTATTTAAAATGTTTTACAGGATAAAACGTGTAGATACACTCACAAATTAAAACGTTCACAAAAACTGTTCTAAACATGCTTTTGTATGACTAAATCATAGCACAAATGCAACCAGATGCCTCATCCAACGCATTTCATCCATAACAAGAATCTTTTGAAGTCTAAAATCTCCTGGGTTCTATTCTGAATTAATAATCGGATTCTGGGCTGGATGTTAAGGCACAGGAAACGTCAGACTCCAATGCACACAAGTCCTCCTAAATATGAGGATAAGAAGTACAATCCTAATCAAAGTACATATGGATAGAAAAAATGTTAATGTACCTCCAAGCACCTCACGTTGATGGAAAGTATAGATATGAAAATGAGAAATGAAAATAAAAAATGCAGGACCATTAAAACAAAGTAGAAGTTGTGTTTCCTATGTGCAAAATATGAGGGAAAACCCCCCAAATATTTTAAAAGTAATTATTCAGCTCAATTTAGTAAAGCTTTCATTGTCACAGAAAAGTTTCTACACCAGCAAAGGAGAACGCTCCGTGCGAGTACCTAAACTCACAGAGAGAGAATAGATCTAAATGTATGCACTAAGCCACAGATGTGTGTAAAAATCAAACAATTATGCCTTAGGTAAGCGCAGGACACTGCTTGTCTGCTAAATCACATTGTGTGTGAGAGGTACAGTTTGTGTGTATGGGGAGGCAATTGTGTGTATGGGGGTAATTGTGAGTATGGGGGGGCAGTTGTGTGTATGGGGGGTAGTGTGTGTGTGGGGTCTGTGGGGGTGGGAGGGCAAATTCATGAATATATCATTTTTTTTATTCAAAATAATTATTTTCATATCCTCCCTCCTTTCTTTTGCCTTTGCCTGGGAGGGGGGACATTTCCTGCAATCATTGGTGGTCCAGTGGGGAAGCCCTGGTGGTCTCAGTGGTAAGAGTTAAGTCTAGCAGCCTCAAGAGCTGTCAGAGTTCACTCTCACGAGATACGGAGTGTTTCCATGGTCCTCTCCGGAAAAATATCATAGCACTGGGAAAATATCTTGTGGTGCCCTTGTGCCCGTCGCGGCGCTGCGGCAGACAGTTTGGGAACTGCTGCTATAGACACAATCTACCAACGGAACTAATAATGATTAACTAAAATATAGTTCTAAAAAGTTACAGTAAAATCCTGAAGATTCTTGCACTAAAATATCCAGACAATCAAATCAAAAAGCTGTGCAAACTTATAGAACAAACAGATCGTAAATACAGTAATCCTGGGTATCTTAACCGCAGTTTTATCAGCACAGCAGTAATACAGTCCGTGAGAGATGTATAAGAATGTAGCTAAGGATACAGTTTATCTTGTGTACCACGTATCCCTGCAAAATGTAACCAACTCATAGAAACAGAGTTTAGAAATTGCAAATAAGTATTGTGTAAAACGATATTCCAAGTTACAGCCACGGAATCCAGTAGGGGAATGTTCACTTAAGTGGGTTTAGTCGTAGATTGGCTTCAAATAATTAAACAATGCATATTATTACGCAAATGATTAACCCCTTAATGACACATGACGGAAATATTCCGTCATGATTCTCTTTTATTTCAGAAGTTGTGTCCTTGAGGGGTTAAAAGTGAGTTAATGTAGACAAATGAATACCGTTACATGAATTCAATGTGAGCTCAGTGTTTAAGGCAAGGCAGGGGTAACCTGTCTGCTGATTGTATACACCGGATCCGTCCCAGATCCCATAAAATCTTGATAAAGCCCCAAATTGGGGGGAGAAACGCGTTGATGTAAGTGGAACTTTAAGGAGTTTAAACGAAGTGTTAGAATGAATTGAGCCTCTGACTTTTCTACTTCCTCTTAAGAGCTGACACGGGAAGGAGTCTGGGATGGATCTGGCGTATAAAATCAGCAGATAGGTTATCCCGGCCTTGCCTCTAACAATAAGCTAATTGAAATCATGTAACAGTATTTATTTGTCTACATTACTTTACTTTCAATAAAAGGCGTAACACTGTTACATGTTTTTAAGCCAATCTACGTAGATAACCATTTAGTGAATATCCCCCTACTGGATTCTGTGGCTGTAATTAAGTGTTCTTGCAAGAACACTTATTGTTATCTCACATATATATTATTCTTATTATAGCCAAATTTGCCACCCTAACTCCTCCCACAGTTTTTACACTACATAGACAAAAATTTACCAAAACGTGCAGATTGTTCCCGATCGGATTGCTATTACTTTGTGGAACGTTTCGCCGAATGGTTCACGGAATATCGTCGTTCTTGTGGCGCAATTTGTCCCATAGGAATGAATAGCAAAGCTAGAGTGGGAGCTGGCAAAAGCTGAAAAATCAGGACATGATTTCTAAACTGCCACCACTCCCTTATTTTCAGGCCCACCTACACAAATCTTATATCAAAAAGCTATCCCTGCTGTCATGATAGTTTTCACAATATAATCATTTGTTTGCAACTAACGCCGTCCATTGACATTCATTGAAACTTCACTCTAGCCAAGCTCAAATTTGAAGTGCAATTTCTAAACTGCGACTGTGCCTTCAATTTTAATACTTCAGAGACATACTATGCATCAAAATGTAGGTCTGGGTTCAGAGACATACTATGCATCAAAATGTAGGTCTGGGTCTTGTGATTCTCACAATATAAAGCTCTTCACTGTAGGAGTTATAGTTGATAAGATACGACCGTTTGAAGATGGCAACCACCAAAATACTCTGACCTGTGTCAAGCTGCAGCAGCAAGTGATGTCATAGACAGGGCCTTTTGAACACCTGCTAATGTTTTTATAAATGTATGGTTTAACCCCTTAAGGACTGGACTGTTTTTGCGATGTTGTACATTTGTGACCAGGCATATTTTTACACTTTTGTGGTGTTTGTGTTTGGCTGTAATTTTCCGCTTTCTCATTTACTGTTCCCATACAAATTATATATTGTTTTTTTCAGGACAAAAGGGGCTTTCTTTACATACCATTATTTATATAATCTCATGTATTTTAATTTAAAAAATACAAAAATCTGATGAAAAATTGAAAAAAATACATGTTTTTTGACTTTTAATTGAAAAATCTTTTACTCATCTACAAAAGCGAATGAAAAAAACTGCTAAATAGATTCAAAATTTTGTCCTGAGTTTAAAAATACCTAGTGTTTACGTGCTTTTTTGCTTTTTTTTGCATGTTATGGGGCTATAGGTACAAGTAGGATATTGCGGTTTCAAAACATACATTTTTAAAATTTATCAATAGTGACATTGTAACACTATTATCTGTCATAAATCTCTGAATAACACCCCACATGTACATATTTTTAAAGTAGACAACCCAGGGTATTCAATATGGGGTATGTCCAGTCTTTTTTAGTAGCCACTTAGTCGAAAACACTGGCCAAAGTAAGCATTCATATTTGTTTGTGTGTGAAAAAAGTAAAAAAACTAAATTGAACGCTAATTTTAGCCAGTGTTTGTGACCAAGTGGTTACTAAAAAAGACTGGACATACCCCATTTGCAATACCTTGGGTTGTCTTCTTCTGCAAATGGTATGCCATCATGGGGGTAATTCTCATTCCTGGGCTACCATACGCTCTCAAAGGCAACGTAACCAACTTGGCCATTTTCAATGTAAAAATATTTGACCCATATATTTGACCTCGTAACTTTCAAAAATGCTATAAAACCTGTACATGGGGGGTACTGTTTTACTCGGGAGACATCGCTGAACACAAATATTAGTGTTTAAAAACTGGAAAACGTATCACAACAATTATATCATCAGTAAAAGTGCTGTTTGTGTGTGAAAAATGCAAAAAAAGTTACTTTCACTAACAATATCATCGCTGTGATATGTTTTACTGTTTTGAATCACTAATATTTGTGTTCAGCAAAGTCTCCCGAGTAAAACAGTACCCCCATGTACAGGTTTTAGGGTGTCGTAGAACGTTACAGGGTAAAATACAGTGCTAGCAAATTAAATTCTCTGAATTTCGTCCTGGGTTGGCAGGCAGGTCCCTCAAATTGCAATCAATAAAATTACTGAATTATGTAAAAATACATAAATAAGCTTGCGTGAATTTAAATATATAATACCTTATTTGTATATTTGAAGTCTAAATTAATAACTCATTCTATATTGGCTATGTAATTTTGTATATGGAAAGGCGATATGTATATTTCTTATTATTTTTATTTATTTTTATATACACATAGATATATATACAAATTCATTCTAAGTGTATTTTGATATAAATATATATATATATTAATTTTAAAATACAGTTAGAATAAAATTTCATATAACTATATAATTTTTTTTTAATTTTTTATTATTATTTAAAAAAAAAATTATTTAATTTAAATTACTTATTATTTATATTTTATAATAATATATATATACAATATATATAGTTATTATATATATTATATATATACGTGTGTAATTTAATTATAAATGTATTTTTATATTAATATAAGTGCATATTAATATAAAAATACACTTAGTATGACATTATATATATGATATATAGACATATATTATATAGATATAATGATATATGTCTATATATCATATATACACATATATAATTATTTATTTATTTTTTATTAACATTAACTTTATTTATTTTTTGATTTTACTGCTTGGGGGACGCCTGTCAGCACAGGCAGTCCCCTTTCTGAGCTGAACACATGGACACCTATTGTGACCATGTGATACCGGCTATGTTGAAGCGATCACATGGCCACAGGGGATCTAATCTACCGTGGGGGAGACTGTCTGGGCTGCAGGCAGTCTCCCCACAACGGAGGCTCACGCTGATGCGCCCGCGAGGAGGCGGCCCAGTCGGGTAAGCTAACTTCCTGACGTTAGGGCGGTTCAGGACCGTCATCGGTCGGCAAGCCAAAAATGCCGATGACGGTCCTGAACCGTCCTCGGTCCTTAAGGGGTTAATGTAACTGTGCAACAACGTGCAATTAAATGTGCTATGTAAATGATAACAGTTACTCCGCCCACTCCAGTTGTAGACTACAGGTGGAGGCAAGAACACTTCACACAATTTCCCCTGAAATTGTAACTTTTCTAGTTTAGAATATTGTTTTACAGGATACTTATCTGTACATTTTGAACTCTGTTTCTATGAGTTGGTTACATTTTACAGAGATACGTGACACACAAGATGAACTGTATCCTTATTCTACATATCTCAGTGACTGTATTACTGCTGCTGGTAAAACTGGGGTTTAGATGCCCAGGATTATTGTTATTCTCGCATCGATTACTGTAATTCTCTCGTAGTTGGTCTCCCCAGAAGCCGTACTGTCCCCCTACAATCTGTGGTGAATGATGCTGCAAGACTGATCTTCCTCTCACACCTCAACCCTCTGTTGATCCTTACATTGGCTTCCTGTCTCTTACAGGTGTCAATTTAAAATACTAACCCTTACCTATAAAGCTCTAACCAACTCTTACATTTCTTTACTGATTCATAGATATGCCCCCTCTCGGGGGGGCTGCAATGTGTCAAAGGGTTGATAGACGGGCCATGTACCGTCAAATCTTGGGTGGGAATCTCCTTCCCACAACCAGGGCATTGAAAATGGGTCGTAGATGGGTATTCCAGCATGACAATGACCCAAAACACACAGCGAAGGCAACAAAGGAGTGGCACAAGAAGAAGCACATTAAGGTCATGGAGTGGTCTAGACAGTCTCCAGTTTAATCCCATAGAAAATCTGTGGAGGGAGCTGAAGGTTCGAGTTGCTAAACGTCAGTCTCAAAACCTTAATGACTTGGAGAGGAGCTGCAAAGAGGAGTGAGACAAAATCCCTCCTGAGATGTGTGCACACCTGGTGGCCAGCTACAAGAAACGTCTGACCTCTGTGATTGCCAACAAGGGTTTGGCCACCGAGTACTAAGTCGAAGGGGTCAAATACTTATTTCACTCATTGACATGCAAATCTATTCATAACTTTTTTGACATGCGTTTTTCTGGATTATCTTTTTGTTATTCTGTCTCTCACTGTTAAAATACACCTACCATTAAAATTATAGACTGATTATTTATTTGTCAGTGGGTAAATGTTCAAAATCAGCAGGGGATCAAATGCTTTTTTCCCTGACTGTAGCTGTATCTTAAAGCTGCAAATCATTGCTAAGAGAGCTGCACAAATGTGGAACAAAATGTACACAAGTGATCCCAGGCTGCAGCCAGACATTCACCTATTTCCATATTTGAGTGTCTGAAATGTATTTTTTCCTGTTAATACATAGGGCTCACAGTTGTATGCAGTCATCTGAACCAAAAAGATTGTGCGGGAATATGAAAGGAAACATTTCAACATATAAATATGATGAAACATTAATGGT